TGACATAACTGTAAGAATAAGGTGGCAGTAACTCTGACATAACTGTAAGAATAAGGTGACGGTAACTCTGACATAACTTTAAGAATAAGGTGACGGTAACTCTGACATAACTTTAAGAATAAGGTGGCAGTAACTCTGACATAACTGTAAGAATAAGGTGGCAGTAACTCTGACATAACTTTAAGAATAAGGTGGCAGTAACTCTGACATAACTTTAAGAATAAGGTGGCAGTAACTCTGACATAACTTTAAGAATAAGGTGGCAGTAACTCTGACATAACTGAAAGATTTCCTCCAAGGTTAAGACTCCAATGACCTGTTCATCAGATCACTGTCTTCCCCAATGCAATTGTACTTCTTGGCACTTTGTGCTTGTGCATGTGGGCTCTGGTGGACTACCACGTCTACTTTGCTGTTGATTCGAAACAACTAGAGTCCAGACTTTCTGTGAAAAGGTTGAATGAACAGGAGCGTTGTAGGGATGTCGGCTTTGAAGCTTTGCCAGGAAGGCTACAGGAGGTAATCAGAGGAAAATATGTCATCTCCTCCTCCTCTTCTTTTAGCCCTCCATTAGACCAGCCTGGCTCTGTCTGGGAAAATTGATTTTCTCCCTCCCTCTCTCTCTTCTCCTCTTTTTTTCATCTCAGGTTCCATTTGAGGCTTGTTCATCCTCTCTCAAGAGCAGTTCTGTGAGACAGAAAGGGAAAAGAGAATAGTTTGGCCACGACAGGTTGTTCACAGATATACTTACCCACCCCCAACAGCAACCAGCAGGGCTCCAATCTCATCCCTGTCTCCAACCAAAAGGGACAGTCATCCCAAACACTTTCTAACACTAGTTTTTCTTAGGTGTTGCTAATTCTCTGTTTCTTCATGCTCTTTTTCCTTATATTCTTCTTTCTTTCAACAGTGTTCACACTTCCGAATTTTCACTTCGTTTTAAAGCCAAGTCTTGGATCAATACATCATTGATTTTCCTATCAATGAACATTAGTATGGATCAGCACTGCTTCTGCTGCCCTGCCCCCTAAACCTGCAAGACTGGAGTGGCTCAAAACACACACATGCCATGGGGATCCTACATTTTACTGCCGCCCATGACTTTGATGAGGTTATGACATAAACTTGCAGGATAATTACACAAAACATGTCAAAAAAACAGGTGCTGTAGAAAATCAATCCCAAAGTGATGGAAAGGAAAAAAGGCCAACTTAGTGCTTGGTCCTGTGTAAGGAACAGTTTTTAGTCACTGCTGCCAGATCAGAATAGTCCAGAATGATTAGCATCCTCCTCGGCAGATTGATAATGTCCAATAATCATGATGTGTACGCCTTAAAGAATCCTTTTCTCTCTGACTTCCCCAACTTCCCCCACATACAAACAGTGCATACAGTGTGTCGTCTCCACTCTCAGCATAAGGCTCTGAGTCAGGTGGAGATTGACACTTCTTTTGGCTCTGTTCCTTTTGTTTTCAACATTGTATTCATTCTTTACAACCCCACGCCGATCTGAAAAAAGACATTTCTGTGTGCATCAGCAAGATTTTGCATCAATAGTGGCTCCCCAGCTATAGGTTAGAGAGCTGTGCTTTTAGGCCATTGTCTCACTGCCTGCGAACCTCTAATTTAAAGATCAGTCTTTATTTTAGGAATGAAAAATGGGTATGTCAAAAAATATTTTGCATTAGTAAACAAAACATCATCACACAAAATGTAATGACAATTTGGTGGCAATTGATTTGATAATAATTCTTAGTAAACAGGTCTAATAATATTGCAGTTTCTTGATTACATGTTTTTCATTCTTTACATGGGCCGGCCCTTAATGCTTTGTTTTCCTCATTGCGGTGCCTTCGTGATGTGGTCACTTCCAGAGGCCAGACAAAGACTGTGTGTGACTGGTCCAAATAGAACAAAGACACATCCTTCTTTTGGGAGATCCATGGTGCACACATGAAAGTTGATACTTGAGTAAGAACCTCCTGTAATGAAACTGAGACCCGGCAGGTGATCCTTCACTATGTCTGACTGTAAAGCTTTTTGTTTGTGAATAATCACAGTAGTCCAGATCCCGTCAGATCATAATATCCCGTCATTTAAATATATGTTGTGATGCGGCACATACTATACTTCTATAATACTAATACTTGTAATATAATATAATACAATACTAATTAGTGAAAGAAATTGTATATTTACAGTTGTAGCTGTTCACACTGTCCCATTCAAATAGAATACATTCATTAATAAGCCTATACTAATTTTGTATGTTTGATCAAATACAGACAGCCAAATCAATACCAAGCAACAACTGCTTTACTAAAGAGAATTTCACTAATAATAATAATAATAATTGTGTACATTTTTGGCAAATTTTTGACTAAAGTGACATGATCATTGTTTGTTGATAAAAAAAAACAGTCAAAATGATTTGTCTTTATTCAGGTGTCTGGACCGTTTTGTGAAATCAAACTACTACATCAAATCATGTTAATTTACAAGTAGAAAATTAGAAAAGCACACAGTGAAAATATTGATCAATTAAGACAGATAATGTCACTAGAAATAAACAAATGGATGGCTGATGACTCTTCAGGAATGGGAAAAGGGATATTTGGGATAACTGAAAAGAAACAGCACATTGTAAAATGCGATGCGCACAGTCCTTTGTCTAATGAATTTAATGAGAATAAACGTTTATTTGCTATCCAATTCATCTTCCAACTAAAAAGAAAAAAATGTGTTTACTAATCGTGATGGGCGTACTCAAAGCGTGCAGCTTAAGCATGAGGACATTTCACTTCTTTGAGACAGAGCTGTTAAATATGATCACAGTGAGGATCCAAACGGGTTGTTCTGAACATTCTCACAGGTGAGCACTTTAAACTCTGCAGAGTATCTCACACTCGACTTAAAGTTTTTTCTTAACACATCCCGACTGTGCGAGCCCCTTCTTTTCCCCAGCACACGACCCCCTCCCCCTGCCTTTTGTTCCCCATCAGGAGCCTCTGCCTCCGCTGGCTCCGCACACGCACCACAGGACTGCCCCCCAGCGGCCAGGCACGGCTCAGGGCAACTGTGGCTCCAACTGAACCACATTCACGGTCTCTGGTCCAACGGGGAAAGTGACAAATGCAAGGATCTAGTCAACATAAAGCCATAAAGCCAACACATTAAAAAACGTTTGTTCCTGAGCGTTTTATCGATAAAGCGCTGACCTGTGCTCGCATGCCGCCTTCAACAAACGTCACAAAAAGGAGTACTGGCCGGGCGCAGCATCTTACAATTTATGTACGTATCTCAATCACTAGAACTTTGAAACCTCAACATGAAACCACGGAAAGAAATGCATGTAGTTCAAAACTGTTTGGTCCATAGTTTCACATGCTTTAGTCCTTAACTTCGTTAGATCCTTAGCTTCACAGTGAAAAAGCCTTCACTCTGACAATCAGCTCTCAGAATGTTTTCTACACATTATATCCACAGATAAAGACAGCATAAGGCCGGAATTGTTCACAAAGTAGACACAACACTCTTTCTTTTGGGACAAACAAAATGAAACAAACTAAAAGTTAGGCACACCAGCTTTAAGTAATGCTGCAGTAGGCCCTGTCTCTGTAAATTATGTTTTGCATATAGACCTTTATATGTGGGCCTACAAACACAAAATGAATACAAGACCCCTCTTGTTTTAGCCATGTGTCCAGTCAGTATTATGTCTTTAAACCTAATGATTGTTAATGGATATGGTGTCAGACTTCAAATGAAATGTAGATAATAAGATGCACTGGCTGACTCATAAACTGATTAGATTATATAACAGAATCACCTGAAACTTGAAACTGTTTAACTTATATTATCTAAAAGTGACATTTAAATGATATTCAGGAATCAAAGAAAAGAAAATGTAGGTGAGGCAGTGGTGAGCAAAAGGAACATACATGTTTCAGAACTGACAAAACTACAACTACTATAGCCATGGCTGCCTCGGGGTATATGGTGAAGTATATGGTGAGGGGGCAGTGTTTTGCCTATGAACACAACAGCAGTTTAGCACTTTACAGCCCCAGTCGCCCCACTGTGCCCTATGATCTGCCAAGATCTGCCAGGGTCTGCCGAGGTCAGGCTTTCACATGCAGGCACAGCCACAGCCAAGATCAGGGCTTCACTGTCCTCTCCACAACAAAGTCATGGCCTCTTACTTTGGACATATACTTTTGATGATTGCTCAACAAAACTTTTACATAATGTTCCTTCTTCATGATGCCATCAATTTGATCAGATTTTGATTCATATTATTTGGCATACAAGTGATCACTTCCTTGTTTTTTATATTTTACTTAGAGAAATAGCTACTTTGCAGAGGAGAGATGCTAACTTTCAGACTGAGTGGTCTGATAGTTGGACATTCCAGATAGTGTTCATATTCTATTAAAATGTGGACATCCATTTGGACCCAGAATTCTCTTCCTGATATCTTGGCTCATTTCTTTTGATGTTCTCATGTTGTCTGACGAGAAAGCTGAGTGTTTCAAAGTGTGGCCTTTAAACACATCATAGGTGTGCCTCAAATTACCTTAAATGTTATCAGCCAAGGCCTAATCTGGGTTTTCTGGGTAAAAAAGTTATTTTCATCCATTTCTTCTGCTTTAGCCGTTGCTGGGTTACAGAGGCAACAGTGATGAGCATCGCCCAGATGTTTGTGTCCTGCCCTTCTTTTCTGGAGGATTCCAGGGTTTTCCCAGACCAGCTGAGTATGTCTTATTTGATGTTTCCCTGATTTTTTTGGCTGATGATTCCATCATTTTTTAGCTGTCAATTAACCTTTGCTTCCTCCTCGCTCCTCTGCTTTGCTTCTTGTCTAATCCTTTCCCCAACCAAACAATCAGGTTAAGAATTAAGTGAGTTAGAAAAAAACAAAGAACTCCTCCTCTCCTGTGGGCCAAATTTCCTCACAGATTCCCTGTAATCTAGGAGAGGAATTGTGTCCGTCTGAAACAGATGCTCGAGGCTCCTCAGCTGCAGCAGCTCTACTCCGAGGAGAACATATTATATGTATGTAACAGTGTATGTAAACGTCCACAGTGTATACACACACACACACACACACACACACACATACATGACAGGAGAAACACTTTGTTCACACCTGTTTTATTTCTTTCGGCTCAATGTCTCAGGGATGCAAATCATCGGAATCATTGAAATTACTTTCTTCATTGATTGATATTAGATTTCTTTGGTAAGACATAATAAATCATACACAATTTAATCAGTGTATTTGCAAACTTCCTGTTTCTATTTAATCTAATATTCAATTAACAGGCTTCCACTAATTATACTAACTTTAATAAGTAGCTGAAAACATACATTGTATTCAATAATTACATTACAAACATTTCATAAACGTATTTGAATACAAAAAGGACAACAACTCTAAAAGGGATATTAATGGTTGTAAACAAAACAGTGAATGCATATGACATAAGCTCATCTCTTGCAACACAATTTACGTTAAATGAATTATTATCTGACGCGAGTGATGATGGATGTAAGTGTGTATTTAGAATGTTCAGTATCAAACTGTCTGTCAGTGCAACTTGAATAAGAAGACGTGGACTGCAGTGAGACATCAATAGCTGCCACATATTAGCAATATGTAACTCTTTGAATAGGGCAGCTGTTTACGCATCAAAACACGGCCATGCTATTACACGACAAACCAGGTCGAGGAACACCCTGTTATACTCTAGTCTCCAAGGTACAACTTTTGCCAAGTTTGTAAATTTCTCCAGTATGAGATCAATAAAGTCTATTTTGTCTTATCTTTAATTCGAAGTCCGATTATAGGGACGTCTATTAAACTAAAATGCTGTTGTTTGTTAAACTAAAATGCATGGTTGGACGTGTTATTGTCTTCCTCCCGCCGCTGAATGGTGTGTTTTATCAGAGACAGTCAATAATCTATGCTTTTGTCGCAGTTATGTTTCGCAGCGCGGCTCGCTTCCCTCCGCGGGTGGCTTGGTTCTGCATCAGCTGATCCGTCACGTGTTGGTGTCATGGGTCACTGTGTGCAAAATGGAGTTGTCTGAATGTGTGCAGAGAGGACTGAAGTCTCTCGCAGATCCGTCCGTGTTCGACCAGCGCGCCTTCGCGGTTCTGTTGGACGCGTGTTTCCGCAGTGTGCTGTCGGCTCCCGCAGACGCCTCGGTCCTGGGTGAGGCGCAGCGTCTGCTTGGAGCTGCTGCTTTGTTCTCGCGCTACTTCCGGGTTTCTCTAGCGTTAGCTTGGAGTTGTGCTGTCGATACTTGCATGAGGCGTGTAGACGCTCTGGACACGCTCCTGTGTGTTTACAAGTGATGTAGGAATGAGAACTACCTACTGATCACGCACACGTCCTAAAGCTGGACTGTGAGCCATGTCTGCACTCATTTGCTTCATTAGCTCTGAGTCGGCTACACATAGCCTTTTGTCATTTAAACACCATGCTCATGTTGTTCTATTGGACGGTCTTAGTTTAAATACAACACAATATACGTGTAATATACACCCTTAAACCGACATCAGATGCTGATAGGAACCATTAAGAACCTCCGCGAATGCCTGAAGGTGAAATGTAGTTTCCCTGAGATGTTCACTTCATGCTTGTCGTTTTCCTTTAGTTCTCCCCGAGTTGGAGACCACCGACCAGATAGTAGTGAAACAGAGTCACACGGCCATGGTCACATTCATCCTGGAGTCTGCCAAGCTGAACGCAGACAAATCAACGCTGAGGTGACTAAAATGAAACAGAGGGAGCTCCCTCGGGGTTGAGTGTTGTGTGTGATCATAATAACCGTATATTATAATACATCTGGGAAACCATTGGCATAAATAAATCCTATTTAATATGACTGGTTTTCACTATGTGTTTATTGTACTTTGCACACATGTAATAAGGGTTTCTGCTAATTTGTTGGCAGCACATGTCTTGAAGAACTTTCATTCAATGCAGAGAGAATAGAGATTTTTCACAATGTATATGAGGTGAGAGTGGAAAGAAAATGTAAAAGTTTGTCAGGATTGTCAAGTGTGTAATTATGTGTTGTATTTTTACAGAAACATAAAACTGACATAATTAAGTTATTATCATGGTAAGTTGACAAGTATATTTTAGCTTTCTGATATATTTCCATAGCATTTGCAATCTGCTCCATCTGATGTGCTTGCTGATAATAAAAGTGAAGTGACACGGTGGTTTCTTAACTTCTGAGTTGGAGCAAATAAAGAGACAAAAATTCCCTTGTCATTTTACTTTGCATATGCATATTGTATTGATATAGTATTTGCCATGTAATGTCTCTTTATCTTGTGTACAGCATAGGAAGACGATTACCAGAGATAAACGATGTATCATGGCGTCTACAATACCAGATAAAGGTATAGCCCAAGTGCCTTTGGACTTCTGTACGTCTCAAAACTAAACCAGTTTTCCCCTCTAGAGTGCGCAGGTTGATAAAGTTGACAAGCCTTTCTACTTAATAACACTTAACACGGAGGTAAACTTGCATTAAATCTCACGATGACCATTTGCCTCAATTAATGATGTAATTTGTCACAGAATGAAGCCGGGTCCTCTGAGGATGTGAACTTCACCTGCACAGTGGAGCAGCTACAGGTATATTCTTGCCTTATGAACTATATTTTTCACATCCCGTTATAAGTTATTTTTAAATTAAATGCGTGTTAATATTGAAATTCATGTTACAACGTGTCCAGTGCCTATAGTGTAATTTGTTACACATGGACTGCTGCTTATTTCATGTTAGTGTTTTCTTACAGGATTTGGTTGGAAAAATAAAAGATGCAGCGAAGAGTATGGAGAGAGCCAGTCAAATGTGATGCAGCGATTGGCACAAACCGAAGCGAGAGATTTTCCACGGTGTTTCATGTTGACGTGATTGATTTATATACGTTTAATAAAAGTACTGACTGAAGTTTTTATTTATTTTGTATTTCATGATATAAACGAATTCTGGAATGTTCTGTGTTTCATGTTTGGTGCGAGGTAATTAGGTCACTGTAGAAAATAAATGCAATATCGCGCAAGAGCATAAAGCCCAGACTTTCGCTTAATGACGTGAATAAAGCATCGGGGAAAATTAGTTGTCACCACGTCAGAGGAGTTATAATATTTTTGGTCGGCCTATTAAATAGAAGTAGCCTAATTTTAGTTAAGATTAAGAGACCCTTTACTTGTCCACAGTGTGGACATTTTGTTGCCTATTTTTGTAAATAGTGAAAAATAAGATTCAGTAAGATTTAATATGATGTGTACCACCAATAAATGTCTACAATTCACGGTTAAGCAATAGACAGCATCACCTCAAACCACACCGCACAGCCTGTTCGTTTAGAGTGCTTAAATTGAGAACGGAATTAAGATGGAATATAAATGTGGTAATATTTTTGACGCTCGTACTCCACAATTGTCACTGTGTATTATTCAGAAGACGCAGATTTTTGTTAAATGTCATTTACCGTGGGAACAACTTGAAGAGTTACACCGACAAGAATTCCAAGGCACCCTTAACAGAAGACCACGTGACCAGCGCGGGGCGGGCGAACTACAAGCCATTTTGGGGACGGTGTCAGTTTCCACTGAGCACACACACGACTGCGTTCTTCTGGGGGTGAAGCGCTTATTTTGGAGCCAAAGTTGACTACACCAAGGCGAGGACTTGTCGAGTTGAACTCCGCGGTTTGGTTTGATCTTGGCTCAAGAGTCGGATCGGTATACAGAACGTAACCAGCGAGAAAGGAGTCGCTCTCTACATCTGAAATGCCTTTCGCTCCACGGTGCGCTATTCGCCACTGACAGCGTCTGCAACCTTCAAGATGGCGGCTCAACTCCTATTCATTTTCTGCTGATCGCCTCCGAACTTTCATTGTCTCTCCACGTTCAGACCAACGGATCCCTCGTATAACCATCAGGTAAGCCTTCTCCATCATCTTCTCCAACTAAACGACGGAAGGCGCGATGGTTTTGCGCGGAGCTGTTGTGTTTTCGCCCTGATGGAGGCTGCTAAGCTCCAACAGAGGCTGCGGCTGTTCCCGACGTGGAGCTGCGGCTGCTGCTTCAGAAAAACACCTTCTCACGGGGGCACGGCAGCACATTTTGATCCGCGATCTTCGGTGCTACGTAGAGGAGGGTTTTAAAGATGCAACCGATTAAGTTTGGACTCTGAGTATATTTCCATTGCGCTAAAAGTATTTATGCAAAAGTAAAAATCCTGGGTGAGAAGGACTGGCTTGTCTCGGATAAGCTGCGGGAAGTTACTCTTACGTTGTTTACTGATAAACTATCCCAATTAACGATGCCATTTTATAGAGACATCGACTTTGAGTCATGACTTTCCAAATAAAAATCTGTTTTTGTCTGTCCGTGGTTTTATGATGGAGATTTTAACTTAACTTGGGCTCCAATCACATAAGACAAAAGACGACACAATTTAACTAGGTAGAATTTAACGTGTTTCTAGACGTGAATACAATTGAGTCAGGTTTAAAGGAGTTCATTACAAGTTATTTTATTTACCCGCTCTGACATTTAGACTTTTAGGCACAATCTTTAGAGGTTTAAGTCGAAAATTGATGCGGCTGTGCTACTCTGTATTTTACCTCTACCTCTACCTTTACCCTTTGAATGCTATTGGTTCATACGCAAAAATATTTTTGTTTGTTCTGAATGTGCTACAGAAACATGCATCAGTTCCTTCTGCCAGGGGTTCATCTAACATTACCACAAATCCTCATGATCTAAACATTAGTTTGTATGTGCTGTGTTTAGCTCCTATGCGTTTTGAAAATTGAATGTGAGTTGTGTTTTCTTTGAGACTATTGCCTCCTACAGTTAATTGTCTTTATCCCAAAACCAATCAGGCACAGACCACTTACATCCAGCATTTGACTGCCTCTTTTAAGGTCTGATGTACGCGTTGGGATCGCGAACTGTTGTTTATACTTTTATATACGGGTGATCCTTGGTTCATGATCCTTAAAGTCCAAAGCATCGTTAACCTCATGCCTGTTATATATTTGAGTTATCCCAGTACAAACTAAGAAAAGTATATGGTAAAGAACAGAGTAAGACACATCGTTGTCTCCCCGCACTGCAGTAGCTATTACATTAGGTAATTTGAGGACTGCTTTAATTGCTTGTAATAATATATTTAGAAAATAAAGTGTATACATTGTGGCACGCTGACATAACTTTATATATTGCACAGTCTATAAACGCTCCAGTCTTGAAGGAATAACTGCGTGGCGAAACAACTGCTCATAAGAGTGATGCTGTCATCGCGTTTGGGATTTGCATTGCCGCTATATGTCCAAGAGAGTTCAAGCTTAGACTGCTATGAGCCCTGAGAAGTGTATTAATGTGTGGGTTAGCGCCTCCATGCACATGCACATGGACACACACATACGCATACCAAAATAACACATGTGGTACTGCTGTGGAGAGGTTAACGCTCTTTACCCGCGACACAAGCTGCATATAGTTTGGTTTAGTGTATAATTTATGTTTATGAAATGTATGTGTGTCGAAAATGTGTGCACTGCTGCAGTCGCTTGTCTAGCATGTTGCTGCTGCACAGGCTACTTGCTGTAGCTCGACGCGCCAGGAAGAAAGACAGGAACAAAATAACACGTCCATAGTCTGAGCTGGACCAGTGCTCATGGGCGAGGAAGGGCAGACGTCTCGCTTCGGACCTGTTTCAGACACCGTGAGGTGTGATTGTAGGCAAGCAGTCCGTTACTTCTTATTTTTCTGCCTCAAAATGGCAGCCGTGTTGTAGGCTGCTTGGCAATCCACCGTGAACGGGGAGACCGTGGCTTCACGGCTTGTTGTTGGTCTCAGTCCTGCTCCGCTGCCTTCCACCGGAGTCTACACGCGTGACAAAAACTAACGGGTTGCCATAGAAACCCCTGAGGTTCCAGTTCTTGGCACAGTAGACTGTAAATATTGCGTGGTACACGTCCGGTGAATGATCGCTTTCAAAGAGACTTATCAATACATCCTATTGTCTTAACGCCTTCTACACAATTTCATATTAAATGAGGAGGAAAACTGTTTCCGAATGATGTGTGAAATAATAAAATAAAATCCACAATCCTATACGCGGTGTAGTGACAACACGTGTTGCCTTTTTAAGGAAAGGATGTTAACATCTTTAATTTTTATTTAACATAAACGTGGACAGACTGACATAATACGTTACTGAATTTCCAGGACGAACCTTTTGGCTCGAGCGAATTAGCATAAAATATGGTTTTAAGACACTGAGCAAACGGACAATCCAAATGTCTACAGTTGTACTCGTACGCGCCACTTACGCTTCTGATTTTCTTCTGCAGGACTGTTTTTCTGGTCAGAATGCATCGCACCACACGGATAAAAATCACGGAGCTCAACCCTCACTTGATGTGCGTGCTGTGCGGAGGCTACTTCATCGACGCCACAACCATCATTGAATGTCTTCACTCCTGTACGCAAACAAATGTTAGCAGATGACGTGTATCTGATGTGTAACACTAATGGGACCTTCTTTTTGTTAATATAGTTTGCAAAATGTGTATTGTGCGCTACTTGGAAACCAGCAAATACTGCCCCATCTGTGATGTACAAGTACACAAGACCAAACCATTGCTCAACATAAGGTACATGTTTATAAGAGTTATGTCATTTTTATGTTTATTTTCTTTTAACCCAGGTTTGACTTTTTTGGCACTCCTATTGATTGTAATTGCCGTCTGCGTTATATACACTGTAAAAATATGAATGGATAATGATGATTCTTTTTTTCCCCTCACTGCCTGACAATAAACTTCTGACTTTTATAGAAAATAATATACAATATTACAGAAGAATCCCCCCTCTCCAAATTAATTATTTTTGGTAAAAATAACCAAACTAAAACAGGCAACAGTCCTTTTTTATGCAACTTCTGTTTTATACTGTTCAAACAAAATCCACGATTAAACTATTATTTTATTCTTCCAAGGTCTGACAAGACTTTACAGGACATAGTGTACAAACTGGTGCCTGGACTCTTCAAAAGTAAGGCTTTGATCTTCATTGTCATTTTTTAAAACCTCACAAACCACGATAACAAATATCTGTGTCTGTGAAACTAGATGAAATGAAAAGAAGAAGAGACTTTTATGCTGACCACCCTTTAGATGGTGAGTTTCGGAGTCATCCTAAGTACAAAATTCTGACCTGTGATTTTAAATATTAAACGTTTTTTTTTTTAAAGCTTCAAATGGAACAAATGAGGACCGTGGCGAAGTAGCAGATGAAGAAAAACGAATTATTACAGACGATGAGATCATCAGCCTCTCCATTGAATTTTTTGATCCAGCCAGGTACTGAAATATAATTACAAGGAATGGTTATTTTTAATTGTTGTTTTGTAGTAAAAGTATTTTCATTTTGTGTTTTATGATAAACTTTAGAATGGGAATGGGATCAGAAGGAAAACAAGTTAAAGAACAGGTACATTATTCAACTTACCATTTTATTGTATTCTTACATTTTTATCTTGGATAATTAAGTAAAAGTCACATATTTAACATTAAAATGCAGCTGGCAAACAAACGGTACCTGCAGTGTCCAGCAGCTATGACAGTGATGCATCTAAGGAAGTTTCTGCGCAGTAAGATGGACATCCCCAACATCTATCAGGTCAGAAACAATGAAGTTATTCTCAAATCATTCACTCAACTTCAATTATTTTTTTGTTTTGTTGTTCTTTTTGTAAGTAATGCTTAATATTTATATATTCAAAAGGTGGATGTTATGTATGAAGAGGAGCCTTTGAAAGATGACTACACATTAATGGATATAGCCTACATCCACACATGGAGAAGGGTAAGAATCTTTTTTGTTTAATTTAGTTTATCAATATTCTTCATGTTGGTATTTTGGCCAGGATTAATCCATGGTTTTATTGTATATAATTTAAAAGCTTAAGAATCTATTTTTAAAATGTGACTTATTATTTTGATGTGTTAGTTCTTTGGATTAATTAGTAACTTTCTTCGTGATTATAATCCTATAGTGTTGTGAGTGTGTGTTTTAAAGCAGTCTTTTGCACGATTTAACCCCGCAGAACGGTCCACTTCCCCTCAAGTACCGCGTCAGACCGAACTGTAAGAAGATGAAGGCGGCTGCCGCGGAGCAGGCTGGTCACAAAACGGGCATGTCCGGTCCTGAGAGCGACGCCGTCAGCGACAAAGCACGAAGTCCCGCGGGGGCTGTCGCCTCCTCTGCGCAGAGCCCTGCTATTGCGCAGTCTCCTCTCGCCCTGGAGACCACACACGCATCTCCCGGAAACAACGTGAACGGGACGTCAATGACCGCTCCACCGACCCCGAGCCGCTCCTTTACGCACTTCACCAGCAGCAACAATAAACCGAGAAAAGTGTCTCTGAACGGATCGTCCTCAGGATGACTCCCCGTGGAGTCGACCACACACCCAGCTTATACTTTTATGCCAACGTAGTCCCATGGTGGAAACGGACAATGTTATGTTTTCCTCAATTTGTAGCTAATATATTATCACATCTTACGTTCCTTTTAGTGGGATAGCATTTCAACACCGTCACGATTAAAGAAAACTTGTTTACAGCTGGAAATTTGAAATGAAAGTGTGGGGACAATATGGAAAAAGCTATGGTGAATTTACAGTGACTGAAGTTATATTTGTTTTGTTCAAATAAAACGAATGTGCAAATTCAGCCACGTGCGTAACGGGCAGAAGAGGACACCTGCATGCGTTTATCTCATGGGTTTTAAACAGTTTATAGCCTACGCTTTTAATACGCATTTTACGTTATAACCTTTATAAATCTAACATGTAGAGGAACGCCTTTATGACTCTTACGTGTGAGAAGTTGAGGTTTGCATCAAGACTGGAAAAGCGACATTGAAGACTTGATGTGAGGGGGAAGTTGTTTGCCTTCATAACAGTGCTTTGTAAAAAAAAAAAAAAAAAATTAAAAAGCGAAAAAAAATGTAGCTGATTTTCTAAAACCAGCTGAAAACTAAAACAGATCTTTTATTTTCTGTTCGACTGGTTATTGATGTTTTAATGTATCGTGTTTATTCGCTTGATTGTGAACAACCTGTTGTATTGTTACTGTTGCACAGTATAAAACATCTAAATAAACATTTTACACTCAAGATTGTCAAAAATTACATTGAATTCAACCTTTTATGCTAAAGTCTAAGAAGGAGAGAGAAGTCTAATACATAAAATGCCGTAAACGCAGATTACATAGTTGGAGTATAATGTTAACCACGCAAGAAGCAGTTCGTTTCACTGGTCTTCACATGTATCTTTGGCCTCTCTCACATCTTTAGAACATGTATTACAATGGAAAAGAGCCCTCTCATATCAGCCAAACATCTCAGCATGTAACTCTTTCTCTTGCGATTAAGTGTACTTGAACACTAAGAAACTTAAGCGCATCTTGACTATTTTGGAAACAAATTCCAATTCTTTTCTCAAATGGCCCAAAAAGGTAATACTGGGATGTAAAAGTGTCAATTCAACAGACGTTTTCTAATTTCTACAATTTTGCTGCCATCCATGTTAAACATTAATAAAACATATATGCAGTTATAAGCGTGAGTCAAAAGTCTATGCAGCTTGGGGAACTTCTTCGAGTGAGTTTGATACAATGTGTATGTAAGGTCAGTGTGGTTACATTTAAGCAAGGCTTGTTTGCTTAGGGTCAAGCTCAGGACCACAGGCTGTTGTTAGGACGAGTGAAGAGACGTGTTGGTAGGAAAAGCGCACAAGGTTATTTTGGCTAAAAAAGAAGCCTCGGTGTTTTGCATAATAACCATAGACTGTAGCGTTATATATTAATAACGCAAGAGTTTGGAATCATGGTGTATTGGACTTTATTTGAGCACAAAGCATAGAGTTCGAGAGCCGTCAGACGCTTGAATAGATACTGCCTTAGACCAACCTTGCACAAATGTGATGGAACATCTGGATTGTGTGTTTTTTTTTCATCTGTTCACAGGCAAACACTAGTTAAACACAAACGTAACATTAGCCGCTAACTGTTGCTAGCTCACATGACGTAGCGTGGAGCATGGTCAAGTGAACACAACGTGTTTCCGCCAAGCTGCACAGATATTCAAGTTAAAATGTTTAAATGAAATCAAATGTAGGAGAATAGCTAACGCTAAATCCAACCTTGATCTCCGGAGTTGACGGATCCACGAAGAAGAAATGCCCGCCAAGGAAGGTTTTTTTCTTTGTGATAAACATACGCGAAACAAATGAATGTGTTTTTACCGGGAGTGTATTGTTTTTTATACCAAGGACACACCGGGATTAAACACAAATGGAAGGTCAAAGTAGGTGCATAACTTGTAACCTGACAGGAGCAGAAGGTGAACATCATCTGCACTATACACGATCTTTGTGAGACTCCCGTTGCCTGGCTGTTGCCTAGGAAACGGCCACAACAACACAACGGAGCTTCATCTGGTTTGTCAAACCGTCCAGCTGCAGGAGCACATTTAGCTTGCATCAAGAGAAACAGGCATCGAACAATGAGTCAGCGACAAATTATTCAAGGTAAGACATCGTGTTAGCATTAGGAAATTAGCGTACTACTAAAGACGGAAGATCTAACTTAATGAGCTTTAGTTTTCGAACAGTACCAGAGATCACGAATGCAATTTGTCCAGACGGTGGCTGATCTTGCAAACCGGCCACAGAACATCGAGATTCTGCAAAATGCAGGTGAGAAACATGTAAAGGACAGTTGAACATGAACATCATTCGGATAAACTTTTGATTCGCAGGTGTGATGTCCTTGCTACGCCCTCTCATGTTGGATGTCGTGCCCAGTGTCCAGCAAACTGCTGCCTTGGCTCTCGGACGGCTGGCAGACCATAATAATGACCTGGCTGAAGCTGTGGTTAAGGCAGACATCCTCCCACAACTTGTTAACTCCCTTGAGTCCCAGAATGTTAGTATGCATACTAATGTATGGTTAACAAGACAAATCAATGAAAGAGAGAAGAAATGCAATTTTTCAGGAGGAAGGCCTTGTGCTTTTTACAGCCAACAACAATTAAATAATGTACCTGCATGTCTCTTGTTTCTTCAGAGGTTTTACAAAAAGGCAGCAGCTTTTGTGCTGCGAGCTGTGGCCAAACACTCTTCCCAACTGGCTGAGGCTGTGGTGTTGTCTGGAGGAGTCAACGCTCTGGTGCTTTGCCTCGAGGACTTTGACCCTGGGGTGAAGGAAGCTGCTGCCTGGGCTCTGGGCTACATTGCACGGCATGATGCAGGTAATACATATGAACAGCTGAGAGAGTTATTAATTTGTTATAACACTTATGCTCTACAGCTCTATCCCAGGCGGTGGTGGATGCAGGTGCGGCCCCTCTGCTGGTCTTGTCTCTCCAGGAGCCTGAAATAGCCCTGAAACGTATTGCTGCCTCCACACTGAGCGACATCTGCAAACACACACCACAGCTGGCCCAGACTGTCGTGGACACTGGGGCTATTGCGCATTTGGCACAAATGATTCTGAATCCAGATGCCAAATTGAAGGTAGGACCCACACTCCTGATGTCTGGTGCAAAAAAATCCTCAGAAATTAATTCACGTAGTATCAACACACAAAAACAACACACATACAAAATGAAATAATTGTAAAATGAAATAACAATATGAGACATGTTTAATGTAACGTTTGAAAATGTTCTTGTGTGAATCCAGAGGCAAGTATTCTCAGCGCTGAGTCAGATCAGTAAGCACTCCTACAGTTTGGCCGAGATGGTGATTGAGGCTGAGATTTTTCCTGCAGCTATTGCCTGTCTCAAAGACCCAGACGAGTATGTGAGGAAAAATGTCACAACGCTGATGAGGGAGGTTGTTAAACATACCCCAGAGGTACTTATCATACACGTCTCTATCGTGTTCTCGTACAGACATGGAAAAGTCATGTGGAACTGTACGTTTCTAGCTGGCTCACTTGATTGTGAACTGCGGAGGTTTGGCAGCGGTTATAGACTACTTGTGCGACTGCCGTGGACAGCTGCGTCTGCCTGGGATCATGATGCTGGGATACGTCGCTGCACACAATGAGAACCTTGCCATGGCTGTGATTCTTTCCAAGGTGTGTGAGAGACGTAAAACACCACATACATGTGATAAGAATGTTTATTATATATAATTATATATAATATATAATTATATATATTGTTATTATGTTTTATATATACATATATACATATAATCTATTTCCATTTGTGATATTTTACAAACAGAGGAAAACAAATCTAAACTGATTATTGCACTCCACCTTCTTTTATAAATGTTTATTAAAAACAATCCTACTTTCCCATTGACCTATTATTTAAGATTAAGATGACGAGATCCTTTATTCCTGCCACAGTTCGGACATTTCGAGGATGTTGCATCAAGTTAGAGAACAGTTGAAATGAGGAGCACACAACGCTGAATAATAAATATAGCACAGCTCTATTTATAGATCTATAGCTTTTTAAAGAACCTGTGTTCTCTAGAGCAAAAACATTTACTTATATGTATACATCTATAGATAATTCAATAATACACTCAAGATGTATCTAGAATATTGAGAATATAATGTAAGAAGTCATTAGCTCTGTGGGTTCAAATATTCAGAGTGATGATGTTAGCAGCACGAGGCTAAAAGTGACTAAGTAAAGTGACAGTGGACACATGTGGTCCCATATTGCACATTTTGACTCTCTCTATCTCTCTTTCCAGTTCTCAAACTGTTGTCTTTGTGCTGCCCTGTCCTCTAGGGGGTGCCTCAGCTCAGCTTATGCCTGTCAGAAGAATCAGAGCATCACATCAAAGCCGCCACAGTGTGGTCCATAAACCAGATCGGACATCACACTCCCGAACACGCCAAAGCAGTGGCCATCTGCGGCCTGCTCCCCACACTGCTGCAGCTCTACATGGACGCCAGCAGCTCTGAGGACCTGCAGACCAAGGCGAGGCCAAGTTGTAAACATGTCAGAAAGTAGAATTCTAAAGCATTCTTGATGGTTTGTTTGATTCACTTGTGCGCAACAGAGCAAGAAAGCTTTGAAGAGCATCCTCCAGAAATGCACATATCTCCCTTCACTAGAGCCGCTCCTCTACGATGTCCCCTCCAACATTCTCAAACACGTGGTCGGCCAGTTCAGCAAGGTACAGGCTGTCCATCTCTAACTTTTCGGTCTTGAGTGATGTGTACAATCTCATCATTGTGTGAGGCCAGTCTGGTACCACATATTGTGTCATTACAGCTAAAGTAGACAACATCAATTTCTATTTCACTTGTTTAGAGATGTACTTAAGGTTAGAAATGTCTTTAAACAACAGAAATGATCTAGTCTCACTTCAGATTACTTGAGTTGTGTTTATTATTTGAGATAATCCTGAATTAAATAAGTGTATATCATGTAGAATACTGTGCTGTGGGGTTGGACTGGCCAAGTACCGGAACTGAAGTGTTGGCATCTGGGGTTTTGCCGATATTTACAGAATTACATTCTGCAAAAAATCTCAAATGTTGTGAATAATTAAAGTTGCAGTACTTGACTTTGAAACCACAACCAAATAACTATTGAATCCACTACTTTCAACACTCAACACTGCTTGGATCCTTTCATCATTTATGTTTGGTCACAATCATAAAAAAAGACAACAGATTTGTTGGAAAGGTCCGGCTTTAAAATTAGACTTTAAGTTTTCTGCTTAAGTTTTCCGTCATGAAAATGTTTTGACTGCCCGTAATCTGAAGCTGTTTAATACAAAATGTAAAGCATTCCAGGACACATACCTAAAATAAAGATGTATATATATATATATATATATATATATATATATTAGTGTTGTATTTATGTTGTTGTCCTCAGATCCTGCCTCACGACAGTAAAGCGCGGAGGTTGTTCGTCACCAGTGGAGGACTGAAGAAAGTGCAGGAGATTGACGCAGAGCCGGGCTCCGAGCTGCAGCAGCACATCGACTCCATAAACAGCTGCTTCCCAGAAGAGATCGTCAGGTCTGTGCTCCTGCTGTCCACTCAAACAATTCATCTGTTTTTTTATGACCAAGTCTTTGTGTTTACAGATACTACTCCCCTGGATACTCGGAGGCGTTACTAGAACGTTTAGAGAACTTCCAACCAGCCTGAGTAAACTTTAACAACAGCACAAACTCTATTTTTTATTCAACAACCATTAAGATTGTTTATGTTACAAAACAAAAATAATAATACTTTATTAACCTAATATAAGGGCAGAGGCTCTGTGCCATTATATATTTTAAATTATTTCCTAATTACAGCCATTTATTCTTTGACAGGCCAAAATCTGTATTTAAATGTTGCATAATTGGTATAATAATGCTAGGTACACAACTGTATTATATTATTATACATCAAACAGCCTTTTACAGTCTGTAAGATTTTATCTCGTCCTAATCATTCAAAGGAAAAGCTGTTGTACTTGAAAACAATGACCAGTGCCTCCTGTGTGGCAGCATAAAGGGGGAAGTCACAGGTCAAGTTCAGTGGCCTTCTCCAGACTCAAGGATCCACTGAATTGGGACTGAGACAACTGGACTTTACTCTATATATTTTGTTGTCAGATAAGTAACAGATAACTTATAAACATAGAATGTGATTCTCATTTCCAATCAAATCAAACATTCTGGGACCTGTTTAAAGTCCATACTCAAATAAAATTAAATAGAACAGTCCAACAAGGTTTAAAAAATAAAAAAATAAAATTAAAAAAGTTAATAGAGATTGTATATGTTTTCTGCCTGGACCTATTTGCTTTATTAGAGCTCCCTAAATCAAAAGTTCAGTAATAATTGCTTCAGCTTGGAAAGGGGAAATTGTCAAAACCCAACGGTGGGTCATTCTACAATCCAACACGCCATAGCACAGACACAGCTATACCATATTTAAAAAAAATCTTTATCTATACACGTATTGTTCCCACTCATGATGTAATAATTTAGGTTAAAACTACAGGGCCTCGTCTTCACAAATAATCCTGCCACTTATTTGAACTCAAAAGGGACCTGGAACAAATGTAGTTTGATTATTCCCCCCGCGGTATTTGTAGGTGAGTGAGAGGGAAAATGCCGGAATAAAAGTCTCTGTAATGTAGTCCGATTATGATCTGCACCGTTATTAGTCGTTTATAATTTCATTTGATATTTTTTGACACAAGTCTGAATGCGTTTATTTATGTTTAAATGTTAGATCAGTGTGATATCTTGCCCCTGTGAATGTTCTGCCGAAGCCCCGCGTCGAGACGGTGTGAGCGGTGGAGCGGATGATGATTTCATCTGGTGATCCGCAACGACCCCTGGCGGATAAAGTGTGAAGTACAGCGGTGCAGCGAGCGGCTGAGGACGTGTTCCTCCCGCGAAGATAAAGGACATAAAAGATCTGCGCACGAGTGGGACCGAAGCGTTTGGCTTTATATTTAATATTTTACACCATTTCAAAAAATCTTGGACTATGTGGCTTAGCCTGTAAAGAAAAAAAGCAAAAACCCGAAGAAAGTAAACATATAGGCTTATTCATATCGAGCGTGTCAAATCGATTTTTCATTTAAATGATAGATAAAAGTTGTCGTAATAATAAAAATAAAAATGTAACGTGCTTGTAACGTACCTTGCAGATCTGACCAATGATTTCTATTAAATAATGAGTGTGTCAACCCTCGATACCGTTTGTTTATTTATTTGAGCAAAGCAGCACAAAGTCGCACTCGCCAGATAAGACCAATTCGTATAGCATTAAAAATATGAAATATAATTAATATAGATATATTACATAAAAAAAACATTAAATACAAACTAGGTTACAAGAAAGAAGCGTGCATTGAGATCAGCTGAACAAGTGCTTTTATTGGTTTGAGAAAACGCTTATGGAATGGAGTGTCTTATTATTTTTATCATTTCATGTGATAAACAAACATTTTGGCCTCTTTGCCACAGAACACGATTCTCTCAACACCATTTCATATCACGCACGCACACACACAGGACATTTGGGAACCACATGGATAACTCTATAGCTGATTTAGGCCCACAAACTCTCAGATTATTATTATATTGTCAGCTGTAATTGTTTAAAATGGCCATAACTGCAGATCCTATGTGGCTTCCAAAAAGTTAAATTTCCCTTAAATCTAAATGGTTATTTGTGATAGCTTGTTACTGTAGACATTTCACATAAAAAGGGATGCAGGAGGTGTCATTTTACCCAGAAAGTTTGAGTTGAAATATACAACACACACTGTTAATCCGGCTCACAGTGACACTTTCTGGTTACGTTTTTGTTTTTGGCAGATTTTGTGGTTGACAACAAAGAACATGGAAGAGCACATCAAGTCACAAAAAGCTGTTTGTTTTGTATGTACAGCAGCAGCAGCAAGAACATGTGTCATTTTACTTTTATAAACATTAACCGGTTTGCAAAAATGAATGTACAAAGCATGTGTCTGTAATTGTGTATTCTTCAGTTGTGGTGAAAAGCTAGTGTGAGTGAGCCAACCACTGTTTTTTCAAAGATACATAAAAGGAAAAGAATATTCCCATGAAGTTAAGCAAAGAAAAAAAGACATTTGTGGCTGTGTATTATATCAGCCATGTCAAAGAAATGGCAACGGATTATTCAAAATGGTTACTTTAGAATTGACTACCACAGAAATGATAAAACTACAACACACACACACTCCACAATTTCAGACAAAGGCAGGACTAGCATCCACAAAACAAATTATTATTATGTCATTACTGGGGGCCTGAGCACATTTAACATTTCCATTTTACAAGCCGTCAATTTTCAAAAAGCTATTTATTTTAACAATCATTTCCAGTATGGTATTATTCCACTGACACAACAAATACACATACACTTGGAGCAAAAGAAAAAAAGGGCATAAAAAGGGAAAATTAAGGAACATGTATCTTTGTTTAAAAAAAAGAAAAAAGTAGAAAATTAAATTATTTTGGGGTATAAAGGCACACATGTTGCACAGTGTATACAATAAACCGTCAATTAAAGCGTGGTATAGAGAATATATAACAACATCTGAACAACGACCAGAGCAACCGGCAACATGCACTTTTAAAATGTTTTTTTGTTTGTTATTTAGTTTACACCTATTAAGCTGTAAAAATTCAAACTTCATATAACACGGCACAAACACTCATCAATAAAAGTGGCTCCATTTATTTTAATAGATTTATATTAATGACCAATGTAAAAATATAAGTGTGAATATATTTTTTTTTTATACATCAAAACATGTTGTAACGGAAGCTTTTTGGAACATTAATGAAAAAAGGTATTGTTTTAAAGTTGGTTATTGATAAACACAACATCAGTCACACACTCGCACATATTGCATTTCCCTTGTTAAGACCGTAACAACCCAGGGGGATCTTATTCGAAACATTTGGTTCCTTTTCCTCTTGTGCAAAAATATACATAAAATATATTGAACAGATAACACAGGAATTGCAACCGTACAAATTCAATCACTGCCAAATTCCAAACACAGGTAAAAACCACTGTAAAAGTGTAAATTACGCACACACAAAGAACAAATCGAACGAAAAAAACAAAACAAAGAGGTTAGAGAAGACGGCTGTTGTAAATGACCTGTGTGTTTGTTTTAGCCATTTTTTTTTTTTTTAAACACTGACACCCACACAAACTAGTTCTACCGTGCGTGTGTGCTGGTACGATGCCGGAGGTAAACGTCTGCCCTGAAATTACATGCATAGTCTCCGTAAGCCTGGGTTACAACGATTAATCAGGCTTGTAATATATAACAGCACTGCGCAAAGTCCAAATGATAACAAGAAAAACAAATAAACTTCAATATTTAGCCCATTTTTTTTGCAAAGAATTTCACATTTGGGTGACAGTACACACCACTCATAGACTATGCACAAAAAATATTGCTTTTAAATAATTTTTTTCCCCATAACTGTATATTTTTTTACTTGACTTTTCGCAGTGCTGTTTCTAAGTGTTGGTTTGCCTTTTTGTTGCAGCGCATGTAACAGAACGAGGACTCCTAACCTCTAACAAATAAAAGTGCAAACATTTTATTCATAAGGTGCTGATGGCAAAAGAAGGGTAAGGGCTGCTGATGATTGGATGAGGACTTTAGCCACACTGAAAGTCTGGGACGTTTGCCACATTGATAACGACTGAAAGCGTATTTTTTGAGCTTCAAATGTGCATTCGAATCCTCATTTTGACTGATGTAAACATATTTACTGTACATCGTTAAACAATTTGCAAAACGCGGTGCAAAAACAACGGAGGTGCAACTAAGTGCTAACAAATAAATTACAATTGGGAGGAAAATGCGTTGAAAGTGAATGTGGCGAGAAGAATCCAAGCTCAAATCATAAAGTGAAATGTATAAACGGGAAGATTGGTTTTGGCTGAGCTCTTTAAGTATTTTTTAATGGGATTGAGGGAACTGGCTGTTGGCCTATTGGAAGACTGCCTCCCTGAAACAAAGTGTTGCATTACGTAAACGTTTTTTTTAATATCACGCGCTCGAGCCACGTCTCTTGTGCGAAACTCCCTTAAAACAACCTCCCCTGAACGAAGAGAAACGCATATAAACATACCGTAACTGTATAAACCATAAAAAGGGGACAGGGTGTTACAGATTTGAAAAAAAGCTATACTATTCCCACATTAACATACAATTGCATACAAAAGAAGCACAATGACATGGACACTTGCTTGTAACACCCTTTTCTCCAAAGTAACATGAACAAACTCAACAGAGGACAGGTTACATGTAAACGGATGGTGGTTTTAGCTGCAGAGAGTGATATTTCTTTGAAAAGGACCAGACCAGAGTTACATCCCAGTAACCCACTCCCCTCCTTGTGGCTCTGGACTCTCGAGGCTATGAGAGAATGGTGGTGATGAAATCATAAAACCTCTTGGAGTACTGCTCGGGGTTCACTGTGGAAATCTCTGCTCCGGCCTGTACAGAGACATGGGCATTAGGAATTATCATACATGTTATACTTTGTTCTAAAAGTACACATATCCAGCCTGTTCTGCTCCCAAACATCTAGCTGGCTCGTTGTGCCAGTTTTTTTTTTTATAGAATGTGGAGGAAAATATAGTTAAAGCTGGAGTACCCAAGAAACTGGAGCTGGAGAAACCACAAATACTATGTAATAAAATCATTGGGACTTGTTCCTTGCTCTCAAAATGTTTGGTTCTATCGGTCATTTTCCCATGCATGTATTTCTGGCCTCTGTCACATGTTTAGATCGGCTTTTTCAATAAAAAAAGAGAGAACAAGACCTCACTCATTCAATCAGTTCTTAGTAGGTAAAAGATAAATACTATAAGTACTCCAGCTTTAATGTTAAACTGGTATTTTAACGTTACATCAAATTATAATGTGCTTTAACAAATGATTCATATTTAGTCATAAAAAAAAAAGAAAAAGTCTTATTGTCTGCATGTTTAAGCGACTCACTGCTGATAGCAACTTACCCCATGTTTGACAGTCTTTGCAGCGTGAGCAGCTTTCTTCTTGGCATCATAATGTTGCAGGATATCAATAATAGCCATGAAATAAACCTCCTTCCTCGGGGCACCGGCTAAACAAGAAGATGGGCATGAGTTAATGACAGTTTGTCCAGCAGAGGGCGCTGCAGTAAGACTTACTGTCAGTGCTTTTGATGGCATACACGTCTATGGCTGGGTCAAACTCTCCTGGACCCAGCGGCTTGGTGCTGTCCAGGGTGTTACTGGGACTGTCCGGAGGAGTCCCGATGCCTCCTCCGTCACTCTCTCCCTCCTCCTCCACCTCGTTGTCCTCGCTCTCCACATCCTCCTGCTCCGCGCGGTCCACATCATGGATCCCCACCAGCAGACTGTAGTCCATGAGCTTCAGCTGGGCCAAGAACTGAGAGAAACAGACATGAGCAAACGCACAAGAGAAAAGTAGAGCCACAGGACAACGCCTCACACCTCCACGTCCTTCTTTAGCTTCTCCAGGAACATTTTCTTGTTTTCTCCATCGATGTAGATCTTCATGCCGTCGTTGATGAAGTCATTGTCCTTGTACGTGGGCAACTCTTTTGCCTGCCCATCAGTGTACAAAATTAATATTCAGGTTGAAAAAAAAACATAACACATTTAACATCACACAAACATAAAAGAGTAATGAAACCGGCCCTGAAAAGTGTTTTATTACACACACCAAACTATTACACATTCTTGGGTCCCGACATTAAACTGTTCATGCTGGAATATTAAAATATGAAAGGATATTTCAACGCTGTAGTCAATACAGCAACCATTAACACCAAGGCCTATTACCCCTAGTTAGAAAATCCTGAAATGTCATAATATTGTATGCATGCGTTTATCATCCAGGGGAAGTTGGTCAATGAAATCCATTTTCTAGTTCAAACTCAGGGCTGGCTTCCTTTCTCCACGGCACAAAACATGCAGCATGCAGAGTGCAGAGTAAAGACCATCCATGCCTCATGATTTATGTGAAGGCAGGCAGGATAATGCTTCTGCCCAATGCCCTTATTGAGAAGAGACTTTATTGCTTTTAATGCATGCAAGGTTTTCATACACTTTATCAATCCAGGGGTACGTGAGGATGTGTGCCAGTCCCCTGGCTAAGTCCTGTATGTGCTTGATAAATCAGTTTGTTATCATTTTAAGGGGTACTAATCACTACTGCATGTGAACAAACACTTGATAAATGAGGCCCTTAGAATTTTGACTTGAAAAATACAGTATTGTGTGTATGGCTCAATAGCATTATTATTTACAACCAATGTATAAAACCCATGTAAACAAACAGCTCTTTCCAAACCATTAACAGTAGCAGTAAAACGTATTAGACCAAAGTGTGAACAAAAGGTGACGTAGAATATGTTTTTGTAATATTTGTGTAAAGTGCAGGGTTGCACTAGCGTCAGCCTATAGGAGAGATGTTACTTGAGGCGGGACGGTGCCTTGTTTCAGGTCACTGAGGAACAAGAAGGATTGAGGTAACAGGCAGCACTTTAGCCGCTACAGCGTTTCTATGGCAGCAGGACTCCAGCCACACACACCATCAACACAGACATAACACCAGACAAGAGACGCGGAGCGCATATACAGACATAGATCTTCAGAAATGAGGTGGCATTTATTTCAAACAAAAGACAACACAAAAATAAATGCAGCCCTGACGACATTTCACCTGCTCCCACTCAGACACACACCCACACACACACTCACGCCCATGCACTCTAACTGCCAATGTGGAGCAGCTCGCACTCAAAGACCCGGGGTCTCCTACTTTTTATACACTAGATGTAATGAAATGGGTTTCAGAAGAAGCATCACTAAGCGTACTAATCATGTCCCCATGTCCAAAGAATACAGATATATTTTTTCTCCCAGACATTTCATAAGCAATTTGGTCAACAGTTCAACAGCATTAGAATGTGTACTTGCTAAATAACCCTCTCAAGGACTGTCTTCAATGAGCAAAAGTGTAAAGTGTGGACTGTGAATCACAGGGCATCACCTTCTGGAGGATGTGAAAGGAAAATGATCTGTGCAAAACTCAAATGAATTGGTTGAATAGATCATGCCTGATACGGCCCTGGGTCCTTACATCTCTTACGTGTTTCATGGCGCAGTAAAAGCGCGTGGCAATCCGCAGTGTTTGCAGCCTTTGTTGGACGTTACCAGATTTGGGCCGCGGGGGCGCGTCCTCTGATGGGGGCGGCTGCTTGGAGGGGAGTCAGGGAGGGGCGCGGGAAAGGAGAGAAGAGAGGAGGCAGTTGGAAGTAAAGACAGACTGTGGAAACTGGACAATCCCCGAGAAGAATGCCTGCATTCAGACGTCTAAGAGCGCGTCTACAACCAACACTTAATGCAGTAACCTGTCATCGTCATTTACATGATCCAAAAACTCATTCAATATTCAAATCCTTTCTCATTTTCATGCAATATCTACAAAGGGAACATTTTTGCAAGACAAGCAGGATCTGAAAGGGAAAACAAAGAAAAGAATTATTTTTGAAAGTTAAACTATTCAGATCTGAAACTGTCCATATATGATTATAACTAAACCAAAAGTCTCCATCTATATTTGAACAAATAAAGTCATCCAAAGCAGTTATCACCAAAAACTGCAAAAGAATAACCGGAACAAAAACCAATTTGGTGTTTACTTATGATCTGAGAAGAAGTCAATGTGAGGGAAGAACTGCTGCTTTCTGACCAAAAACAGATACAAAAGCTGAATTTAAATATTTCGGGAGTAAACTAATAAATGCATGCATAAATGTAGATGTATTAAAACAGATACAATGGAGGAGCTGCAGCTGACCTTTAACAGAAAAACTGACAATGCAGGTGCATGCAGAAGAGGGACGTGGCCATGCAGAGAAACATTCTTTTGTTTGTGTTAAATGTGCTTTCCTGGTGTCTGACAGGAAAAGTTTACGATCCATAAATCTTATCGATGATGCAAAAAAAACCCAATACAAGACGTGTAAATGTCTTCCTTGGCCATGAACTGTGGCCTGAGAGTTGAATCAAAATCCGCTGTCAGAAAGAGGTCACACAGTCTGCTCACATGTGTGCAGTAAATCCTCTTCTGCGTTGTTTTCTACTGATCTCTTCTAATCCCAATAATGTTTAGTGTCTTCGACCATTTACACTATTCTATATTTTCCATGAGATTTCTGCAAGTCTTCCATGCCCCAGTGCACAGTGCCACACGTATCACGCTCCTAGAGAGAGGCTGAAACAGAGTCAATGGAGCATCCACAGATGGACATGTGGAAACTGCAGCAATCCTGAACGCATCACAGAGACTCAAGCACCATGTCCAAAATGAGCAGAGACACCACTTTGTCATAGGAAAAACGATTAGAATAATGTTAAAGAATGAATTAGACACCGCTTGTACGGTGAAAAACAGCCCACATTGGATCACGAACGCTTTCCGCAACATTGAACAATCTCTCACACACATGCCCTCAGCAGAGAACAGAGCCACATGAAATCAGCGCGTCTGATTTGAAACAGCTCCTCACTCCAACAGAAGCAGAGATCGGCCAAAGCATGAAGAGGGAAGCTGCGTGCGGGAGGCGAGAGGAGGGGGAGGAGGGGTGAAGGAGGCGCTTAGTGAAGGAGATGGACGCCGTCTACGGTCATCAGCCCAAAGGCACATCGCACACATGTGCTTTAGTGAGTCAGGGCAGTGACAGTGAACCGAGGATGATTTTAACCACTTAAAACAGTTGCAATGACGTCATATTGAACTAAACAGCATGCACAAAACCCTCTCTAAATTATGTTTCCAAATGTGGCGATTTTCAAATTAAATATTGATAATAATCGCAACTTAAACTTTTTTACAGACACAAGGTCCAGATGAAAAAAGACATTACAAAAAATAAACATACATATTTACAGCAGAGTACTGCGCCAGAGTAATGTAACTGTAGATCTCATCATAAAAAACATCATGCAGAAGTAAATTACGTGTTTTAGTTCTCAAGCTATAACAATTTTTTAAAAAAGGATTTCCTCTTTCAATGCTGACATTCTGTTGGTGAAAAGCTATAAATGTATTTCCCTGATCTGAAGGTTCTACTCTAAAGAAAATCCAACACGTCAGAGCTAAAGCAGCATCTGACTGACTGAATCTTGGAGCTTTAACACACCCATAACCACAGGTTCTGAGTATGTACAGTATATAGACTAAAATCTCAGGTAATAAACAGTACTTTGAGTTTAGTTTTTATAGTTCTACATCAGCGTGTAGACCTACCTTCTCCTTGTCACTGGCTTCCCTGGCCACAGTCGAACCCTAGAGAACAAAATCCAGATGTCATCACAACTACTCGTTACAAACATCACGTACCAGAGGTGGCAAAAGTAACGCTGGGGTACCTAATTTTCAAACCAAGACATGAACTATTTAAATAAAATCTCTCTCTTAAAACAGTTTGCTTCATCTCTAGTTTTCACAAAGTTCTAATTTTGGGCTCTGTCAAATATTTAGTTTTTTCAGACAGAAAAGTGAAAATGCACCAATCAGCTCTCACCCCAAAACATCTATTAGTGACTATGATTATTTTAATGGTAAAAAGAGTCCTTCTATTTCTGTTGGGATGAATTTCTTTGTTGAAAGGTTACGTACCCCAGCTTTAAGTTTAAGCTTTAACGGTGTTGATGCTAGAAACAAAACAACTGGTAAAAGCATGTGCAAAAGGACCCACTGCATTTGGCTCCTACCTTGAGGTCATATTTTTTGAAGACAGAAAGGCGATGTGAGAAGACGTTTCGAGTCACAATCATGTAGGTTTCATCTCCGTCGACTGTGATCCGGTACATTCCCAGAAACTGAGGCAGCAGCGTGTTTCCATGGCATTCAACAATAAACTACAAAAGAGAAATCCTTCATTAAACACTGTATTAAACCAGGACATGGACCAGACCTCATCTTAGGTTCTACAGCCACATCTTCACCAGGAACATCTCCAAAGGGTTTAGGAATTATATGTAAGGGTTAAACAAGGTGTTTAAAAGAGTCTAAACCACAAAACCGCACTGCTCTGAGTTTAATCTGCTTATACTAAGGTCAAAACACTCACAACCAAAACTAATTCAAAAATATATATATATTGTCCTCTACACTCTCAAAAACATGTTTGAGGAAATTGACTACTTTATGAGCCAAGAGCCAGCAAAAGCTCCTCAGCAACTGTTGATATGACCAAAGTGTAGATTACAGAGAAAATATAATATAATCATTTGTGAATAAGTTAAACGTTTGGCATGTCATGCAACTAATTGTAATTCAACACGCTGATGTATGACAGACTTTAAGATAAGATGTACTTTATTAATCTCACACAGGAGAAATTTACATGTCACGTTTGGCATGGATAGAAACACGCAGATTGTGCAGAAAGTAAGAAATGTGCAAACAGGAAAGGACATATTATGTACAAAAAAAGGAACGTCATAATCCAAACTGAAAGTTAACTATGTTCAAAGCTATGTGTTACTATGGTAATTTAACATGAGGTTTTAACGGTATTTCTCGATGGTACATTGGATGGGTTCCTCACAGACTGTGGTATAAATGTACATTATGATTGCAACAGCATTTGTACATTTGTACATTTGTGTTTTGTAGAAATCCCTTGGACTGTTAGATTGGCTCAGCTAACACTAATTTGAGTAGATCTCTGCGTCTTTTGTTTAGTAAGTCTCTGGTAGCACCAGTGTGGGGCAAAGATCACCTGGTGATACTTCTTCAGGATGTTGTGCATCTCGGCCACGTCTTCGCTGCTGATGGTTTTGATGACATAACGTTTGTCATATGACGTGTGGAACCGGGCACCGCTCCTGCCCTGCGCCTCACTGTTCAGAGGGGCACTGCGAGTCAGCGAGTTCTGCACAGAGGAAAAAATATATACTTCAGATTTTAATTTGGCAGCAAGAAAATATACAAACTCTGCATGAAGAGATTGTTCCTATACAGGCCCGAGAGAATCATAACAATATTTTCCTTCACAAAGTAGTTTTCATATACCGCTGTCACTCAGTACAGAACAGCATGGTCCGGCCTTATTGTTCACAAAATGTTACTTAAACAAGCCAATTTCTTTTCAAAACAAAAGGTACTCCAGCTTAAGTTATATTTAGAACAGTATGTGTTCCTTCCTGCCAAATCAGTAAAATAAACCCTGTAAACCATGATCTGAGAATGCAAAGATAATTGGGCAGTATGTTTAGTCTAACATCTACCACTTAAAAGGTACACTGTGTAATTTTTAGTGCCATTTAGCGTTGAGATCTTGTATGGCAGTCCAAGGTACTACGTAAGCAATCATTCACCAGACTGCCAAGGAAAGAATACTATAGTTTGATAAATGACCGGATCTCTCCAAACGTCTCGGCCACTTGACAGTCGCGTGGAGGCGACATGTAAACAAGACCGTGTTCTGAACATAGACTGTATATATTAACGGACAGAGTCACGCCTATCTCCGCCGTTCTAACTAATGGGCCAAAAATAGTGCTCTACTGGAGCTATCCAAAATGGTCGCGAGTGGTCCCGCCCTCAAGAAAAATGTGAAAAAACGCATCTGCGCATGCGTCAGCTCCATTCATTAGAACGAGAGACTTCAAATATTCACAGCAAGTAAACTAGAGTGGTCCAAAAAAATCCACCCCCCTCAGCATTGACACACATGTGGAACGTAGCTTTGGGCCAAGAGCCAGGACCATCCTGTAAAGACGTTTTCGAGAGGTCTGCCAATGCTATATGTTAGCATTGGCTAATTCTTATTCTGGGTCCACCCCCATCGGCTCGGGGTGGTATTGCAAGCATGTCAGCGCACGTCATTTTGGCCACTTTTGAGCAGGGACCCGCCTCCACTGGTTCTGAAGCGGCACCCTGCACAGAGGCTCTACTGAGTTTTACCATGGACCTATTTTAATTAGGGCTGTCAAACGACAGCCCTGATTAATCGCATAGTAATGATGAGTTAACTTAGCCTGGCTCTGCCAGACCCTTGTAGTTCCGCCATGCTCCACCAGAGGCGTTTGGCTGAACCACATGGGTCTGGTATCGAGCCCATAGCGAACGCCTTCCCCAGATTATTTTTTAATCGACCAATCAGGATTGCCGGTGCTACGTGGGGTTTGTACCGTCTTCTCAAGCTTCTCTCATGCAGCAGCGAGTGGAATCCAAGATGGCGGACGTAAAGTCCGCGAATCTTTTTAAAAGAGTAAATACGATCGAATTAAGACACGGATGTCACTTTTAATGCAATTTGAGGCGAGATGTTGATGGTTCTATGTTGATATATGTGTGTTTTAAGAGTCAAATGTTCCTGTAAAGTTTGGTTGAAGCACTGGTTCAGTGTTCCCGTTTACACACTATGCAGCAGGGTTGCCAGGTTTGTTGGTTCCCGCATATTTTTTTCCAAGAGACTTGTAGGTATTAAATAAACAGAAAGACAATAAACAGAATCATGATAGCCCAAGTTGATTACATTACGTTTTTAGCCAAAAAATCATACTGAGTGTTTTTTTGTGTGGGTATTCTCGTTGATTTTGGGTTGGAAAATCTTGCTGGGATTTGGCAACCTATGGGAGCCGTGTGCTTCGATGTGAGTGGTTGAAAGCAGACTTCATTAAAGATAACGGACAAGTGGTCTATCCAATCACATACAAGGATTTTTTTACAAGGCCCTGCCTTCTGAAATCCAACCACTATGGCTCAGTACCAGACTCATGTGTGAAGTGCAGCGAACTACATGGGTCTGGCGAGAGTCAGGCTAGAGTGAACTCACGATTAATCGCATTTTTAACATTCTATTTCAAATCCACTCCAATTGAAGTTAAATGAGATTTTCAAATGTAATGACACATTATTATTCATACCAAATGTACTTCAATCTGTTTGACTTTCTCACAACCTTCTACTTTTGGGTACAACCAACAAGAGCCGTTAATGAAAGGAAAAATGTAGGTACCCCAGCTTTAATTTTGCGAGTTTGGTTGCATTTCAGCGTGTCTCCTCCTCTCCTCCATTATCAGAGAACATCAGAGAATGGCCCCTGTGCGTGTACATATATATGCGTGTATTATATGACCACGTTACCGCTGTCACCATCACACACGCACGTGTCCGTGGCATTCTGAGTGATATTATTATAAATGGGCGGGTCATTTGGACATGCGATTGACTGCCAGCCTATTTCAGAACAGGTACCCACAGAATATTGTGTACTATGACTATCTGAAATCCAAAACCAGAGTCTGAAAGTGTGGACTGTCTACTTTCATCAGCAAAAATAATTTTGTTTCTAGCTTGTTTCGTTCCCCTGTAATCCCCAGTTGAGTAGAGGTAAGTTTTATTGAAATCACCAGAAAGCTGCGAAAAAAGAGGCACTTGTGCATCTAGCTGTTTTCAAACCATTCATAGAGCAATGCTGCCATCTGTCAATGGCGTAAATGGCAGTTAATGCGTTAATTATTTTTTAACGCGTTAATGAAAACGGTAATTAACGAGAATTAACGCGATAATTTTGACGGCCCTAATTTTAATATATAGTTTTACAAACGCGGTGTGAAGAGAAGAGACGCATGGAGGAATAACGTCTGTGGGAGCTTAAAACTACGATGATCAAAGAAGCAGGACATATACAAAGGACATGGCTAAAAGCTCATGTTAGCTTTAGCGTTAGCCACAGCGCCGCATCTGCATCACGGTAAGAAACAGAACATTCACTCACGTTTCAATCCTCTCTCACGGACACTTATAAGTTAAATTCTGAGCCAATGAATACAATTCAAATAACATGGTGGAGGTAATTATTCTTAAAAAGGTCGCATTTGTTATTAATTACATGTTTTTTCATATGAAGCAGCTGTAAAAATTACACAGGGTGGCTTTAACAATAAGACATTAACATTCATAATTACTAAAACATCACCTGCTCAGAATAGAAATAAAAATGTCATTAAAATCAGCGGCAAAACCAACTTCCGATTACGTTTTTAGCATGTTTGCCCATTTAAAATATATGCTATTTTTATAAAGTTCTAATTAATCAAATTCTAAATCCTATGGACACAGTCACTCCCATAACATGTAATCCAAGGCGTATTTGGCAGGATGGAGATAGCTGAGACACGCCTTTGAACTCGCCAAAAGTCTTAACACCACAAACTGGCCAGTGACTGTGCCCAGGCCAAAGCTAATGTGAGCAGTGAGAAGGACAGCTGCACTGAGCCGGGACGCCGTGACCTCCAAATCCTGCCAAGTCACTGCCTATGCCGAGACCATAAATGACACTACAGAAAGACATGCAACAAGGGCGGACTGCTGTAAAATATCATAAAGTAGATTTCTGTGAAAAATCTCCGTAGCTTAAATGGGGCGTACATACCGAGAAATCCTGGTCGTCGATGCCAAAGCGTTCTCTGAGGTTTCGAAACACCAGGGGGCAGTATTCCTTGAACTTGAAATGGCTGGGCATATTCTCCCTGTAAGAAGATTTATAATTAGAGAAACTGTGAGGTTATTGGACAAATTACAAATCAAAAAGATAAGAGCCAAGCAACAGTAAGAAAAAATATTTTTTAACGGTAACAGAAAAAGCTCCGATAACACACAGTATTGGGGAAAACGTAGTCAATATCATTGGATACACTGAGGAGGAGGAGCAGCTTCCAGAATTAAGTCATTTAAATAATAGTGACAAAATACTTTTAAATGTCTATTACATATATTTTCATTCGGAAATATTAGTACTATAACGACAGCTATATCGACACTATGTGGTGTTGACCTGGTACCGGCACCATCTATGCATTGGAATCAAATCTGACCCAGAATTGGTTTTATCAGAACTTCTTTAAATAAAATTATGAATTAAAAAAAACAATGAAAATGCTTTGAATGGAGAACATGAACTCACTTGTTAAAGAGGTGATTGTCCACTTTAATCTTGGAATAGGCTTTGAAATCGTCTGGCATAAGCATAATGGGAATCTGGACATGGCTCAATTCATTTATCTGTAAAAAACAAAAAGGGAAAAGAGAAAATAGAATTATATAGATGTTATTCAAAAACATTTAAAAACCATACAACTGCACTGTTCAGAGTCATTTCATATGCTTAAATTATGGTAAAACACTCAAATTATTACAGAAATGTCCAGTGCCTTGCGAAAGTATTTGAACCTTTCAACATTTCGCCACATTTCAGGCTTCAAACATAAAGATATAAAAATGAATTTTTTTGTCAAGAAACAACAACAAGTGGGACACAATCGTGAAGTGGAACGAAATGTATTGGATAATTTAAACCTTTTTAACAAATAAAAAACTGAAAAGTGGGGCGGTCAATATTATTCGGCCCCCTTGCGCTAATACTTTTGTAGCGCCTCCTTTTCCTGCAATTACAGCTGCAAGTCGCTTGGGGTATGTCTCTATCAGTTTTGCACATCGAGAGACTGGAATTCTTTCCCATTCTTCCTTGCAAAACAGCTTGAGCTCAGTGAGGTTGGATGGAGAGCGTTTGTGAACAGCAGTCTTCAGCTCTTTCCACAGATTCTCGATTGGATTCAGGTCTGGACTTTGACTTGGCCATTCTAACACCTGGATACGTCTATTTGTGAACCATTCCATTGTAGATTTGGCTTTATGTTTTGGATCATTGTCCTGTTGGAAGATAAATCTCCGTCCCAGTCTCAGGTCTTTTGCAGACTCCAACAGGTTTTCTTCCAGAATGGTCCTGTATTTGGCTCCATCCATCTTCCCATCAATTTTAGCCATCTTCCCTGTCCCTGCTGAAGAAAAGCAGGCCCAAAGCATGATGCTGCCACCACCATGTTTGACAGTGGGGATGGTGTGTTCAGGGTGATGAGCTGTGTTGCTTTTACGCCAAACATATCGTTTTGCATCGTGGCCAAAAAGCTCGATTTTGGTTTCATCTGACCAGAGCACCTTCTTCCACATGTTTGGTGTGTCTCCCAGGTGGCTTGTGGCAAACTTTAAACGAGACTTTTTATGGATATCTTTGAGATATCTTTGAGTGGCTTTCTTCTTGCCACTCTTCGATAAAAGGCCAGATTTGTGCAGTGCACGACTGATTGTTGTCCTATGGACAGACTCTCCCACCTCAGCTGTAGTTATCTGCAGTTCATCCAGAGTGATCATGGGCCTCTTGGCTGCATCTCTGATCAGTCTTCTCCTTGTTTGAGATGAAAGTTTGGAGGGACAGCCGGGTCTTGGTAGATTTGCAGTGGTCTGATACTCCTTCCATTTCAATATAATTGCTTGCACAGTGCTCCTTGAGATGTTTAAAGCTTGGGAAATCTTTTTGTATCCAAATCCGGCTTTAAACTTCTCCACAACAGTATCTTGGACCTGCCTGGTGTGTTCCTTTGTCTTCATGGTTCTCTCTGCGCTTTAAACAGAACCCTGAGACTATCAAAGAGCAGGTGCATTTATACGGAGACTTGATTACACACAGGAGCATTCTATTTATCATCATCAGTCATTTAGGACAACATTGGATCATTCAAAGATCCTCACTGAACTTCTGGACTGAGTTTGCTGCACTGAAAGTAAAGGGGCCGAATAATATTGCACGCCCCACTTTTCAGTTTTTTATTTGTTAAAAAAGTTTAAATTATCCAATAAATTTCGTTCCACTTCACGATTGTGTCCCACTTGTTGTTGATTCAAGACAAAAAATGTTTTTTTTATATCTTTATGTTTGAAGCCTGAAATGTGGCGAAATGTTGAAAGGTTCAATACTTTACAAGGCACTGTATATATTTTGTTCAACACTCTCAAAAACATGAGAGCCAGCAAATGCTCCTTAGCAACTGTTGCATTTTCTCTTTTTCAGAGAAAAAAAAAGAGGAACAATTTAAAGGTTTTCCTACATTTAGCTTGTGAATTCTTTATAACAATAAATTGCAACTCAGCAACTGTTGTTACTTCTTGTAACAGGTACAGAGCGCGCGTGGACAAACTTTGAAGAATGATTCACAGCAGTCTCCTGAGGTGAGGTAAAGTGCTGAGGCTGAAGTTCAACATCACTTTGTTTTACAGCGAGCAGAATCTCAACTGAAACTAATGTGATCTGCTGTGTTTGTGGTTCCACCGTCCTGCAGGCTGCACGCATCTCTGAGCAGTCTGTGCCAGTGCGGTCGCAATCATTTTTTTAAAACTCCGTACCCATTGATACCACAGGGTTGTTTAAGACGCTCTTTTTTTGGACATTAAGCTTAATTTTGTCATTAAATCATTAAAAAAGTGATGAGTACTTTTGAGTACTATTATGTAGAGCAATAATTATTTTGTCAATACATTACAGCCAATAATTAGGATTAGTTTTAATAACCAATATAGGATTTCCCCATACTTTTGCCAACCCTAATCTAATCTGTATAATATCTAGACTGGGTTACCCCAATTTTCAAACCACAAAAAAATGTAATGGAATACATTTAACAAGTTCCTTGCTTCCAAAACAGATTGGTTCTATCACTAGTGTTTACAGTATATGCATGTATTTTTGGCCTCAGTCACAATTAGCTAGGGGCAATGCTAATCTTCTATGTATTGTTCCAATCTTACTACTGTAGTTTCTGGACTACAAGGCACACCTGTATGTAAGCAACACCACCTGCATTTTGATTTACTGTAGCACATAAATGACATGCAGTCGAGGTGTTTAACCGCTTAAACACCAACACATAGCGGCTCATAGTTCGGAAATGATGGTATGTTAGCAAACTAACACAATAGCATTTTGTTTGATAATAAGACAGCATGTTGTGGTCTGATTTGTTCACGAAAGGTTATTTATGTGACAAACACAATGTATTATTTATGATAAGTAAGGTGACCCAGCTTCAATGCATTCATTCATCATGAGCCCACTAATGAAATACACAACTTTAGTTTACGCAGAATTAAACCTCTTAAGAGCGCCACCTAATACCTGCTCATTTCAAATGACAATTACAAAGACGGCAGGAATACAATCCACTCATGCAGCAGCGACAGAAAAGAAGGTCATTGCAGCTGCAGAAAGTCCACAGATGTTGGTGTTTCAGTGCAATGCCGTGGCTGGCATTGACGTCACAGCCATGCTACGGCGGCACAGATGCATGCTGGGAGTGGAGATGTCACCTCATTCACAAAGCGGAGCTTCACACAAGGCCCCGGGTCAATAGTTTTTACATGTAAATCTACAACTGTGAAGGGAATTACCCCTGCCACCCCAGTGGGAGGCTCAGAAACTGCTCAGGAGGGCTATGTAAGATAAGACAGACTTTATTGATCTCACACTGGAGATATTTACAATGTATATTTAGCTTTATGAAATTAACTGCCAATGCTGGAATTACATATTTTGAAAAATATCTAATTGCGAACTGATATATCTACAAAATAAACACAAAGTTTTTTCTTATCTTTAGAATATTTTGGTTTGCAAAGAACTTAAAAAATTGCAATCTTTAGAACTTTGCTATTTTGATGCGAATGCAATTAATTGGGCAGTGACAGTTAAGACTTTTCAACATTTTCCAAATACAGCCAACAGTTTCTTTATAAAAATCTAGTTATTTGTTAAACGCTTGAGTAGATATATTTTATTACAAACGCATCGACAAATCGTTTATTTACAAATAAATACCTATAAGTGTGAAACTGTTGCACATCTAGCGCAGTGTTTCATAAATGTGTCTGCGCCGTGCCAACACTACTCTGTAGGAAACAATCTGATTTAACAGACATTTCAATGTAAAATATCAATATTAATCTAAGTTTATATTCTTTTTAATATGAATCAAACATTTGATCAAAATAAAGCTGTAAAAAGAGTGGTGGAAAATGCATCCATATTTGAATGATGTTTGTCAAAGTGATTGCTCCAGGCCACCAAATTGTTTTTTGCTTATTTTAATACAAATAACAGGAAATATTTTGAGCATCTTGAAAATTATAAGCATGCTGCATTAAACTATATTTCTGCCAATTTCCTTCTTCTCTATCAGTTTGGGGCCACGTCTTTGCAGCTTCCTGTGCGTATCCATGACGACTCGTGTTGGTTTTCCGCCCGTAGTGAAGCATGTGCACAGGAAGTCGTAGATAGTGCGTGTGCTCAGTCAGCAGCAGGAGGAGCGGGGCTTAAAGTGATGTGAGAAAAGCAGGCGGATGATAATAGATTACTCACACCACAGCTCTGTAAAGACACTGTCTTGACTTTGCTTTGTCACTGCACTTTCATAAGACTCCACTTATAATTAAAGCTGGAGTACCTAACTTTGAAATCACATCACTTCATCAAATGAAATCATAAAATCCATGCAACTAGTTCCAAGCTCTCAAAACATCCATCTAGTTTTCTCCTGCATGGGTTTTTGGCCCCTGTCACGTCATTAGTTCAGTTTTTTCAATGAAAAAGTGCCAGCCCTCAGTATAAAGAGAAAAAGGTTTTCTAATAAAAGGTGGTGGGCAGATTTTTTTCACAACACGTTACTTCAACACATCTCGTTCTGCTGGAAGAAACAAAATGTTTATGAAACTAAGAAAAAAAAGGTAGTAGCCTTAATAGTTCATTTTTTGTTTGAGTGTTCCGTTTTGGAGAAGGTTGCATCAAATATTGGTAAATTATTAAATTTAAAGCTGATATATAAATGCTCAGACTGCTGCCTCCAAATCGAAGTAGAACAAAATGCTGTACACGCAAACCATTTGGTTACATTTCAGAACTCTTGTGTGAATAATGTTAGGCTATTTTTCACATGCCTGAAAATTCCACCTCAACCAAAACATTTAAAAAGCTGCATTCATGCAGTCTGAATACTATCAATGTGTGTCACCATGTCCCACCCGGGATCCCAGACTTCTGCATGTTTAAGGAAAGAACCACAAGCTTCTGGATGGTTTGCACATCTCGCTATTGCACCGGTGGCCGACCACAACATCTCCACCCCTAAACTTATGACTGATGCTTACACAGCTCAACATAACCACAATTACATTACACACACGCCCTTTCACAGACCTTAATGTTCCCAATTGTGGCATTGCTTCAAACCGACGACCTTTAGCAGAGTTACAGTTTTATTCCGGCCTATTCACTACAAGCAACAATACGCTCTGAAACAGCTGAGTGTGACCCAAATGTCTGGATGAATCATAGCTCTAAGACAATGCCCAGGGTGTGTGAAAAAACAGGCTATATTAGGCACATTTAAGGTGACAGCTAAAGCTAATGAGCAACTGATAACAAAGGCTGAAAGGATGCTGCGTTGGGCATGCATGGTGTATACTGGGAGCGGATTGGTTAGACAAACTTGCTGCTGACTCATTCTTAACACATTTAATTATTTGTAACCACCAGGCGATGTCTAAAAACTATATGAGGTGATAGGTCAATATGCGATACAATATTATAATGGTGAAGTAATACTGAGATTGTTCATATATTGCTGATAGTTTGTCAATGATACATTTTATAGTTGGATATTTTTTGGTTGGGACATTGCATATTAATAAAAACACCTCTCCAGATTGTAGCCTTGAACTATTTTCCATACGCTGTCCCAGTCACTTTCATAAAAACACACTCATTCACCCTGAACTATTTTACATGTTGTACTTACTCGACGCCCAAAATACACAATTAATCAAACACTTTTTAATCATTGCTTTATTCATATTTTAATAATGAAAATAACAATCGTTATCATCTATTTAGGATATGTGCCGAGTCTAAATAGAGAAACAGAGTTCAATTTGAAGTGAAACAAACTGTGAAGATGATTTTAATTTCTACCATAAATGCAAAGACTTATTTCAGACTCGAGAACATGAAAAATAACAGATTATAGTAAACAGGACTGATGGACGAGTTGTTTGCGACAGGCTTATGTGCACAGAATGACGACTACAGCTCACTACTCCACGACTACTCACTAAAAATAACAGTGACCGACACCTGAAGAGATGTAATGATAGCGTTCATAAGCCGTGCTCTTGTGAATCATGGCCAAATATTAAAGGCTAGAGCAGCTCAGACCGACGGAGCGTGCACGGTCCAACCTGCAGAGTCAAGCTGCTCCACAACATGTTTCTCTGCACCAAGTGACAATATACAATCCAAATGTACCTGTAGTAATACTGGGACAGTGTAATTATCATGATCAACTATAACATGTTGTGGCAGTGGGGTGCCAACATAGACATAAATACATGATAGACAATATCACAGTCTATAGCTACCTTGAGTAAAAATACTAATAGTTATTTGGGTTTAGGTCTCTGTAAACCAGGTAATGCTATCTGAGAGGTCTTCATCAGCCATGATGGAGGCCATTAGGAGGTGGTGGATCATAACAAATACAATATTGATTGAGTAATAAAACATTGCAATAGACACTCCACCAACCATGCAATGATATCTCAAAGCACAAGAATAGACAGTCTACATGCAGCTCCGAACAATTTACAGCAGCAATCAAGGAGTTTGGTCACGCTTTGTAACTAACCACTCCACTTGGATTTATTGGAAACAATACCACTGATTACTTTTCTGAATAATCCTTTTGTTAGATCAAAGATCATTAGCCAAAGATGCTGACAAACAATGCTAACAACTTTTTTTTGCAAGAAACTTAAAAGCCAGAATGGATTGCAAAACAGGCGTGAACATATCTATATGTATCTTTGAGAGGTGAAGTTGCCTCATGAGAATCTATGATACACACTGAATTGTCTGGATGACAGGTCCAACTTGTGTTTGATTGTGTCTGCTTTTTTGTGGATTTTTATTGTCATCAATAATAGATGAGTTGATTGTCATAAAACAAGCTTTAAAATTAGATATACCATGTCTATATTGGTGAATGTAAAGTTTGACAATGGTATGGTTTTCAATGAATTATACATCTATATAAATGCTTTTTAATGTATAATACTGCTGATACTAAAAATCAAATGACTCAGTAAAAAAAACTAAAATGGTTGTCCTGTCCCTAGCTAGCCTGCTAACATCAGACTCATATTACAAGTGAATATGTTGTGTAGTTCAAACATTTTCAAGCACACACAACAGCATGGGTATTCACACTACACCAGTCAAAGCCAGTGAAGATTGTTTAAAACTGTAAAATGATTACCAATGTCTTGTAAGACTTCAAATGGAAAACCGATATATTATTCATTTCTTATTTCGCACTGTCATTTTGAGAGAAGAATGTGGTTTTAAATATTTATTGACAGTAATCAAATAACCCAGAAGAACACAGCCCTGTAGACTCTTACCAGGAACAGATGTTTTTTGCATCATTACAAAAAGATAATCGTCCTTTGTGAGTCAGCCGCTGCATTCTTGAGCTAACCCTCCATTGACTTCAAGAGGCTCTTGTTATTTATTACAACTTACAACTGTTTCTCTTTTTACCTTACCTAACAATTTCTACAATCTACACAGCAGATAATCTCCAGCGAATAACAAAATCAGAAACATAGTAATAAGTGCACACAACTGTAGCCAAAAATATAAAATGTGTCGAGTATAAAATGTGTTGCCTAAAGCATCAGAAATGTGGCTCAGAGTTGTGCAACCTCATAAGTGTTTGAACTTGTGTTTGAAATGTGTAGAATGAAACAGAAAGTGTCATACGTGTGCACAGATGTGAAGATTCCAGTCTTTTAATTTAAACATTTATAAATAATTCAAGAGATAGCGATGGAGCAATAAGTTATGAATGAACAGATATGTGATGACACAATCTCACCAAATATATAGACTTGACATATTATAATTGGCAAGCACATCATTTGCATTACCAGTATAGTTCAGTATACAGCCAAAATTGTTTAGATGATAATATAAGAGATAGTAATTGATGAATGATAATGTAGGAACGCCTTGACCGCTTTTTGTTGCATATGCGCAGCTCTCTGTTGCCTCAGCACTATTGAACATATGACTGTATCACAGGAAAGGACAGCAGAGCAGAGATAAGCCTTCTTGCAGGGGAAGATGTGTGTCTCTTATAACATGGGGCTCTTTGAGCTTATCCTCAGCACAACAGGAAACTGAAGAGCTGATTTGCTGAAATGGCTAGTTCATAAAACAATGTTTTGCAGATTATGTAAAATGAGTTTGGAAACAATAGAGAAATCAATTTTAAGAGTGTTGTTGGTACCAATATCTGATGTTACATTAAGTAAAAGTCGAACACTGACAGCTGTCATGTGTGATCAGTCATTCATCTGTAATAATAAAAGGAGCACTGGCTGCCCCAGGCTTAGTGTGGTACATTATAATGATGGAGTGCAGATAATCATACAGATGTAAAGGTGATCTTACCGAGTGGTTGACTCCCCACATGAGCACGCTGAGCAGAGGGTCGCTGGCGCGGAAAAGCTTCACTTTCTGAGCAACAAAGTGCTTTTTCTTGGTCTTCGTTTTACTGGCAATATTTGCTGCAATGCTGCTCACCGATGCCATATTTACAGAGGACGGGGACTAAACGTGGTGTAAAAGGCAAGGACAGTATTTCTCCAAAACAGCTCACGACTGCGTAAGACCCAGACGCATTTAGCCTTCACGAAATTTGAGTGTCCCAGTTCCCTTCTTCATTCAGGCTTTGTTGTACGAGCCAGGCACGGTTGTAAATGATGTGAGAATAGTTTTAAGCTAACACTGCTGTTCTCCCTCGCCTGGCAGTCTGCCACTTCTCTCAGACCACATCATAAGTCACTTCTCTTCCTTCCTGGCCGCAGTTGGACTCACTGAGCTGGCGTTAGCTTTAGCAACATTGCTAACACTGACGAGAATGCTTTAAAATAACTCAGCTGGTTGTGCGTTGGGTCGGTTTGATGGCAAGAACAAAGATTTGACGGTGTTTCCATAAAAAGCTGACAGATCTGGTTAAATACCAGGTCGAAGATGATGCTCCGCGGTCAGTGACTTCTCCCGAAGCTGATCTTGAGTCCTCCCGACCTTCGCTAGCTTCAGCTTCAGCTTCAGCTAACTCCAGCGCACAAAGATGCTAGTCCCTGTTAGCATCAATGCCAGCTCACAGCTAGCAGATTACAACAGGCGACCTCTTCTGCACGTGTCCTCATTCAGCAGCCTGACCTGTCCTGCACGGGCATGTCCCTGTCCTCTGGGATGAAAACACGGAGGATCTGAGGAGTTGTGATCAGTGCTCATGTGCTGCTGTCACTGACAGCTCTGCGGAGGAGGGGACATTCTGCGCCCCTCCCTCCACTGCCGACAACGGCGTCACTGTCATATCTGTGATGGCAGCTTTTATGAGCTGGGTTTTGGATTACATGGTTACGCTATTCTGTCCATCCATTTTCTTCCCATGTATCCATGGCCGGGCAGCAGTCAAAGCAGAGATGCCCAGATTTCCCTATTCCAGCTCATCTGTGGAAATCCCGAAGCGTTCCCAAACCAGCTGGGAGACTAGTCCCTCCAACGTGCCCTGGGTCTTCCCCAGGGTCTCCTCTTCTCCTCCGGTGTGGGATATTCGCCCACCCTTTCTCTAACGCCCAACCACTCTGACTTTGGTCATACAGGTACCGCATGGTCTTTAGCAAAGGACGCAGGATCCCTTAATCCCGGAGAACTCCCCTAATGACACCCCTGGAAACACGGTCGAACGCGTTTTGTATATTGACGTTCATGTTCAATATACATATATTTGAAAATAATTATTGTTGTTAAAAGATGATATATATAAACCAGAATATATATTTATTTCCTAAGCCTTTCTAGTACCCTCATTACACCCCACGATCAATATTAACCGTTTAAGCGTCGAAGTAGCAGAATTTCTTCATGAATACTTTTTATACCGCGACCTGGCTTTCCCTACATTAACTTACGACTTTTTTATTTTTCAATTTCTGTTATCGATTTTATATTGAAATATATTGTTAATGTCATCCATAATAATGATAATATTAATAATAATATTACCAATCCATAATAATTAACAATCACCGCACACGTGCACGGCTACGGAGGTCCGTTGCCTAGCAACGAGACGCGGGTCCTCGGGGTCGGGTGCTATCGTTAGCATTATAATCCTTTGGAACACAACATTTCAGATCAGGTACGTGTTTAGATCTTTGTGACGTGGAGTTTGATTAGTCTCGTACATTACACTCGCACACCACGCTATATTAACCCGAGGCTAACATTCGGTGTTCTTGTTGTTTTGTTAGCTAACCACTTGCACAATGGTAAAGAAAGGTAAAAAAGACTGCCCGTCTCCAACAAAAGAGACCGTAAGTTGAACAAATGTTTCTAAACCATTCATGTAAAAACAGCAGTATCAGCTTAAACTAATGCATAATCTATAACAAAAGACAGAAAGTGTAAAGTTAGTATTAGCTAAATCGTTACTTATTTGATCTAAATCAGTGTTTAATTTAGTTGAGTAAAGTAGCGACCTCCTCGTGTTCTAAAATAACCATTCCTTCCAAAAAGTTTGATCCACTCGAAATAGAAGGCAAAAATCCAGCAACAGTCGTTCTTCTCTTGAGCTCCCCTGAAGAAGACGTCCTCATAAAATCTTGTGCAGCCATTCACTCATTTTCTGACAAAGGTAAAACAAATATTTTATTTTTCACTACAGTTAAGTTGATTGCAGCTAGTTATATCTGGATCTCTGTCTCCATCTGTTGTCAGGAGATGAAAACAAAGTCTTACTCCTGAGACTTGGGGCCTTGGAGCCTTTGTGTCAGCTCATCAATCATGGAAACAAGCTGGTCAAACGCAACGCTTTCATGGCCCTGGGCGTCATGTCCACAAATGGTAACTGAAATACCCACATCTAGACTCTGCGTTACCAGTGTGATACGAGGAGTTTATTTATTTTTTTCCTCATTTAAAGCGGAGGTAAAAAATGTCCTCAAAAAACTGAACGTCATTCCATCTATTATTAACAAGCTGACCCCACAAGGTATATATTATGCATGTTTATAATTTATTCTTTTATAATTTATTAATGTTAACAAAGTACAAGTATGTTTTGCAGAGGAGACTGTTGTTCATGAGTTTGGGACTCTGTGTTTGGCTTCACTGTCTGAGGACTTTTCCTGTAAAGCAGTGATCTTTGACAACAATGGTTTATTGTCAGTGATTCAGCTCCTTTCCAGTCCTGATCCAGATGTCGTAAAAAACTCACTAGAGATAATTTACAACCAAATTCATGTAACTGTATTTGAAAATTATAATAAAAATGTAACACATTTAATTTGATAGATTGAATATGCATTGTGTATTCTTATTCCAAGGATTACCCAAGTCGTTTGGCTCTACATGAACTTGGAGGAATACCTCACTTTCTGACCCAACTCAAGTCAGAATATCCTGTAATTCAACAACTGTCTGTGAAGATACTACAGAATATTACAATAGATAAAGATACTCGCATTGCCTTCAGAGAAGAGCAAGGGTTTGAGAAGTTCATAGATATTCTTAAAAATAAGGTAAAGTATCTAATTATTCCTCATTCTTGTGGGAAAAAATCTGTAGGTCCATCTTTTTGCAGGACCTACATGACCTTCATGCTGGCTCCTTACAAGTGGTTGCAAACTGTTTAAATGATAGTGAGTGTTTCCAGCTTATTCATAAAGGAGGAGGCCTGGCTCAGCTGATGGAGTTTATGGTCAGTTCTACGATGCCAGAAACTCAGGCCAATGCAGTAAAGTGTATAGCCAGAGTGGCTCAGAGCTGTAAGCAAAACTTGGTCTCTTCTGTGTAAATCATTTATTTTATTATGCAGTTGTGTAAAGTGAATACTTTCATCAATTTCATGTGTAGCTGAAAATCGTCGCATGCTTCATGAGCAAAATTTGGAAAAGGTGTTAGTGGAGCTCCTCTCTGTGAATGACGACAATGTAAAAGCAGCAGCCAGCCAAGCAGTGTCTGTCATGAGCAGCAACCTTTCCAGTAAAGAAATCTTGAGGGAGCTTGGTAATGATATATAAACATATTGAAACACATAACAATCTAGTGTCTAATCATTCAAGTTTATTACAGGTGCCATATCTGCCTTGGTACAGTCACTGAGCTCGGAGACGATGACTGTAAAAAGGGACGCATCAACAGCCCTCTCTGATCTTACCCACAACAACCTCCTTAATATGAGGTGAGTAAAACGTTATTAAACAAGATACCTTTCATAGTACATACAGTGTCCAATTTAAATGGGTGTATATTGCTTCAAGAGCTGTGTATGAGGCTGGGGGCCATGAGCTCCTTGTCCCGCTGCTCTCAGAAGAGTGCCCCATGACAGTGGCCAGTTCTGCTGCGACTCTGAGCAATATGGCAGGACAGGAAGACATCCGCTATAGTGTTTTATCCCAAAATGTTTTGCCATCTCTTGTGAAGGCTTTGAAGTCCAAAGATTCTCACGTCCAAATGAGCACAGCGCTCTGTGTTGCAGCACTGGTTTGTGATACTGATTCCCGAACAGAGGTATTCTTTAGAAAAATACATAATTTCACACTGGTTGTATTTAGTTACATTTTATACTTGCCCTGTTTTTGGAAGTTTAAAAATGCTGGCGGTCTTCAACATCTGGTCCATTTATTGGATTCTAAAAACAGAGATGTTGTGGAGATGGCTTGTATGGCTGTGAAGGCCTGTGCCTGTGATGAGCCATGTGCAGTGGAGATGTGTGTTTTGGGGTAAGATGGTTGTTATTTTTATGAATCATGTTCATATTAAATGCTAAGTGACGAATAGAAATCATTTAATGTAAAAAGTAATTCCCACAATATCCACTAGATGTCAGCATTGGGCATGTGATGATTTGTACATTCCTTTGTCACTTTTATTGAACAACGTTCTATACCACCGTGCGTTGCTTTCAGAACTCTGGAAAAGCTACAGAAGATCAACCAAACTGAAAACCAAAAAAATGTTTTCAGTGAAATGGCAATAACAAGCTTGTTGAGCTTCAACCTGCCAGTTAAATACAGTTTGATGGGCTTTCTGTCTCCCACTGACCATGTCACAGATGGGTTTTATGATGCTGGAAAGGTGCGTACCATGAAGAATTTGTGATAAGCACTAGACTAACGGTTCTATCGTCTCCTCAGGCAGTGGCTGGTTGTAGAGTCCTATCTCTCGAGGAGCACTACTGTCGCCCTGTCAATCACCTCCGACCGGTTATTGTAATTAACACGGAAAAGCACGTATCTGAGTAAGACCTCAAGAAACATTCACACATTTACTTTCAGTTATCACGTTCTGTGTGTGTAATAAACAGCATTTTCTAGCATCTGAAAATAATTACTCCATGGAGTAGATAAATGCATTTATTAATCTACCTTTATGTTTTGTATGTTGTATCGTACAATCCAAGCTCTTAAACTTAAATTCACTGCAATATTTGACTTACATTTTACCTAAATTGAATCAACACAAGAGGTGGTAGGTTCATCAGGTTAATCAGAAACAAGGTCTGTGTTTCTCTGCAGAACTTTATAACAGAGAGAGACAGAGAGAGACAGAGAGAGAAAGAGACAGAGAGAGAAAGAGAGAGAGAGAGAGTGTGTAGATTGTACAACTAAATGCAGCACCATTGATGTAGAACTGGGCAATGGGGGCCAGAATCCATCAGAAGCATGAATAGATAATAATAATGTACGTTTTTTTATTGACTCATAGGAAGAAAATGGATCCAGTCTCTCCGGTGCACACTGAGAAACATTGTCGGAACACTGATGCTGCGTTGAAGGCTTTGGTTAAGAAAGCCAAAAAAACTGTCCTGCTTCTGGAGGATGACAGGATGCAATACTCCACTTTGGCCAAGTAAAGTTTATTTATTGTACTTCTCTATCAACATGAGGTTTGTAGAAAGAAGACTTGAAACATGAGTTTGAACATTTGGAAGGGTTTTGTGAAAGTACAGGGTTTTACAATTGTATAATAATTAAAAAGAAAATACTATATACAAAAAAATAATATTGAAACTATACAACGATTGTCAACATGTAGTTGCTTAGTTACAGTTACAGTGAGAAACAAAGGTTTAGGGGTAGTTTTGCAAAAGGATTAGGGATCTGTCCTCTTGAACAATCTGCATTTTGTGGTGTATTTGTGTTTAACCATGTATTGTTACCTATTTAATCATGATAAATATATTCAATTCTATTCAATTTATTCTTGTATAGCCTTAAATCACAACAGTAGTTATCTCAGAGGACATTACACAGCAGTTGAATTCGCCAACACAGATCAGACATAGAGCAGAAAACTCATTGGTAGTGTTGATAAATGTCCATAAATGTTGTTGTGATGAATTTTTGTATTCCTTTGTGACAGGATGGTCAGCCAGGCCATGGGCGGAGAGGTGGACAGGGAAAAGATACACACGTTTGAATGGAACCTCCACATCAGCCAGCTCCAGCTACAACTTCAGTCCAATGTCGTTCCCATCGGAATGATCAAGCAAGGAACCTTCTACCACCGAGCGCTACTCTTCAAGGTGCCAATCAACTTTTTAAAGCAGGCATGTCAAACTCAGGCTCGTGGGCCAAATCTGACCCGCAAGACAATTTTTAGTGGCCCCTAGCATGATTTTTTTATTATTATTATTAACTTGCAGGATTGCTGGTTAGGCGCTTCCATGGCTTGTTATACGTCCTCTATGTTCTCAGGAAATCCACCAAATTAAATTAATTCTAACCTTTTAACCCAACACATTTTGGACAAGTCTAAACCTATTGTAAATCTAATAAACATATTTTCTTAGCGAAGCATAAACTTTTAAGTGTCATGAAAATAAGTCATGTCAAAATGCCTTCACAATGTAAAAAAAACAATTATAAGAAAAGTAAATCCCTACCATTCTTTCAGCCCCCGACCAGTTCCTATTCTTTTATTCAGCCCCTGACTATAATGAGTCTGACACCTCTGCTTAAAGTACACCTTTTATAATTGTGCGTTCTTCTTGCTGATCAATGTTTGTTGCCTCAGTGCTTGGCCGACAGTATTGGCCTGAGCTGTTCCCTGGTCAGAGGGGAGTACCACCGGGCCTGGAACGAGGTGCTGCTGATGAATGGACAAACACAGCGTTATGTTGTGGACCTCATGCACAGTCCTGGATGTCTCCTCAAAGTCAACACACCTCCTGCAGAACAATATCAACACATATAACCCAGAACATTCACAGGAGAACAATAAAAATCATCATCATATGATTTGGCCATTATTGCATTATTCCTTATGTTATATATAACCAGTGGTTCTCATCAGGACTGACCCCGTTTATAGTTTACTTTTAAAATTAATTTCAATATGTATTAAATCTTGCAAGCAGTATTTTGATTACAGGTACATTTTGTCCCATAATATTATTATTCAAATCCATTAAATTAAATTAAATTAATTTCAATTTATCCTTGTACAGCCCTAAATCACAACAGTAGTTTCCTTACGCAACAAGGGGGCGACAGTAGCTCAGTTGGTATTGGAGCATTGGCCATTAGGCCTGAAGGTCGAGGGTTCAATTCCCACCTCGACACCTTCTCCCCCTGATGTCTGCTGTCGTTGTGTCCTTGGGCCAGACACTTAACCCCACTTTGCCTGAAGCCCCTGCTGAAAGATCTTAGCTCCTGTGGACTCACCACCTGCAGAGGATCAGTGAGGGGCTGGTGCTCTGTGTACTGGGTGCAACTCTGACTGCCACCCCCTGACCCAGAAATGGATTAAGGGGAAGAAAATGGATGGATGGATGGACTTTACACAACCGTTGAATTTGCTAACACAAATCAGAGATTCAAACACAAAAAATAATACAGAAAAACATTGGTTTTTGGTCCATAAGGGGCAGATGACCAATGTCCACATGTGTTGATAAAGGTTGGTAAATATTGCTGAATGTTGAGTGTCCTGGATCATCACCACTGTGACATAAGATGCATTCAACTGGATTTAAAGAAGAATTATGCATTATTTTTGGCCATTAAAAATTATAATGAAATTTAAATTGTCATGTCTGTAACGCCCCATGTTACTGCCAGAGGAAGGAGTTTAATTTGATTAACTTTCTTCCAAATTCGAAAATGACCGGCTGTAAACACAACCAAGTTCTTGTGAAGAATGACATTTCACCCAAGAAATAGCTAAAACTACTTTTACAGGACAGAGACAGGAGCTTTTAGAGAGAAGGCCCAGTGTTTGAGGCAAAAATTCCTGAAATCAATGTGGATGAATCTACTGGAGATCAGCTTTTTTTTGTAAAGTTAAAATATATTGAACTATTACCACTGTAAAATTAGAATCTCTCTTCTCTGGTGCAAATTATAAAAAGTTACAATACAACTTTTTATTGGCCTAGAGCAGAGTGGCTTATTGTTACTGTTTCCAGTGATTTTACACATACTTCTCGCAACAATAAAGCCATAAACACAATTCTCCAAGAAATAAAACGTGAACTTTGTCCACTCCGACCCACATACTATAACCTAGATACACGTAAATCCTGACCCCTCATTTCAGATCCATCCAGAGCGAGCTGGCTGCATTTGCACTCAGAGACAGTCCCTGCTCTGGACACACACACAGCTTCTGCTCACACACAAACAACATGTCCCTTTTCGCCGCTCGCCTTTTTGCAGCCGTTTCCCAAGTTCCAGTTAGAAGAATTCCATTAGCCACAAGAAGCTCTGGATTTGTGCGTCTATTCAGCACAACTAAAGGTAAAAGTTTGCTACATTCATACATTGTGTTTCTGCAGCCTGTGTGCACTTGTCTGTCAGTGGTTTTGTCTTTTGCACATTTTTACCAATTGTTCTCAATCAAAGAAATAACCTCAAACTGTTTGTGGTTTAATTGGTTTGTCCATGAGGGAATGCACGTTGTTAAGTGAAACTATGGCAACCTCTGCGATATTCGATGTGCTTTTTTGTGTTTAAAGCTGCCTCCTCCCTCACCCGCTATAATGAGACCACGGACTGGCAAAAGAAGCTGAGCCCAGAGGAGTATGTAGTGACCAGAGAGAAGGGCACTGAGGAGGTACGGCCACTCTGTTCTTTTTTTAGACACAACTTTCTAACAGAGTATTCAAAGGGGGCAGTGTTATCTCCTCTGACGGACACAAACTTACACCTCAGCTGGACTTTAACCCCTTCTATCACATTGACCCAGGCCCAAGTTCAGCTGACAAGTTTCCTCAAAATGAAGATAAACAATAGAACATCACATATTTGAAAAAAAAAAAAACTACACAATTTCACGCGGTTTCAGTTATTTTAAAAATAGAGACACACTTTTTGTCCACTTTGAGCTTACTCGGGCGGCACGGTGGCTGAGTGGATAGCACTCTCGCCTCTCAGCAAGAAGGTCCTGGGTTCGAATCCCGGTCGGACCAGGGCCTTTCTGAGTGGAGTTTGCATGTTCTCCCCGTGTCTGCGTAGGTTTCCTCCGGGTACTCCGGTTTCCCCTACCACTAAAAATATGTCCAATAGTTCTAGCATGCGCCTCCTGTACTGGCGACCCTGCTCCCATCTCTGTGTGGAGTGAGAGACAAATGCCCAAAAGTAACAATTGTAAACCGCTTTGAGACTCAGATCTGCAGTGAAAAGGCGGTATATAAATAAAAACTTACTTACTTACTTACTTACTCTACTGTAAACAGTGTCTCAATCTTAGGTTATCTATGTATATGAAAATAATATGATTTAATGTTATATAATGACATATTATTAATAATACTAACATAAAAACATAAAAATATAAAAATAATATGAGTACATTGTTATAGCCTTTATTTTTTGATGTATTTATTTAACAAATCTGTGGTCACTGATCTAATCTGATATGAGGAGCCACTGATATGAGTTCTAGTTCTAGAGTCTATACTTGTGATAGTCAGTGTTGGGGTGTAACAAACACATACAGAGAACATCTATTCAGAATACAATAACTTTATTAAGACTATTTTAAGACTACTTTGTGATCTATGATATTATTATAAATATATTTGTATATAATACATTCTATAAATATATCCTAATCCACATTTTTGCTCTGATTGGAGCATGTGGCCAAAACATTAGATGCTCTTTAATAGCAACATTCATTATTCTGTAACTATTTCTATTTCTATTGGGAAGTTTTGATCCCAATGCTGCATGTAGTGTAGTAGTTCATGATAGTAATAGTAATGGTTTCTTTACTATGATGGACTACTTCAGTGCCTGTTCTTTTCACCTGACATCTTTGTTATTGTAGCCCTTCAGTGGCCTCTACCTCAACCATTACGAAGTGGGAATGTACCACTGTGTGTGCTGCGAGGCTCCACTCTTCAGGTACTCCTCAGGATTATAAAACACATGTTATGAAAGATTATTGCTCTTTTAGTCAATAAGATTTTATTTCACATGTAAAAATCCTTGTACATATGTTTACTTATTAGCTCGGAGGCCAAGTACGATTCCGGCACTGGCTGGCCCTCATTCAAAGAGGCTCATGGGACATGGGAGGGGGACGAGGGCCTCACCTCTATCATCCGTCGCCCTGACAACAGTCTGGGCAGCGCCGGCACAGAAGTACTTTGTAAAAATGTGAGTTTTGTCATGTCAACAAAAAGAGCTGTGGCTTTGATGAATGACACTGTCCTTTGTGTGTGTTTGGTGCAGTGCGACGCTCACCTCGGACATGTCTTTGAGGACGGACCTGAACCAACAGGGCACCGCTTCTGTATCAACAGTGTGGCTTTAAAGTTTCAACCCAGAGACAACAATAAACCTAAAGAAGACTGAACAAACATGGACTAAATCAGCAAAAACATGTGCCATATTTTTACATAAACTCTTCTCATAAGTTACTTTTCTGGATTTAAATAAAGCTGTTCTGTAGTTATATAAATAAAAGTTTGTTGAGTGTATGATGAAACTGTGCACTCTCTGTTGCCCCCTGTATGTGTGACAAGGATTGCTTCAGAGGTGTGTTTGAATAGTGTGTTTGTGTCTGAAGTTTATGTTTAACTCCGGGTTGGATCTGGACTTTTGTGGGGAACGAATGAATCAAGCCTCAGCTCATACGCCACAGAAGTGAAAAGCTTGTGCCTTTAGGACGATGGCTGGACGGCTGTGGTGCTTGCTTCTTTTTCTGGGGATAATGTTGCATTTAAGGGATTTTGGAGAGGGAGCGATGAGCGCACCACGCCCACAACGTCCCAAGAAGAAACCAGAACCTGAAGAGAACATTCCTGTCCCACCTGAGAATAACATAGACATCAGACAGGTGAGAAAAAGCCACGGAAAAGCAACGGTTATGCATCAATGAAAAGTAACCAGAAAGAATATATAATCAAATGCAACGACAATATTCTTCAAGTTTAAATTCATTCAAGAAAGATTTGAAAAGCCATGTACTTGTTTTTACACTGACCTTTGCACATTGTTTGCGCCACAATGTCTCAATAAACAAACAAAGGTAACTGGAAATGAGAAAAATTACAGCAATACCCCATCTAAAGTCAATCCTGTCACAATTTGACTTTTACTTTGACTTTGTGCATGCTCATTGTTCATCAATTTTGCAAGATATAAAGCCTAAGAGCAGTGTTTGAGCCATCTGTGAACCATTGCAAATATCTGATCAAAACAATGTCAGAACTTCTACAGAAATCATTTAGTAACTGTGATTCTGTGGTGGGACAGATGATGGGGAAGTGGTACTTGCTGAACCTGGCCTCCAAATGCTCCCACCTCATGAAGCACGGACACAACACAGAGGCCACCACCATGACCCTGGGTATGACCACGTACGGAGACGCCCAAAAGCTGTCTGTCAAAACCACAACAAGACAGTGAGTTCACCTACACTTTCCCCTACTCATCGAAATCAATCATTTATCTATTTTGAGCCATTTGTGATAGCCTTCATATCAGCTGATTATTAGCAGCACCTTTTTTGTAGTTTTGTTGTTGCTTTTTTTCTTACGTTTGAACTGTGGTTGTACAGAAATCATCAGTGTTGGGAGATTCATCAGATCTACGATTTGACAGAAAACAGTGGCTACTTCAACATCAAAGGTACTGTACTTTAAATTATATACAGTAGAGGTAGCACTACAACGGGATCAGCTTGTTATTTGGGTCCAGATGAAGAATATGTCAGTGAAGATGGCCTTTTTACACAGTACTTACTGGATTTTACTATGGCCTTTATAGCGATGTGGCCGACCTGTTTTTCTATTCTGTTAGAGCTCCCCCTGGGGTGTAGACAAGGATTATGGACCCAGCTGTTGATCTATAGAGCGGATGACGTAGCACACATTCCTGCTTCCCGATGCGTTTATGTGAACAGTAGAGAAACACACACAAGGAAATGTTGGGAAATACACAGGGCATTTAGAATTTAGACTATCTGAGCGGTTTATGGACTTATTTGGACATTTTGACTATACAAAATATCTTCATAAATAATTTTTATTTCAGAGTCATAAAACCTCTTCTCTGCATGTTTAAGTCGATGTAAGGTTCAAAATAACAAAATTAACCGACAATTGTTTTGAGAATCAATCAGTTGCGACTAATCGTGAACTTGTTGCGGCCCTTTTGTTAATTTTATCTTTTCAATCAGGAAACAACCCCAAAGAAAGTGACATCAAAGTGACAATCCTGGACACAGATTACACTTCCTACGCCATTTTGCTCTACGAGAAACAGAGAAGGAAGACGAGGCTTTCCACCTTGAAGTTGTATAGTGAGTATCGATATAATTATTGTTTTGTTTATTTTCCTTTGGTGCTTTTACTATCTGAGTTTGGCTCCTTTTTCGCAGCTAGAAGCGTCGCTAAGCTGCACGAACCCACGCTGCTCAAGTTTGAGACCGCAGCTGCCACCAAGAATATGGGACTGGCTTTTACGTTCCCATTTCCAACGTACAGTATGTCATTGTCAAAAACTAAACACACGCTTTTTTACATCACCACATAATGCTGTATACTAACATTGAATATACATTTTGTCTATAGGTCATTGCAACACTGTGGATAACGACCATATTATTAGTAAGATTTCTATTGTCAAATGTTCTGATACTTGAACTTTTTTTTTTAACAATTGCCATTTTGATTTTTGCAGATTGTATCCCGACATGTTGAAGCCGAAAGAGCCCCGAAGATATCGACGTGAGCAAGTCTAAAGTTGTAATGAATAAACGGGCTCTCAAACAAGTGTTCTGCATTGCGTGATTAAGGATTGTGGTTGAGAACTAAACAGAGCCAGATGTGGAGGGTTACAAAACTGTGGATGTTACTAAACTCCTGCAGTTACATAAGCAGGCGGCTGCATGTTGGCTCAGGCCCTGAAGGAGAGAAATCCACAGTGAAAAGTTCATTTAAAGTTAATTAGAAAGTTTAATAGTTATATTTGATCAAGTATTGTATAGAAAAGCATAAAATGACCGTGCAATATGCAAGAGCAAGGATACAAATAAACTGATTTAAGAATTTATTTGGCATTTGCAGTAAAACCACATTGGAAAAACTGTGCAAGACCCAGTGTGAAGATACAAATGCAACCATTTCTCAAGTCGGCTCGACTTGAGAAATGGTAAAAGAAAAAGACGGACAATATTTGTAGAGTTTTGGTTCTTATAACTTATGCTACAATGTTCGTTTAAATCTTTATTCTCTTTGGATCAGTGTGTGAAACAAAACCAAACCTGAAAATAATCACACATATTAAAAGTTATGCATATCTACCACAAAGGTGCACGTTTTAGCAAGATTTGTGTTCTAATTGGCATTGTGGGTCTAAATATTTGTACTTTTTTTGTCTTCAGCCTTTCTGCAAAATTCTCCTCTTGAGCTCAAGATAAGACGTATGTCAAAGTTTAGAACCAGTAATGGGCCTATTGTATCGGTATATTCTTACAGCAACTTTGTATTTGCTCATCATGGAAGAAAACAAGCTGAAAGTAATAACTGTTTCTATTCATGAAAACAGTTTTGCAGTTATGTAATTGAAAGAGTTACCAAACAGATGCTTGATAGTCCAGGCATGTCTGTGGTGGAGGAGGGAGCACTCTTATGTAGCCTCCCTTTCCCTTTTGTCCTCCTGCCATCCCCCTCTCTCTTTCCAAGTCAGCTTGTTGTGCAACTTTGGTCATTTGAATGCTTGGCCTGTGTTTTTTTGGAGAGATCTCAGTGGGTGGAGCTGAAGAGGACTAAGGAGGGGCTAGTGATCTGGGACCATATAAGCAGCCCCTGGGTCTGCTGTCTTTTGTTCCACAGCCTATTTCTTCGTCTCGTCAATATTTGGAACAAGAGCATCTGGACACCATGGCGAACACGCTGCTGAGGCTTCTGGGAGTTCTGCTATGCGCGCTGGCCGCCCTTGCAGAAGTGGTCCCGGTTTCCGACTTCGACCTGGCCAAGGTACAGATAAAGCAACATTTGAGGAATTGTAGTGAATAGTTGGTTATTGTGTGTACCTTAAATCAATTCAAGATTCACAAAGCTTTTTTTTCTATTTTAGATGGCTGGGAAATGGCACATCATTGGGTTTGCCACTAACTCCGAATGGTTTGTGAATCATAAAGCTGACATGAAGATGGGGACCTCAATTGTGACCCCAACTGAGGGAGGAGACATGGATCTGTCCTATGCCAACCTCAAGTAAGATTCTTCACTTTTGATCCTCCGCTACAAAAAACCAACAACAATTTGAAACATTTGTTCTCGTTTCAGGGATGACGGGACCTGCTGGAGAATGACTCACTTGGCCAAGAAAACAGAGACACCAGGACGCTTCACTTTCCACAGTCAAAGTACGTTTAGTCGGCATCAACCTGAGCCTTGTATTTGTTTACAATATATTGATTATGTTTTCTCTGTAACAGGGTGGAACAATGACAACGACATGCGCATTGTGGATGTTGTTTATGACAACTATGTTTTGATCCACACCATTAAGACCAAGGACGGAGTGTCTGAGGTCCTCAATAAACTTTACGGTAAGCTCATGCAGTCTGAGAGCTCATTCTTTCTGTGACGAATGGTGCTTGATCCAACTGAATTGTTTTACAGGTCGTAATACCCAAGTCAGTGAAGATTTGCATCAGAAATTCAGACAGTTCTCTCTGGACACTGGTGTACTGGCCGACAATATTGTGTTTCTGCCTCTGAGTGGTAAGACATATACCTAACATTCACACTAGCACACACACACTTTTATTTGATTGAACTAACCTTGTACTTTTGACCACAGCCGAGTGTGCATCCGTCTAAGAAGCGGTTCCACCACTGAAATCATTCAACCAATTTCTTCTGCTGCAAAGACCAAAACTGCAAATCTGTGACATAATAGCGTAAATGATGTTTCAAAGACATTACAAGGTCTGTCAAAAAATCTGCTTTAGTACTTTGTGAATGTTGGTACTGGTTTCTTTTTGTATGTTTTGTTCAATAAAAGATAAAAAAAATCATAAGATGGCTGTTATTTCCACCCCAGGGAAGTAAACATATATAAAACATAATTATCATGAATATAGGCACAATTCTGAACCTATTGGCATCACACAGGCACTGTAGAAACTGTCTTTACGGAATCTTGTAAATATTGTGTTTTTGTCTAATTTATATGGGCTATTAATGTGTCTGAATTAAAGATGAACTAAAATAAAATAAAAATATGGGCTTTATCACCTAGCTTATAGAATACCAATAATGTTCAAAGAAATGTTAGCAGAAATAATATTGTAATTCAAGAACAAATACAAGGATAACCAGGATAAAACACTCTTTATTGAACTCAACAAAACTGAAAGAAAAACCATGGGGGTCGAGTTGTTTCTCACACATTATGGGCTTTGTGCGTAACATAAATGTAGTTTGCAATGATGGAGGATGAAGGCTCCGGCTGAAAGCAGGCTGAGCTCACCGCTGTCCAAATGAGTCTTACCCATGATGCAATTCAACAAGCGCACTTACACTGTAGAACATACAAATCCTCACGTTTTTGTTGGCATCGTGTCTGAGGATTGGGAAACAGAAAGGGACGATCCTCCTTTTTTTGTCATTTTTAACAATCAACAAATTTCCCGTCTATGTCTCGTGTTCTTTTGACCATGCTGTTTTGTGCACAAACATATATTTACTTTCTATGATTGGCACTTTAAGCATACAGATGTATTCACTTAGAGAATTCAAAGTCAGGTTTAGAGGAATTAAACAGAGCACCAGTGAGGATCCATGCAGCAGGTCATTTGTTCCATAATTGGAGGTGAAACGGCTCGACACCTTCAAGGCACAATAAATTAATAACAAGCCGATTACCGTCCTCACCTCTCCTCTGACCCCCGCACAATTACACTTGTCAGACTTTGTATTTCATGCTGCTTAAATCACTTAATGAAACGCTTGAGTTTCTCCAGTCTCTGCCTTTGTCTGAGTGGATACATTGCAATTCAACCGGTTTAGCTTTATATCAGTCCACAGACATCTGCAGAAAGAGCACGTAAACATAAGAATGTCTTGGTACAGTTTATATTAGCATTTCAATTCAACGTGCAATACCCACGTTTTTGAGCAGCTTAATTATGGTGATAGCAAATATCCAATTCAAGTGTTTATTTGGGCATCTAGAAAACACAAAATCAATGAAGAAAAGCACAGAAAGGACAATAAATAATCATAAGTATGTGACTATATTGCAAAAAGGGCTGATAATAATGAAAGTAGATTTTTTTCAAGTTATATTTTTAGCAGAAAGCTGTGAAATCTTCATTGTCTCTGCCACACAACCTACTTCTGCCTCACGTTGAATTGAATTACAACATTGACATAACATCGTGTCAGGACAGTAAAAACCAACTCAAATATTTGGCAAACACATGATTGCTGAGTGAATAAAATCTCTGTTTTCACTCAATGCTAAATAAAATAAAAAGAAGCCAAGTCGAGCTCAGCCAACACAACCACACAGCGACACGGTTTCAACCCTCAGGACACACTCTGGAGCGCCCCCTGCTGTTCATATGGCGCCACAACATAAATATATTTATACACAATAGACATGTGGTGTTATAGAAATCTTAATAGTGATTTGTAACTAAATCTCTGAATAAAAAGCTTTGAAAAAAACCCAACTAATAGTGTATTTACAAAGTGACTTTTGGCATTCATATTAAACTATATTACCACAGTACAAAGTGGCACATCTGTTGCATTGTATGGACATGAATGAGACCCAAAACCCAACCGCACAAACTAAACTCTGGTATTAAATGTTCAATAATAGAACATTATTAGATAGAAGATTTCTGTTTAAAAAATCTAATCAAATTCAACCGAGATAAAAGTTGCGCTATCACATCCAGTTAAGAGTAAGTATTTGTCATTACAGTATTCAAAGTACTGAAAACTCCCAAGCACAATACAAAGAAGGACAAGCCAGTTTAGTATGTACAGACAGTCTCAGCCATGCTCCACTGGCTCCTCTTCTTCCTCTGTTACTGGATATATAAAAAAAATTCAAACAAACCAAAGCGTAAAAGAACTCTTATACAGTACTGCCGTCTCGGGGAGAGTCAGTGGCCGTTTCTTTGCGACGCGTTATTGGCCACAAAATAAAAACGTCGCCTGCCTTTAGGACAGTCTGGCTGAGCTCCTCTGGTCCAAACGTGTGGGGAGTGTGTGTTATATGAACCACTCTTTCTTGGACTCGTCGATGGTCTCTGGGTTGTCTGTGCCGATGATGGCGGTGTCCGCAGACTCGGCCGCGGACTCGGCGCTGCCCTTGGCCTCGTTGGTGTGGTACGTGCCTTTGTGGCGGAACATGTAGCGGATCAGGAACACCAGCGTGCACAAGATGGTGAAGATCACGACTGCGATGATCCCTGCGCACAACACATACACAACCATTAGGCCTTTGTTCATATAATATTTTATCTTATCTTATTGTATATTGTAATTGTAATCATAATAATTCTATTTTAAATGTTATACCTTAGAAGTGTGTGCTGATTTTTATTATGCCTTACTCTATTCTTTACCTCTCTTTTCTGTTGCACCGAGCCAAAGATTCCTGTTACTTATATGGCAATAAAAATGATTTTGATTCTGATTCTTAAAGTATGCAGAGATGTATTTCACCAAGAATTATAATGCATTGTTGCATTCTTTGGCCCTTCAAATTATAATGATACGATTTACTTTGCCACTTCATGCGTTAGAATGTGAAGTTATATATTCAGTAAAAAACAAGATGGTGAAAAACCTTTACCTTAACTGTAAATCCAAAATATCTGTACTTTAAACTCTGTACATTTTGTTTGAAGTGGTTAGCTGAAGTTCGGATAAGCATTTTCATATTCACTGTCAGTATGAGACTTATTTACTACAAAATACTGTTGTTTAGGTGTTTAAAGGCAATGCTTAAAATGTCTCAAATAAATACCAAATAAAGTAATAAAGTTTTATAAAGTACTATAACTGACATGGAAAACCTCTAGTCAAGTTATTACAACTTAACTTACCCATCAACCTGTCAACCGCCACATTCAAACAGAACATTTGAGCTTTTTGAATAAAGTTGTTGTAATATAGTTTAGTAGTAAGTCCTTTTTGTGCCTACAACCAGTCTCATATCATAAATTAGCATAATTTCTATTAAATTAAAGATGAAAAGAATAAGAATCAACTCAGTTACATGCTACCATCTTGAATCCAAAGTGAACGTTAAAGAGATTCTTGGTTCGAGAGGCAGCACAAACCCAGCACATTTCTCCTCGTACCTCCTATAATGGCCGAATCCCTGTTGACTCCATCAGGAATCACCCTCTCCTCATTGAAGGGGAACTCTGCATCTGAAACGTGAACAACGGCTTATCAGTAAATACACAGCACGATATGAAAGTTTGGCTTCTGTATTATTCAGCTATTAATCCTGACGAAAACAAACATCCCACCAGGAATAAAATCAATGCACGACAGACAGATTTGAAAGTTGTATGAAATATGGATTACTTGAGTTTACCCCTGTGTACAAAGAGGTGATGGAAAATCTATTTATGGGACAGACGCGTTTAAAGCTGAGTGAAAGTCGGGCACAGAAATTAAGATCAATGCATCGGATCAATGTCGAAAACTCAATCCCAGAGGTCCAGTCGGCACAGTTTACATTCAGTAAAATAACTAAGTGTTGTGATGTAATGCAACAGTAGACACATGTTTGGGTGTGTTCAGAACTATCAAAAATACTATATTAAATGGATTCTCTGTTCTGTTGTTTGTAAATTGACAGCGTTGTGAAGCCCTCTGAAGCATGAACTGTTTGTTTGAAAAATAGATAAACATTTCTGTATAATAGATTAATATGATATAGTTCATATTGGAAATAAGTGCAAGATGTGATACTGCAAAAACAATATTACCTACAAAATTATGCTTAACCACCGAAAAATGCATTATAAGTGGTTCCTGCACTTTTTTCTCTGCCATCTTTATGCATGAAAAAACAAATGTATACATAGAATCATTGCACATCTTTGTTATATCAATATTGCACTTTCCATTATTGCACATGTCATTATTGCTAGATTATATATTGTACAGCTCTACTTTCATACAGTCTTAATATCGCTGAGGTAAACGGCGGGAGAGAGACCTGTGTTGTCCAGATGCCAGGGGTCGGTGGCTGCAGACATTGGTGGGATGGTCAGAGGAGACGCCCCACAGTTGGACTCGAGGAGTTTTCCCTGGTGGGAGGCCGGGGAGTGCGTCCGGTCGCTCGGTGAGTCTGTGGACCTGGTCTTGGACTGGGCGGCGGCTCTCAGCGCAGCCTTCAGAGGAGCGACGCCGTTGAACTGAACCCGTGACAAGCAGCCGACGAAACCCGGAGTGTTGTAGTGCTCGATCACCGCCGGGTCCACGAATCCAGATTCTGCAAAGATGCACAAGAACAAGAGGGGAGCGGGTTACAGGCAAGTCCAACATGCAGAGGAGGAGCGAAGTATTTTTATTTTGTACTGCACTTCTCTGATTCAATTGTTTTATGAATACTGTTTTTTAACTACTTTACTGTATGTAAATCCCCAAATGGACAGACATTCACCCAAGCTAAAATGTTCTAATGTGTAACGTGTGAAACATGTCCCTAAACAGAATACATAAAATGTAGCTAGTTTTTTCTGGTAAAAGTACTTTAACTTACCAGACTTTTTAAAAACTTTTTCTCTTGTACTTTTAACACTCTCTATATTGCTTAAAAGACCTCACTCTTCAAAAATGCAGTTTCATTAAAACATTTTTATTTTATTTTCTATTCCATATGCCTTTGTCAATAGCACAGGACAGGGTAAGTTTATTTGTACAGCACAACCTATGCACAAAGCAATTCAGAAAGCTCTTATATACTGTATACAGAAAAAAGCCCATTTGAAGCAAAGAGGAGATAGCAGATATAATTTCTCCTCCCTCTCTTGTATCTGACCTGAGGCTGCTATAATCTCACTATAAAGCCACTAACAAAGTTTGATCAAAGTCAGTACTACAATGTTTTGAGAAGCGCAGTGGTATGATAGAGCAGAAAAGTGGAACAATTCCTCTAATCGAAAAAGAAGGACACTGAGAATTCCCAGCAAAGCCCTGACCTCTGCTGTCAAAACTTGAAGTTGAATTATAAATGACTGCAGCTATCCTCATGACGCCGAGTCCCGTCTTATTCCTCCTGTGATCACGGCTGCCGCTGTCTTTTCTGTTCGGTGAAATGCAGATCTCAGTGGATATGACACAGAAAAACAAGCTTCTGCTGTTATTGTTTTTAAATCCTGCTCCTGTGGGTCTCTCGGTGAACATTATTGTTGGGGTGCTATTGTTATGATGATTACAGTCCACTATGGCACATATGCTTGGCACATTTTAAAACTGAAAAATATGGGAGTAAAAGCAGGTGAGGTGCAATTAGGATATATTACGTGCTTGATATGATCACAACTCATCAATTTGTCAATAAAGTGCTCAAGATACAACTCTATAATCCCCGGTCGAAACAATAGACAAAACTGATAGCACTATATACAGTTTACACACCCGGGTCAGAAATGGTGACGCGGACCATTTTCCTCACTTTTTCACGTTATTAGTGGTTGTATGACGCCATTTCTCCCAGAATATGTAACTTTCGACCTGATTAGAAGTTTCCTTCTTCAGTCATCAAAATCTATGACAGCTTGGAGTATTTTGTGATAGTTGTGGCGAAAGTGTTTTATCTTCTATGATGGTAAAAATGGCTATTCTTCCTTCCTGGACCACTTTCTATTGAATAGTACATATAATTCCACAGGTTGGCCTCAATTATTTGTACGTTCCAAACTGTTCAGTAACGGTACAGGGCATCTCAGCAACTCTCCGCCACATAATGTACATGACTTGTTCCCCGGATAGAAATGCTAACCATAATTAAGCCCCCCAAGAGGAAACTGGACAAGTCATGCACTCACATTAATGTAGTTCTGCAAATGTAAGAACTCATGCCTCATATGGCCAACCTGTAAAAGCCATGTTACCAGCTTTTCCTCTGGCACAATATAAAGTTTGTTGGGATTTCAGGAAATCTTTGTCTACTAACAGCTTCTTACCCTCAAGTTGTTCATCAGTATGAACAAATCACATATAATGGTCCTGCTTGTAATGAAATCTTTGGTTGATTGTTTCAGTGTTTTTTTCTTGTATTTTTCTTTTTTTCTGGTGCACACGGGAACTTTTGAAATCTTTTTCAGATTGGTTTTACTGGCAAAAGACAGAAACAAATTATTCGGAATCTGAATTACATTAACAGTGAGTGAATGACAGGCGGGAACTGAGGGGCTGATAACATGTACTTGTTGCCTCGCTTCTGTGAGGTCTTTCAAGGGCAAACTGGAGCTAGTTTAGTAGTGTATCCACCTTTGCATATGGAGTGAATTAATAAGGCCATGTGAAGTGTCTTGAGAGTCAAACGCACTACATTCACCGGCTGCAATATTTTAGTATTATGTTCCAAGTGTGGACCTCAAATTTCACAACAGAGAAGCCCGTAAACGTTATGTCGGCCCTATGTCGGTAGCAACGCTTTTAGGCGCTCATTCTACTCCTTTTTTCCATGTAAAGCCATAGTGGCACAACCGTTGCCCGGAAAAATAGCGGCATTACAGTAGCAGCATGTCATGTGCTGGTGTACCTTTTAAGGATTGTTAGCATAGACAGCAGGTGTCACAAGTCTCATGCACTTTAGTGCACAAGGGCTCCCGGCTTATAAATGTCAAGATAAGATACTACAACAATATTAAAAACTCCAAGTGGCTTGTTTCTTGCATAGATTGGATCCTGTTATTCTTTAATATGTTTGTTTTATTTTTCTTAAGTGATCCAGAAAAATGTGTAACTCATTTGATTGCATATCTTTAGAATGAATGTGGAATGGCAGCCTAAAACCCACCAACAGTAAAACACAATCTGATAAACAAATACATCAAATCAACATGGCGCTCGCACACTATAATTTCATTCTTCTTCAGAGAAGACTGCCACTCCTCACCGGTACTGAGTTGTTGGTGCTGACACAAGGGGATAGTTTAAGGACCAGGGGTTTATTTTCATTTCTTTTTAAAGTTACTGTCTCCACGTAGGTATACTGCCTGGTTTAAAATGTGTTATATCAAATGTTTGCTATGAAGCTATGTCATACATAGCTATGTCTTATTTTTAAATGTTTCTGATTCTGCCTCGTTTCTTTTCTATGCTTCTTCTGACGTTCCATGAGGATTCTCCTTTTAAGGTAAACAAACTGATATCCATTTATTTTCTCTTTATAAAACGGCCCTAGCATTTTTGGATTACTGTTGTAATCAAAACAATGTTGGTCACTGTTGTTAGCCGTCTTTGGCCTTTTAATACAACACCATGACCTGCATCGGGATTATTTGCTAAGGGATGGTAATGTCTGGACCAAACCCTCATTCTCACTTTCAAACGCGCGTAAGAACATGAGAGTTCTTACGCTATTATGTTCTTCCAGTGTCTCATAGCTTGACGACCCACGTTTAAACTAGTCATATACGTTTCTTGTTACCTAGTGTTTACATATATGTATGACCGAGTGTCCAGTTAGAAATATGGAAAAGTCTGTCGTGTTGGGGAAGAAATACAATAATTGGCTCAACTCTGCCCGGATTTTTTTTAAACAACTATTCTCCATAGATGAAAAGTCACTTGTCACTTTACTTTATCTACTTATTATCCTGCACTATTTACATGTACAGTTACTACAGTAATACTACTACATATATATATTTGACTGGTATTGAGCCTTTCAGCAGTCTACAGCTTGTTAGTTAGCCTAAGAAACATAGGTACTACTTATCTTGTATATATTGTGTGTGCTCCCTAGTGTGCTCTACCTACTTGGTCCTATAATGCTGCTTCATCGATTTCCCCACTGTGGACGAATAAAGGAATTCTTATCTTATCTTATCTAATAAATTTTTTTTTCTGTTGATGAGACTGTGAAACATCTGAACATGGACATATAACATGCCCTTGATCCTTAATCAAAAAAGAAGAAAGTAGATAATTTAATGTGACAGGAGCTTGTGGTTTGGGGTGGGCCCCCACAACAAGTCCTTCCTGGGAAAGAATCATGAGAACACTGGCTTGAAGTCTGGTTTTTTTATTAGGTTTTTCAGAGGGCAGACATTAAATACGCCCTTCAGGTTCACCCAATCTAAGTTCTGGTGGAATGATAATACTAGATTACAGTATAGGGAACAGACTGACAGAACACTATATATTTCTTTTTATATAAGCTTTTTTTAAACCAGGAACATACATATTCTCACATATTGTTAACTAACTCAGTTAATGTGTTGGTTGAAATGGGCAAATTAGCTTATTTCAGATGAGCCCTTAAAGAGCTAACCCAATCATATAACTGATCTCCTGCGTTGTGACAAGTCCATTGTCTGCATACTACAATACAGGGTGTGCTAGTGGTCTATCTATCACCAAATTAAAAGAAATGAGGAGTGATTCATTGACGGAACATTTGCATTTGTTTCTGTATCAGCTCTTATGCTCAACTCAATGGGGGTGGACCGCCCGATGTAGGACAAATTGGCGCTTTTCAATTAGAATATTGGCAGATGCGGCACTCCATCTCCTATTAACATATTTGTTGTTATGTTCTTTTCTTATGTGTTTGATGTCACTTACAAAAAAAAAAAAAGATGACAGCATCAGATCAGCCATGGATAATAATTTGATCCACCACTTTACACGAGCATCTGATCTGGATGCTTAAGCTGCTCCACAAAACATAAGGGCAAAGCATTAATTTTCTAACAGAAGAAATCAATACAATGCAGCTGGATAAAGCCTTTTCATTGTGCTATGGAAGGTTGTTATCGAAAGTATGTTTTCATACCTTGGCTCCATACATTTGCATTGTGTCATACGGTTGGTCCCATCCTACTAAATGTAAGTTAAACACTAATTGCACCAATGTCACAGTCGTTGCTGGTACACCACTGTGTAACAAGTATTGTTGGTTTAATAGTTTCACAACACTGACCTTTTCTCAGTATCTGCACATATACCGAACAAGTGTTATCAGGTCAAGTTTCCTCAGCTATCCTTCCTCAGCCTTTACACAAACCTCAAGACCAAAAGTGCGGGAGGCGGAATCGTAGATTTTAACGGTAAGAGCTACATCACCAGCCGGGATGCAAGGCTGGGTTGGTGCTTGTGTGTGAGTGCCAGGTTGCTGGGTCTTTGCCACCTGGGCCTGTCCGAGCTAAGACCAGAGACATGACTTAGTGCGCCTCCTGTGCCTCTTTTGCACTCTTTAAAAAAATATATACACAAAAAAAAATACACACACAAACACTTGTACAAGTAACGTTGGTCTCTCTGCCATGCCAATAGCGATCATCAAGAATTGGTGGGCCACTGAGCCCCAGAAAGGGTTGATTTAAGGTCATTTACATTTTCAGCCGACTATAAGTCTCCGGTTTTGGTTAGTGAAAACTCACAAGTATACGTTATAAAATCAATTCTATCATGGATAAAGAATATATGTTTGCTAATTCTTTAAACAATTAACGATTTCTTTCTAACGCCAGAGGCGAACTTAATTAATTCCTTTCAGTTCCATGCATTGTAAATATACGAACACAGAAAAAAGTATATTTACAATGCATGGAACTGAAAAGGGAATTAATTAAAAGTTCTGCCTCAGGCAGTATAAAGATAATCGTTAATTTTGGAAAAGAAATTAGCACACTATATTCTTTATCGGATAATAAAGGAATTAATAACGTATAACATGTGACGTTTCAACTAACCAAAACCTGGAGCTCTATAGTGGCTGAAAATGTAATGATCCTTAATCAGGCCCTTTCTGGGGCTCAGTGGCCCCACAATCTTGATGATGATTGCATGGCAGAGGAGGACCAACGTACTTGTACAAGTGTATGTGTGGTGTATGTTATTTTTTGTATATTTATTTTTTTTAAAGAGTGCAAAACAGAGGTCACCGGGAGGCGAACTCAAGACATGCTCTTCTAGGTCTAGCACGGACAGGCCCAGTGGGCAAAGACAGCAACAGGCACTCACCACAAGCACCAACACCAGGCCTCATCCGGCTGTGAAAGAAGCCTTTTAACGTTAAATCTACGTTTCCCACCTACTTTCATGCCGTAATCGCATGGTATGTGTTACAAGGCTGAGGAAGATAGCTGAGGTTAACATGACTGAGCTGAAACACCATGGTCTAATGTGCTGATACTGAGAATAGGTCATTGTTGATAAACAATTTTAAAACCAACACTTACTGTTTACACAGTGGTGTTACCCAGCAACGACTGTGCCGATCGGTGCAAATTTGTTTAACTGACATTTAGTATGATGGGACCAAAATCCGTTATGAAACCAATGCAAATGTAAAGGAGCAAGTAGAAAAAATACTTTCGATACAACTACCATAGCACGAATGAAAGGAGGCCTTTACTTCCCAGCTGCTTCGGTATTACTGAATTTTTCTGTTAGAAAATAATGCTTTTGCCTTATTGCTGTGGAAGCAGGCATAAAGCATCCAAGATCAGATGCCACGTGTAAAGTGTGGATCAAATTATGTATCCATGTGTGATCTGATCTGTCATTTTTTGGTAAGTTACATTCTCAAACACATACAAAAGAAATAACAACAAAATGTAAAAGGTGAGAAAGGGCAGTGCGCCTCTGCCAATATTCTAAAAATGTGAAAAGCAAGTTTGTCTACATGGGCTGTCCACCTCCCATTGATTTGAGCAAATGAGCTGTATTGAAGAACAAATGCAAATGTTCGTCAATGAATCACTCCTCCTTTCTTATAATTTGTTGTCGCATAGACAACACACACCCTGTAATGTTTAGGCAGACAACAAGGACTTGTCTAGCGGATTTCAGTTATATGATTGGTTTAGCTCTCCGTTTAAGGGGAACATCTGAAATATGCTATGTTGCCATTTCAACCTAACACATTAACTGATTTATTACCAATATGTGCGAATATGTATGTTCAGGATCTAAATAAAGCTTTAAAATAAAAACAGAAAATATAATGTGTTCTGTCAGTTCTGTTCCCTATACTGTAATCTAGTAATTTAATTCCACACAAGACTTTGAATGGGTAAGCCTGAGGCCCTATATGTACTTACTGCCTCAAGAAAAAACCTTAATAAAAAACCAGACTTCAGCCAGTGTTCTCAAGTTCTAACCCAGGAGACTTGGTTTAGTCACCCCAAAACACAGCTCCTGTCACATTAAATTATCGATCTTTCACTTCTTTTCTGACTTAAGATCAACGGGCCCATGTAAAATGTCATGTTCAGTGTTCAGCAGTCCTGCCTCAACAGAAAAAAAAAAAATTTATAAGATAAAGATCAGATACGGAATTCCTTTATTCGTCCATCCCCACATGGGGAAATTCTATGTTGCAGCTCTAGGACATTCGTAAGAGCACACAGGGAGCACCACAAATTATTACAAATAAAGTAGTAGCTATGTTTACATAGACTAACCTAACAAGCTGTAGATGTGGACAAGGCCTTCAGTACCAGTCAAAAATATTATTATGTAAGTAGTAGTACTGTAGTATTACATTTAACATCGTGCTAACGGATATAAGTAGATAAAGTAAAGTGACAAAGTGACATTTTCAGCTATGTATGAAAAGTTCGTTAAAATAAATCCTGGCAGAGTTGAGCCAAAATTGTATTCTTCCCAACCCCCAGACTTTCCATACTTCATAACTGGACACTCGGGTCATACCTAATGTAAACACAAGGTTAACAAGAAAGTATATGACTAGTTTAAAACTTGTCGTTCACTATGAGACTCTGGAGAACATAAGAGCGTAACGCAACTCTAGGTTCCTACGCACTTAGGGAAAGTGAGAGATGAGGGATTTGGACCAGACGGTTACCCAGACCTAGCACATATCCCGAAGCAAGGGTCCATGTTTTTATTAAAGGCAAATACTGCTACATCAGTACCAAACATTGTTTTGATTACAACGTAATCCAACAAAATGCATATGGCGTTATATGAAAAAAAAGGATATTCAGGTTTTACCTTCAGGAGAATCCACATGGAACGTCAGAAGAATGGCAGTAGAAAAGAAAGAGGAGAAACAGAAAATGTTAGAAAAATAAGACATAGCAATGTATGACATTATTCTTCATAGCTAACATTTTTTTTTTTAAACCATAAACTACTGATAAGCGAATAGAGAAATACCCAGAGAACACAACCTGATCACATTTCTTTGATCAGATATTTATTTTATGACCACCCCGCATCAGCATCTTCAGAACATTCTTTAGCTCGTCTCAAAAACTTTTGGCCATGATCTTCATAAGTTGTTTTGCCAATGTCAAAATTTTAATTACAAAGAGTATTTGGGAATAAAGATCTCATGTTATTTGTGCTTTAGTCTCACAGACAATGCAGATCACGCAGTGTGTCTCTGGGTCACGTCCCGCGGGTGTGCCGCGCACTGCGCATGGACCTCATGTTGTAGATCTGGGGACGCACGACAAGGCGCATGTTTATATATTTTTAAAAGTCGTTTATTCAAACAAGTGTATGGCCATATCGTCTTGAGCTGTGATTGCAAATGATGAATGCAAGTGATTTCACGGAGAAAAGCTGTTACCTTTCTGTGATGAAGGATCAGTGCTCGACCCTCTGTTTGGGAACCCACAAAACCATGCACGCTGCTGATTAATAATCTGAGAGATCTTGCAGAATTATTATCAACTATTGTGCAAATGTGTCTAGACGGAAAACCCAAGATACAGGGTGAGAATGTGGGATGAAGCAGACTAACACAAAATATTACAATGAACCATTACTTTTAAGTAGGCTATAGGAAACATGTTTAGTGTTATGCGCAAATGTGTGTCGGATAGAAAAGACTGATGGGATATAATCTATAACTGAAACATCGAACTCCCACCCGGTGAAATGAACGCGATTCTCCCGCGGAGCCATTCTGTGCAGCGCAGCAGGACCAGACAATCAAGTATCTGTAGCAAACATATGAGCAGGATTCATAGCTAATAGACATACATATGAGCACAATCCATAAACATTATAATGTATTATACAGCAAAGAGCAGGGCCATAGGTATTATAACATATGTGTTATATGTATAGCATTCAGCTGTGAGCGCCGGAGACAGCCGGAGTAAGGAGACATGCTGTGGTCTGACAGCGCCCCCTGTCTGCTCAGAGAGCTACGACATCAGCCTTTAAAGGGGAGGTCTACATATCAGGAAGACGTTTTTAAGGTGGACCGCTGTAGTTAGCTGGCTGAACATTGACACGCTTTTATAAGTATCCTATATAAAACATTATAAACTATCTGCCACATATTTGTGTTGAAAAGCATAGGCTAATGAAGAACGTGGGACCATTAGATACGCTACTCAAAACTTTAATAGAATCATTCAGCAAAAAATGTACGTTACAAGCCAGCCATTAAAGGGATTTGTTGATGCTTTTCTATCATTATTGTAAATACAAATATGAAACCCATATTTGCCAATTGTATTTTTTAAATTATTATTATGTAGCTATTTGAATGCTCACATAGTCCTACTGTTCTTGTTCTTGCAACACGGAAAATCCCCCAATTTGAGATGCAATAAAGGTTCTCTTCTCTTTGGGCAGTAAGGCTATTCATGAAAAGTCTGTCAATAAGTTAACGCCAAGCATTTTATGCATACATGTTTGCATGTTTACATTTCATAGTGCGCTGACACAACAGGTATCTCCATGCATGCTTCAGTTCATTAGCATGAGCGCTAGAAGCTAGCATTAGCTAAGAGGGCAATAAACTGTTGTGTAATAACACTATCATAGTGTTAGCTAAGACCTTCTGTGTCTGTATCTGCAGTTCGTCTCCTCCTTTGTTGTTTTCTTTGGTCAGAGTGTGTTAGCAGCAGGTGTTAGGCCCTGGTCCGTGCATACAGTCCCTCTGTGAGAGATGCAGACACAGGTCTCACCTCCTCCTCCTCCTTCTCCTCCTTCTCCTTCTCCTCCTCCTCCTCCTCCTCCTCCTCCTCCTCCTCCTCCTCCTCCTCCTCCTCCTCCTCCTCCTCCTCCTCCTCCTCCTCCTCCTCCTCCTCCTCCTCCTCCTCCTCCTCCTCCTCCTTCTCCTCCTCCTCCTCTTCCTCTGCTGCTGCTGCAGCTGCTGTTACACCTGATGCTCTGCGGATTTTCTGAAAGCACCATGAGCTCTGGGTTTGTCTTCACCGTGTGGAGCTTCGCTGCAGTACTCCTCACCAGTGCCACAGTCTCCGCTAAGCCCGGGGTTGTCGGGGTGGCCAGCCGCACAGACTCATGGTTCTTGGGATGTGTGTCCAGCTGCACCGCTCTGGAGCCGCTCACTGGAGACCGGGACCCGGTGCTTTGCTCTGCTCGCTCCCACAGGGAAGGGTGAGAAGAATGTTGTTATTGGATTTAAAAAAAAACAACAAACAAATCATGACCTTTTAGTGGATTAAAATACTATAATTGAATGCCGACACCAAATGAATGAACTATTTGTTTTAACCCTTGTTACTTTCAGGTGCAGCGTGGCTGCTGTAACTTCAGCAGGCTGTTTCTGTGGAACCCAGAAGCTGCTGAGATGTCCATCATCTATTTGTCCAAACATCTCATCAACACTTGCCCCAGGACAACGGTGAGGCAAACTCACAGATATTTGAATTATTAAAAGATAATTATTATGTATCTTTCTCCCCCAGTGCTGCATTGCTGCCTATTGGAGAGAGCAGAAGAATAGTGGCTCTGTACCAAACCTATGGACCCTTTCTGGACAACATCAGCCTCTCTGTGTCTACACTCCTGGTTTTTACCAAAACAATCTTCAACATTAAAGTGTCGGGAAACTTAGCTGCACCTTTGGACCAGCCAACAGGCCAGTATTTGATTCTCACATTTCAGTCATTAATTTTGTTCATGGTTATATATACTAGTCCTAATATTGTTACATAAGTTAGTTTTCCCATCTGTGAATGAAGTTGTCTGTTTAACATTTATAAATACTTTTTAATTAATGGGTGACAATTTTGTTTATTTTAGTTTTCTTACTTTTGTGTTAAAAAAAATAAAAACAGTATGTGAGTAGATTAAATTAAAGCAATAATACATTTGCGATCAACACTTGTTACTTAAGACTTATTTGGTCTAAAATAAAAATGTAAATAAATGTATTGTAGGGATATTTGGGCTTGGGCGACAGGAGCTCTCTGATGTCATTGTGGAATTTGTGGGAATGACCCCCAAAGGCCAAAGTTCTCTCCATGTCAACGTTCTGGATCACGGCTTCTTTAATGCTTCATCCAACTGGAGATTTGAGGCTCCAGGAACATATGAAATCAGTGAGTCACACATATAATATTATTAACACATTCAATTTCATAAACACTGTTTTATTATTTTGTTTAGGAGTCGTAACATCCAATATTCTCTCTGTGATCACGGTGACGCAGAATCTCACCGTTTTGGTACAAACAGAAGATGATTTGGTAAAAGTTTGGCCCAGAGTGGACAGTGAAGCTGTAGAAGACATATGTTCACCGTCAACATGCATCAGCGCACGAGTAAGTTTGATTTTTTATCTTTTTCTATAAAAGATTCAAGCAACTATAATTTATTTGTAAAGTAAAATAGGGTAGTCATACAAATTCTGAATGTCTTTTATTAACTGTTATACACAGTAAAAACAACAGTATTCTTGGTTTGTAAGTTGTTGTGGCTTCCTGTCAGTTACCTTAACAATACTAATCACATAGAGTTAAAACAACACCAGCTGCTAGCAACAAGTTTATGGTGTCAGTTTGACTGCTGATTACAATGACCACTGCTGTTACACCCATTGTGATGATGGAATCCACAGAACATTTTATACCTCATTCAAATCATTCGCACCTCCAATTCTGTAACTCATGTCGCCTTTAGTTTAGCTGCACTTTTCCTCAATACAGTCCTGCTAAATCAAATCAGCTGAATTACTTCTAGCGACCTTTTGCACAATAGATTATATTGAAAATTGCAGCATTGGAACAGGGAGGTTGTGACCAAAGAGAAAATGTTTTTTACTTCTCAGAACAAGACTGTGAGAGTGCGGCTGAAGGAAAAGAGAGAGACTGGTCGGAATGGGAATAGTAAGAAACATGATTACTTCATTTAGAGAAAACAGGCAAAATACATCAGATTGTAATGCAAAGACAAGCTTCGTTTCCCCTTTTCTTTTGAATCTGGTGTTATAAAAAAATATTGTCAAGTTGTATTTTAAAATTGTTCATTCAAGATAGTCCATCAAACAAGCCTTCATAGTGTCTTGGCCTGTATTTAAGATATTTATTCAAACTACATTATGAACTTAATATAAAATGTTTTGCAGTGGTTGAGGTTTACGCTGCCAAACAAGCTTATCCAACCAATACAAAAGTCCACTTCTCTGCACTGACTGACGCTCAGAACTCTGTGGAATTCTTTTGGGACTTTGGAGACTTCACCTCTGCGCGAAACATGCTGAAGACCATTACTAAACAATATAACGAGCCGGGCAGGTACGAGGAACTATAAGGCTGCACGATTTTAAAGATGTCTGTGTAGGTTCGTCTAACCTGTGATTGTCCTCAAAAAAGTTTCATTCTCTCTTTACCCTTTTAAAAGTAATTGCAATGCAGTTCTATTCTAAAAATAAGATAATTCTATTTTAAAAATAAGATAATAGAAAATAACATGTTACGATTATTTTAGGTACAATGTCACAGTTGTCATGGTGACCCCTTGGACGTCCACCGCCTCAGAGCCGTTTCCTATTATTATCCAAAGAGCAGTAAAACTAAACAGACTTGTGCACCAGGCTTCTGTGCTGCGGGGCCACACTGTGACGCTAAGCTGCAGAGTGAACTCTGGGACAGAGCTGCACTTCTTATGGACGTTTGGAGACGGTTCATCGAAACCTGGACAGAGCTCTGAGAAACATGTCTTTCAAAGGTTTGTAACCTCAGAGAAGAAGTTGACATCGTCTGAGGCACAGAAAAATACCAGAAAGAATTTCACTCTCAATTTGGAGATTTTAATTGATTATTAATAAGGTTGTTTTGGCCATAATGCCTTTGTCAAATACTATTTCTTTCAGCCTAGTGCAGGGATAACCCAGGTGTTTTTTTGTTGTGAATGTAGTTTGGGAGAGTTCCCAGTGGAAGTGACTGTGTTTAACCTGGTCAGCAGAGCCTCTCTGAGACGTCCCATCTTTGTAGTTGACACTCACTGTCAGCCTCCACCAGTGAAGAACATGGGCCCCCACACTATACAGGTCTGTGCTCGTTATAGATCAACTGTGAAAGAGTTTGACCTACATGTATATAACGAGTCATGTCATCAAGTTTTGAAACTAAACTATCTGGAAATTTGGAAAATATATATATATTTTTTACAGACTACTCACTTTAATATTTTATTAAAACACTGCTCAGGGCCTCAAGAAAAAAAACAACAAAAATAATTAAGTGAAAATAATTATGCATACATGTTCATTTGTTTATTTTGTATAAATCTAAGCAAATGTTTGTAATTTTGAAGTTTTTGATATTTGTAAATAATCTAAACAGTTCTCTATTCTGCACAATGTCTAACTAGGATTGTAGATGTTCATTCATTGTGTTATTTCTTCTTCAGGTGCCCAGACATGAAGGCATCCGCCTTGGAGTGACATACGAGTCTGAGTTTGACTGTGACACGGTCGCCTCTGGAGGCGTTCAGTACACGTGGACTCTGTTTGACTCTCTGGGAGAAGCCTTTCCTTTAAGCCGTGTAGAGACTCATAGACAGAGTCTGGTACTTCCAAGACATTTTCTGCATTATGATACATACACCGCCATCGCTAAAGTAAGTATACTTCATTGTTGTCTATCTAGTGGTTCTCAACTGGTGGGTCGGGACCTTAAAATGGATAACAGGATTATTTTCAGTGGGTCATACAAAAAGTATCTACTACACTGCAAAATTATCTAGAAAGAAGCAGATTTTTTTGAAAACAGTATTATAATATTAATAGAGCTGCAACTAACGATTATTTTGTAATCGATTAATCTATTGATTATTTTTACGATTAATCGAGTAATCGCTTGGCTGTGAATTGTCTAGAAATAATGTATTTTTTCATCACAAAAAGCTAAAGTGGCAACACTCGAGGACGTATTGATGGCGTAAACTTAAAGTAAATGTTTGTTTTAGGCTTTTTGTGCTAATTCTGCTATCTGATTGGATGAGACAGACAGATAAGATAAGATTTGCTTTATTTATCTCACATAGGAGATATCCATGAAATTATAAAAACAAAGTCGGTTTTAATCAAAAATACTACATTTTCATGTCATTTTTGCTCTGTTTGAGTCCGTGTGAACCAGAAAACGATTAATCGATTACTAAAATAGTTGTCGACTATTTCAATAATCAATTAGTCGTCGATTAATCGATTAGTTGTTTCAGCCCTAAATATTAATATTTGTATTTGTTTAAAAGAAATAAAAAGAACATAAATCTAAATCCTCTGAAAATTAGATTAAACACATATTTACTTGAAACAAAATACATAAATTGCATTCTTGAAATTGGTTATATAACTTAAAGACAAATGCAACAAAAAGACAAAATTCTATTTCTTCGATTCCAAAGTCTGTTGGAGTTCTTTTGTTCATAATGTTAGCTTTTGTAGTATTATTGATTACTTATATTTATATTAAAAAAAAAATACCATATTTAATATATTTTTATACTAAATAACATAGTGCCAAGACATGGAGTTTGGCAAGAGATGTGGTGCACACTGAGTACTCTTGCACAGGTATTCCAATGTGGTTTTACGGCAAATGGCAAATTAACTGAATCTGAAATTCAGTTCTCATTTGGGTAATTTGTAAGTTGCTGATGGGTTCTGACACCGTTGCAGTTGAGAATCCCTGGTCTACACTATTATCATGAATCATAACAATGTGTGCTGAATAAATAGGTGACAGTGGTCGGCAGCGCGGTGTACAGCAACTACAGAGTAAAGCTGCAGGTGGTAGAGACGCCTCCCGTGGCCATTGTTCAAGGCGGCACCAATGTTTTTATTAACAATAGAAACTCAACTGTGATCGTGCTGGACGGAACACAGTCGTACGACCCAGATTATCCTCACAGCACAGCAAGGTACGGATAATAAACTCGCCATAACTTTCCATTTACAAGAGGATGGGATTACGCTGAACATTACTTGATCTACAGAATTATGATACAATAGGATTTGAATTGTTTTCATCACATTCATCACAAAGATAACAAGATTCCTCATAAGATGAGAAATGGTCTGATTTGTTCAGACCATTTACTTTTACTTGACTTTTTGTTGAGACAAACACTATAATGTATTTTTTTTTTAAATAGGTACTTCTTCTTTAATGCATGCCTTTTATTTTAACCTATATTATCAAAATGTTTTCTATTTCTGCTTGTGTTGCTGCATATACCCAGATTTTTAGTGTGTATGAATTTGACCAAAGCGATCAAGCTTATTTTATTTCTTGTCAATTTCAGATAAACACTGTTACTAAAATGTACAAAAAAAATACAGTTCTATGTTTTAAATTTTTATTTCCCAGGCTTCACTGGACCTGTAAACCACTCAGCATCATCTCCACTTCCTGCTTTATTCGTGACGTTCACATGTCGTCTGCTCGGGTGTCTTTTTCTGCATCTTTCCTTAAACAAAACTTTGATCAGTTTCACATCACACTCACCATAGAAAGTGCCGGACGCTCAGCTTCATCTGATGTCTTCCTCACTGTCAATAGAGACCTACAATGGTGAGAAAAATGTATTTTTGAATTTAAATCCTTATTATGTGTTTTTATATTGTTTTTTAAATTAATGTGTATGTAAATAATATTGTGTTACTAGGAGCTTAAACGTAAAATCAATTTAAAAGCATTAATTCAAAGCATGTTAGAACTATGAAACTGTGAAAATCTAGCGCTCACACAGTTTGGTTTTATCACAAGTTTTTAGTATTATTATTATGTATATTCTTGGCTTTCAGTTTGTAAAAGACATCATGTTTTAAGATAAATACAGCATGTTGTGCTCTGATTTGATTTGATTAAGCTAAAAAATAATTACATACTCCAGCTTTAAGTCACTAGAAAATATTGCATCCCCGACCACAAGCGTGAGTAAAGAAGTTACACCAAATGTTTGAGATATTGCTGAAATCAAACAAGAATTGCATTTGTCAACTGGACTCTTTGTTTCTGTAGGAAAGTGAGTGTTGAAATCCAAAACCCCCAAGTGAACTGGGATCAGCCGCTCTCTGTCCGGGCCTTTTGTGACGAGTGCACTCTACCTTCACTTGATTTGATCCATTATACATGGAGTCTGTTCCTGGTGAATGCTTCTTCCAGACCTGTCAATGACGGTAAGCACAATCTGATAAACAATTATCAACATTTATCAAGTCATTTATTTTTTACAAATGTTAGACATTCCTGTTGTTTTACTAGTCCCATTTTGCTACACACTGGATCTGAGCGCTCCATCTGCCATTCAGGACACAACTTCAACAGCTCTTTCTCCAAGGCACCAAAGAAGTAATCTATTTAAACTATATTTTTATAAATATTGACAGAACAGAGGACATCTTCTGATTCCTGTTGATTTACACAGGTGTTTTGGACCTTGATTCTACAATGGACTTGACAAGAGCAGGTAATTTAGAAAAAATAGAAACTAAACTTTTTTCTTCTCTTTATTATTTTATCAACATTTGTGGACATCAGTCATCTGCCCCTTATGGACCAATGACTCTCTGTGTTTTTTTTTTTCTTGTGTTTGACCGGTTTTATTCTCTGATCTGTGTGGGCAAATTGAAAGGTTTTGTAACATCCTCCGAGGAAACTACTGTTGTGATTTAGGGCTTTACCAGTATAAATTGAATTGAATAATATAAAAAACTGTTTTCTATCCAGAAGACGACTTTGATAACCCTCGTAAAGACATAAACCTGTTCGACAGTGATCATCAAGAAATGTTGGATCTGTTTGAATCATCTACTGACTGGGACTTTTCTATATCAGAGGAGGGAGATGAACAAAATGGTACAGTATATGTTTAATAAATCAATCTGCAGAAAATAAGTGTGTAGAAGTCTTATCTAAACTTGCACCGATTTTATAGACTCACATTATGATCATTTCCTGACCGCAGAGGAGGGAGAGTCGGAGAAATCACCAGGAAGAATCACAGGTGCAACCGTTTGTGTTGGATGTGTACCGTAACAGCAAAAAAATATATAAACAATCCATGTTATGCTGAGAAATCATATTTTTTATAGCAATACAAAAAGTACAGTGATATAATCATACATCAAATGAGACCAGATGTTGTTTTTTTATAGAGAAAATGTCTTTCTCTATATATATATATATATATATGCATGCTGATGAACACTTGCCGTTTGTGTTTTCAGTGAAGGAGGAGGAGGAGGGCATGAGTCTCTGGCCGGATCCACAGTTTGATGCAGGAGACGAGGGCAGTGACCTGGTGGATCTGAGGCCTGCTGCTGCGGTTCTACAGCAGACTTTACTGGACCTGCCCCGCGACACTGTGCCCCGCCAGATCTTTGAGACCTACACCCATACTGGTAAATCCAACTAATACTTACAGATAAAATGGAATAAATACATGTATTTAATCTATTTTTTTGTAGGAATTTCCTCATCTCAGTTCATTATTAAACCATTTAGTCTGTGGCCTGGGAGCAGATACATGTTGGACGTCATAGCAACTCAAACTGAAAGCAAGTTATTGGTTATTAGCGAGTAATTTGGATAATAAGTAATTCAAATTGACAAGTTATAATGTCGCTATAAATATGATTAAATATGGTTACATTCAGATTCCCAGAAGCAGATTTTGGGACGGACTCAGCTTTTCTTTCAAACAAAACCAGCTCCCAAAGGAATGACGTGTCAAGTGCAGCCGGCTAATGGTGTGGAGTTAATCAGTGTCTTCAGCATCTTCTGCACATCGGGCAAACAGGCACGACTAGTTTCACATTCACAAAGTCAATTGAGGGATGTTTCCTTTATAAAATGGCTTTGTCTTGTGTTATACATTTTTCAGGACTTATTGTACAAATACAGCTTCAGCATCGGAAAAAAACCTCCACAAACCCTTTATCAAGGCGCAGACTTCGAGCACTATTTCAGTCTTCCTGCTGGAGATCCAAATCGTGATTATGAAGGTAACACATTCATGCATACTTTAATTTCACTGACTCTAATCATTATTATTTGTTTGTGTTTTTGTAGTTACCATTTCAATAGAGATCCGAAGCAGCATCCATGGAGGAACCACTCGGCCCTGTCCAGTCACGGTCACAGTCCAACCACATTTTGTGAGAAACACATCCTGCAGCGATCCAGGCTTGAAGCTGTAAGAAAACTACTTATTATTTAAAGCTGGGGTATTTAACTTTCAAACCACCAAAATATGGACATTTGTAATAAAATCCATTTAACAAGTTCCTTGCTCTCAAAACAGTTGTGTAACAGACGTATTTTTGACCTCTGTAAATCCTTTGTACCAAATAGTGAGTCACAAGGCTATTTCTGTTTGAAAAAGTACGCAAATGATGTATCACTTTATCCACAACCGTAAGACTCACAAAATGTAAAAAGGGAAAAAGTTACGCACCTCAGCTTTTATTAATTATTATGGATTTCTTTTCATACAAATGAGGGGAAATACTGTGTTTTCTTTGTGTTGAAAAATGAATAAATAATTGTTTTTTTTAAAGATGAAAAAATGAAAATACTCTAATATTTTGAATTAAAAAAAAAATCTGAACATGTTTCAATTGCCTAAAAATCCATACACAAATTCTTAAGTTGTACGATGTTTCCAAGTTGAATAACACATATTTAAATAAGCATAAATGTGTGCAGTTCCCAGGCCGTGCTGAGAAGCCTTTCCAGTGGGTTTGTGAACGGAGTCGTGTCTCTGAACTACATTGGGATCGTCGCAGACATCGTGAACAGACTGAGCTTGGAGCCTGCACTAAACACGCAGCCGCTTGGATTTCTACGTAACTCACTCGTGTGTGTTGTGTGTGAGACCACAACTATCGACCAGGTATATTTTATTGTTAAATGTCATTTATCAATCACATGTTTTCCTTGTATTTAAATATTGGTGATAATGTAACATCTTTTAGTTTTCCATCCAAGAAGCCTTTCACATACTCGAAAAGCTTTTGAAAACCCCAGATCAGGTAACTCATTGCAACTTCGTAAAAAAATTCTTTGCATTGATTTTACTTATGTTTCAAGGTAATCTGATTCACTGTTTTGTGTTGTTTTTAGTTAACATTAGCAACTATGAGAAAAGTTACCGGTTTCATACACTTAATTGGAAATCAACCGTTTTTGGACCAGAAGATACTGAACAATATAATCTCTGTCCTTTCACACAACCTCAAGATCATCTCTAATCACAACTATCAAAAGGGCAGCACCATCGTTTCCACAGAAATTGGAGCTTTTTACAAAACAGTTGGAAATAATGCAAACTCTACCATAAACAGCTGCTTATCGCACTCTGGTTCTTTGAATGGACTCAGTTTGGCAAAGCATCTTGTTGACAGTGTTGTGCGTATAATCTCAGATGTTTCACTGGTAAGAAATACTCAAAACCAAAATATGTCACTTCAATTCAATTAATTAATTTGAAAGGGTTTTTATCAGAATTTCTTTTTGGATCACAAAAAGGAAGAGATACATGTGCACACTGATGCCGTGTCAGTTGTCGCCTCGTCCCATCGGTCGACAATCCGCTGTGGTTTTAGTGTTTTGTTCCTGCCTCAATCTTTAGCTCAGCATTTTGGCACATGTGTGGTGTCTATGGTGATTGTGCTCAAACAAAACCCGTACTTTTGGGCCCAGTATCCTGAAGAGGTAGGATTAATGTTCAGTTAAATAATCTACAACTATAATACTAAATGTGATGTTTTTAGTTGACAGGACCAGTGGTTGAATGGAGTTTATTCAGATGTGAGACAAAAAGGAAAATCTCTCTCAGATTCTTTGCTCAGCCTTTTGAAATACAACTTCCACCGCAAGAAATCGTACGTATCACTTAAATATAAATGTATTTAAATTAAATCCTAAATTCATATTGTTCAATTCAGCCAACAAATGCGCCTGAATACTTTCTCCAACACAATGCGGTCAACTACCACAGCTTCAATATTTCCCATCAGCACTTGCAACATGCTATTCAGCTTCATGTGCAGTTCACTCCATCCGCCACCAGGGTGTTCCCAGTCATTCTTCTTTTTAGGTAAATATGAAAAGAACTATTTGTGTAATTACTGTCAAGGTTCTTCAAACACGCAATGATCTTTTAGTTCCGACATATGAAGGAAATAGGAGTTATGCAGGAAACGTCTATTCATTGTAATTAACTGTAATAATTGTATTGTTGTTTTGTAAAGCCAAGCCCAAATAAACTGGTTTTCTATCTTCAAATTAAAATGACAACAGAAACTAATTTTATCCAATTAGAAGTTTCCATCCCCCAGTTTTCAACAGTGTGTATTTCCCCTTTAACATCTATGTCTTTTATGGTAGTTGTGGATGAGGTTCTCTGATGGTAAAGCTGCCATATCGCCTGTGCTACTTAGAAAAAGCCTCCAGCTCATGTAAATTCCTGGGCTGCCTTGCATAAACAGCACATTTTCTCTCACCAGAGCAGCTCAATCAAAATAGAAAACTTGACAATTAAATTTGATAATATATGAATTTACACAGACACGAACAATGAGGGGAAATGTATATGTTATTATTCATTATCGCCAAAATATGGCCCAAACAATGCTATCTCTGGCTGGGTGTGTCCACAGACTGTGTACCTTTTCAAGCTCAGCGTATGTTTTGTGTTGATACTACATCTTTTATTTGTATTAATCTAAACACCAATGTTTTATTTCAAAATGTTGTAATCTCAAAGGATGTTTAAAAAGCCAACACCAACTGAATATAATTTACACGTAACACACAACTGGAAAACAAGTGCAATTTTCTTGCCGCTGCCTTCAGTCTACCTCAAAGGTGAGAGATTTTAAGATGTTTCTATAGTTATTTTACATTGTATGAATTTTGTTTTGACTTTTTAGCTGGTGGGGTTGGACACGTGGCTCTCCTGAATGCTGACTTTGAAAGCGCGTACAGATGGAGGAAGACAAAAGCCGGTTACAGCCTGAGAGTGAAGAGCAGTCGCTGTGTGTCCTGGGAGCCTCTCACTGGAACCTGGAGCCATTACTGTAAAACTATCTCTGCTCGAACATCGTCCTCCGTCAACTGCAGGTGAGATCACTGCCACAGGCTTCAGCTGTCATTATTTCTTTTTTTATTAATAATAAAACTCACCTACCATCTTGAGGATATGATACACTGCAAAAAACAAACAAGTACATTTGGATTTGAGAATATGTACTGCTCATATTTTACAATGGTTAAAGCAGTGATTTATTTCAAGAGCATTTTTATAATCAAATCTTGCTTTAAGATTGAAAATGTAATATTGCCATTTGGATTAAAAAAAAGAACCCAACACATTGGAATAACTGTGCAAGATACACAATACACAGAAGATTACAATAAACTAGAATGAAGAACAGGTTAATATACTGTAGTAAACACACACACACACACACACATATAAATAACATTATATTGTGGTTTTGAATATATTATTTTGTTTTTTCGGTGTATGCATACTTAATTGAATACATTTTCTAATATGATTGTGTTTGTTTATTAGATTTGTTAGCAGGTTTAGGAGGATTGACTATATAAAACAAACACCTTCATGTTGATATTTTTTTCAGCTGTCATCATTTGTATCCAGTTACATTGGCACAGGAGGAGATTTCAACTCTCCTCGACACAGGAGACTTCGACAAAATTTTACGGTAAGTTTCCTTATCATTGTCTGGAAAATTATACACAAATATCTGAACAATTACTTTTCTTACATGTTGCCATTTCTCTTTCTAACGGTCAGTGTGTCTTATAACTGGACTGTGTTGTGTGTGCTGCTTCTGGGGGTGGCCTTCTACGTTGGAGCTCTGGTTTGGAGTCTGAAGAGCGGTGTGGGCTCTGGGCAGAGAAGAGTCCACTTCCTGTCTGATAATTTACCACATGAAATGTATCATTACGCTGTCACTCTGCACACCGGCCTCTGCTCTGCGGCTCAGCTCAGCGCAAAGGTGCGTAAAGGGCTTCCGTTTTTACTTAGTTTGCCCCTTACATGTGTTAGGGGTAGCTGCGTGATAGGCCCTAACCCTAACCTTCATACGATGCAGTATTTAGTAAATAAAAATGGACATGTTACTATTCTTGCTTTGCATTTCTCCAATTGCTTTTCTCTTTTCACTTCCATAAAAATCTATTCATAGACATTTAGAGAAGAGACAATTAAACACGTATTTGCTCTGAAAATACAGTACAGTTTGTCTACTTACAATGATAATGAGTAACAATTACTTTAACTTTAGGTTTACATTGTACTTTGTGGAGAACATGGGTTTTCCCAGACAAAGGAACTTCAAGTCCCAGGATGCATTGTATTTAAGAGGAACTCTGAAGACACTTTTATTATCAGGTGAGATCAAATTGATGTATTTGTATTTGAACGTTGCAATAAGCCTTTTACTTATTTTTACAGTTCAGCTGAAAGCCTGGGATCATTGCACGGGATCCACATCTGGCACGATAACTCTGGACCAACTCCCGCTTGGTTCCTCAAACATGTGGAAGTGTTTGAGGTAACTATTGTCCGGTTGTTTCGTCAGTTTAAACCTGAAACCAGTTTGCATATGTTTGTTTTATGTAGCTGCGCAGGGATGGTCCAGTCAGGGGACATACTTGGCTCTTTGACGGTCACTGCTGGTTGGCTGTGGACAGGACCGACGGGCGAGTGGAGAGAATGCTGCGAGTTTGCAGTGAGGAGATGAATTTTGGAAAGGCAAGACATTTACCAATGTTATAGTGGTCAGAATTTAGGAAAAAACCAAAAAAATTACCACTCCCTCTAGCGGTTGAATAGGGAGTTTCTGGCTTATTGCATTGTTTAGCCTTGATACTTGTTTCACCATATATTTTTTACTTAAAGATTCAGTAAGCAATTTTATTAGCTTAGCCATAGCACCAACTCAAAACCCCTCCCCTCGCCTCTCCACCAAACCAAACATCCAGCATTTTCTTTTCTTTGTCACAACAGGGAGAGTGGGTGGCAAACATGAAATTGGCATTTTCTGTTCAGCCATTTAAGGTTATCGAAAATAATAATAACTCAGGTGCGCACACTCACGAGAAACAGGAAGAGGGTGAAGGGAGTAAACGAATCCCATTGGTTCATTATTATCAGTCCGCTCCAATATATTTTTTATACATTTTCGGAGACTACAGGCATCTGGTCAATTCCATGACTATTCAAAAACACATGATAACTACTTTTAGGATTTAGGGACGTCTTCCCACAATATCTAAAAAAAATGTGTCTGGAATAATCACTGACAGCATCTCTGAGATAAAACTACACATTCTAAAACATAAAACTAAAAATAATTATTATAATTTTAAAATTAGCCTTACATAGATGAACACAGACAATAGTACAAATCTATGTTTATCATAATTTATTTATCATCATTTTGCACATATATACTTCCAGTTGCTGCGTCTCAAAGTGTGCGACTACATGGCAGACTTCCACCCCTGGATTTCCCTCTACAGCTGCTCAAAGCTGCACCAGAGACTGAGCCTGTGTGTTCTACTGTGGCTGGGCTACGCATGCGCCGGCACTGTCACCATATCCCAGGTGAATTACAAGTTTAGCTGCACATGTTGTTTTCAAGACCATGGTAATTCCTGATTAGTGGGCATATACTGTACTGCACTACTATTAATATTATTAAGAATATTTATTTGACAGTTTTCAAGGAGTGAATGAGCCAACCTGTTATTTCTCCTACAGATGAATTTGGAACTGGACATTGAAGATTTGTCATGGAACGCCATCACAACAGGGATATTAAGTGTTGCCTTAATTCTACCTGCAGCAACCATACTATCTTTTATATTTCAGCTCCGTCATGTCAAAATTATGAGACCGACAGTTAAGGGCACTGAAGAGACCAAGGCTGAGGGATTTGAAGGTAAGGTTTTACGTTTGAGATACGTTCTTTATGTTGATATACGTTATTTTATTTGAATTTAGCAGTTTTGATAGGCATTGACAAGTCCTTTGTCATTGGGGTTAAAATTCAATTTAATGTAATAAATTTTTGATAAATGTATAATAAAAAGTACAAGAAAATATTGAACTGTTTGATGATAGATACATTTATGTTTGTTTGCAGATCTCTCATTGAGCATCACCAATTTCTCTTTGGACAGTTATGTTGAGTGGCCAAAGGAACACTGGAGAAAGAATGACCAAGTTTGTCACATTTAACCATCATTTCAATGTTCATTTTACATTCAATTGAACTCCAACTGATGGCGTTGTATTCATACTTTTAGGACTCCGACCTTTCCTCTGTTTCCAGTTGGTGTATAAATGATACAATAAGTAAAGACAATCTCCTTGGAATAAATGATGGAAACGAGGCACAGGATTTTAATTTGTTTAGAGATTTGAAAAAGAAAGAAAACCCGACCAATGAGATCCAGAGATATGACCAAGAGGATCCAGAAAAGCTTCAATGGTTTAATTATGTGGCTTGGGTGGTATGGCTGTTGGTTTGCTTTGGCTGTCTGGGAACCTCTGCTGCCATTGGACTGAGGTAAAGTTATAATAAACTATTCTTACATTTCCTTTGATTTTGTTCATAACAGTACTTGTGATCATATGCATCTCTCTGGGCCAGGTTTACTCACAAACAGGCAGTCCTCTGGATACAATCAATTTTGTTTTCACTTGTATTTTGTATATTCTTCATCCATCCACTCTTGGTAAGTTAGAGCCAGGCTTAATATAAACTAAATCACCAGTTATCTTAAAATTGATTTAAATATGTTTTTATATTTTTAGGTTTTCCTACTAGCTCTTGTTGTATCTGGGTGCCATGGAAAAAACATGAATGTATCAAACTCAAGACAGTACATCCATAAAAGCATTTGTAAAACCATGGGGAACAGTGTGCAAGTGCAAACAGGAAGTCCAATTCTACAGGAGGTAAATCATCTTGTTTTTAATCCAAATTAAGCTTCATGTAATCTTGTATAAGGCCATTTGAATGTGTATTTGTTTATTAGTTGCTCAAGGCTCGGCAAAGGCAGCGCTACTTGCGACTTGTGCGTCCCCCGTCTTTGACAGAGCTCAGAAAATCTCGCTATAACATTAAAAGAGAACGGCTTATTTGTGAAACAGTATGGTGAGTGTGAATTTGTGCAAATATGTATTGAAGTATTTTAAGTATTAATTGTGTTTGCTTTCCAAAGGGAGTGGTTTGTGTTTGCCTCACTGCTTTCTCTGATGCTGTGTGTGGCAAATGGGAGCTTCTCCAGCGACTATCACAATCTCAACAGTGCTGTCAAAAAACACTTCATAAGGTACAATAGTTAACGTTGACTACTTATTATATGATCCTAATTATACTTGTGTTTGATTGACAGCGGGCAGGACAGTTTTATGGGCATACGGACATATAAGGACTGGTGGAGATGGGCCCAGACAAGTCTCATTGATTCTCTGTTTAAAAACACATCTGCTACAAATAAGGTAAATTTAAGTAGTATCTATGTAGTATATGAGTTTATACTGTTCACAAAAGACAGTCATGATTATATTAGATTTTCAAAACTTAATTCCAAGTTCAATGTTTTTATCATGTACTTTATTGTAAATTACATTTAAATATAAATTGTGAGGGATGTTACCAACCAAAATGTGCCAATAAATCTCCTCTTTTGTACTGAGATAATATATTTCGACAATTTAAATGACAAGAATAGGCTTTGATGTAATAGAATGTATCATTTAAGTGTCAAAATAAATGTGGATCTCAACTTCCTGTAAATTTCCACATTAAAAAAGAAACAAAAAAACTTCTAAAACCGTGGCTTTATCAGTGTAAAAATATTTATATGTAAAACGGCTGTTTCAAATTATTTGTAAATTATTGAATATTGCATAAATGTGTATAATAATAAGATAAAAAAAGAAAATTTTCAACAAGTTTCATTTTTATATTTTTTTAATAGTTTGCAGCATTTCAGAACTCACATATCTTAGTTGGAGAACCTGTCTTATGGAAAACAGAAGAAATATACAATAAGGTAGTAGACGTATTCTGAAAAAGAACAATGTATTTCCTAGTTCTCTGAAATGATGAAATCTTTGCCTTTTTTCTCCATGCTTTGTTACCAACTTGCCATCACATCCTTTTGGATAAGAAGAATGCCTTATTTGACAAACTGACTGATTACAAAGTGACAACAACTGAAGCTAAAATGTTTCTGGGACACACAAAGTAAGAAATACGTTTTGTTTTTAGTCCACATATTAACAATAATGTTGCACAATGTGATGTCCCGCACACACACGCACATGTCCCGCACACACACCCGCACGCGCGCGCACACACACACACACACAATCTGCTGTATCCCTTAAAATATGTATCTACACATATTCTTGTTTGTTTGTTTGTTGAATGTATGTTACCTTGCAAAATCAAATAAAGCTTAAAAAAAAAGAAAAAAGGAAAAAATACAAATACAAAACAAAGTAAACAAGGAACACCTCCTGGAGCTTAATTGCTGTGATGGAAGTTAGCAGATGAGGTGCTAGCATTAGGGCCAGTTAGGTTATATTGAATTGTTTGTAAATATATTAGGGTTAGACGTGCCAAATAATAAGGCCTTGGTTATTTACAATTGTCATAATAGATACATTTGTTTTACCGCAGTCATTTCCTTTGGTTCTCACTGTATATTATTCATTATTCTTAGGGCCATGGCTGGATTCAAACTCAAACAACTGGAGTCTAAGCAGTGGCTAGGCAGACGTACTGTGGTCCTGAAGGTTCATTTTACGCTGTACAGTCCTGCTCCAAACCTCTTTACCAGTGTCACGCTCACCGTCAAACAGAGTGTCCTTGGGGTGTTACTGCCCTCAGCCCAAACCCAGTCTGTCCCAGTGGTTGCTACACTCTGCTATTGGTACTATGTTGTTTTGGCTTGCAAGGTATGTATGGGGTTTTAGGTTCTTGTTCCATTAACTTTTGGTTTTTAATTCATTTATATTCTATAGATCTCTAAAAATTTGCAATATTATGTTTGTGCCAGTTGCTCTTTCTGATCCTCTTGTTGCTGCGTCTGTGCCATCACATTTTGTCTCTTGGTGAGAAAGGGATGTTGAGATACAGCAAGATCCCGGGCAACTGGTTAGAAGTGAGTCGCATAATAATCCTGCCTTTTAATGTGTATAAAAAGCACTAAAAACACTACTGTACCACGTTTGCAGGTCGGTGTGTTTGTAGTCGCCGTTCTCTTCTATGTTTACGGCCTTTATCGAACTGCTCTGGTCAGCGAAGTGGCAGAGAAGCTGCGCAGACAAAACAGCGAGACACATATTGATTTGAGTGAATTGGCCACAACAGACCAGGTACGTATTACTGGGATACTTCTCCACACCAGTTGTTAGTCTCAATGGGAAATATATTTATATAACGCATTTCATACAAACTAAATAACAAACAATGTTCTCAACGGAGGACACAGCATATCAGACAAAATGTAAAGCCGGAGAACCTAACATTTTTCACAAACAATACATGCTGTTTGCCCCAACTGAAAGAGTAAAATGTTGATGTTTACAAATCAGATCACAATGCACTGTCTGCTACGTATTTGAAAACATGTTTTCTATTGAATAAGAGAGTGTTTTGAGACAAGTTGAGCTAAGAATTGAGGTGAATCTCTCTTTTTCTCTTTTCTGTCTGAAAAAGCCGATCTAAATGTGTGACAGAGGCCAAAAAATACAGGAATATGAAAACATTAGAGCAAGGAACGATTTAAATGGAGTTCCATTTTTGGGGTTTGAAAATGAGTTAGAGACACTAAAAAGAAAAGATGTCCGGACCAATTACTCTTTAGTTTGTTCTTGAACTCTCTTCAGTGTTGAACACATTTGATGTTGTTCCCCTGAGCATTGCATTTACAAGGAGCATAATGGGAGTAGGCAGCGTCTGCTAATACGCCAATGGTAACAGATATGTAATAAAGTCATCTTTATTTTTATAGCATATTTCACAGACCAAGGTTTCACTAAGCATTTTACAAGGTTTTTGGAATACCAATATTTGTCCATCCACTCCCCACACAGTGATAACAGATGTGAGACCGAATACACCGGCGCAGAGAAGCCTGCGACATCACCATCAGAACTGTTGTACACGTTGTTAGTGGTAGGGGAGACCTGGAGCACCAGGAGGAAACCTACGCAGACACAGTTAGAACATGCAAACTCCCCGTATTACACCTGTGTGTTGAGCTGGTGAATAACAATGGAGCATTCTGGGCATCGGGTTCAAATCATCTACCAGTCCTTTGCAGACTACATTATCTCTCTATGAAGGGCCTTGGATATAATATGTAACAAAAACATTTCCATGGAAACTAGAGAGTGGTGGGAGTGCTATTTGAAAGACAACCTTGATAAATAATCAGAATGCCTTTCCTCTACTTTAGACGATACGCAGCCTGAGTGCAACATTACTTTTCCTTCTCACTGTGAAGTGTGTGAGTTTGGTAAACAAAACAAGTCTCCTGACCCGGTCCATATGCAGCCCCAAGATTTTGGTAAATATCAAATATAACTTACATGTACATTAAAGGTTCTCATATCTTTGATCTTCATTTTTTTGGTCACAGATTTCAAGTCTAGTAATTTTGGCTGTGTTCTCGTCCTTGAGAAACCTCCAGACCAGTTACTTAACGACAAACAAAAAACTAAGCTCAAGCAAAAACACATTTTATCATGACATATTTTATCTTCTCACCCGACTGGTGTGTGCAGCTATTGTATGTATTTCAGTTAACTATTTCATATTCCCTTTTGGAAAATTAAAGGGTATATAAATTATAACATGTCTTTTTGTAATTTTAGGTTATAAATATTGCAGGCTCATCTGTCAAAAGTCTGTGCCGAGAAAAGAGTGTCATCACAACAGCAGACTTGGTCCAATACATAAAAAAGAAGCTATTCTCAAAAAATTCTCGATCAGCAAATATAGATCATTACACAGAAAGAAAGGTGAGAAAATCTATTCAAGTAGATATTTGATTCTGTTTTAGATTTTGAACTAACATCTGCATGTTTCAGAACTATTACCTTGAGCAGTTTGAAAGTGTATTAGACGAACTGTTGTTGAAGCTGGACGCCCTGTCTGACCAAACTGAAATTAATCTTATCTCAAGGCAGGATTCAGAAAAAATAGAGACACAGGTAAAAACAAAGCAATGAGGAAGAATTATTTATGAACACACAAAACAATATTGTCTTTTTGTTTAGGGTTTTCCGGAGTCTGAAATGACACAACCCTTCCTAGCATTTGATTCAAAAAGGTCTGTTGTTCAATCTCTTTATAGTCTGAATACTTAATGTTATAGACTACACACTGATTTCTATGATAGATCCATAGCTACACAAACCTGACCTTTGTTGAACTGCTTTTCATCCTCAGGTCTGGACCCGATGAGCTCAATTATCTCCCTCCAAAAACTAGAAAAAGAAACAACACCTCAGAAGGGATTGACCTGCCAAGTAACATACATCAAGTAGAAGTAATGTGTCATAATAGAGAGGTGGAGAAATCAAAGAAACAGGTGATGGCTGCATCGTTTCAGGACAAATCTTCAGAGGTGTTAGTGGAGGTGCTGGTGGAAGTACATGTACTCAGGAATGACAAATAAACTTGGTGAATTAAGCTGTTTTTTTCTCTTGAATTTTACTTTTCTGAATAGCTTAGTAGGAATATAGTCATAAACCATGCAAAGATGATATATATTTGATAAGGGCACATAATAAAGACTGTAACATTTTTGACAATATAATAGGAGCTTATAAATACAAGATAACTAATTGATAAGGATTACAGACAGGACACACAAAGGCCCAATGAAGTCCCACAACGTCTCACAGTCAGCACTGGAGTGGCGGGTTGTGATTGGCTGAGGGCTGTGGGTCAGGACCAATCACAATGTGGCAAGTCAGACAAGTTTCAGACGCAGGCGGCGCGAGGAGGAGGTCATTATTTTATATGAAAGTATTCAACCACTGCAGTATTGACCCGTGCTAACAGCAGTGATTTAATGAGAACCGTCATTTAGCGCGTTGTTCCAGTCACTTACAGAGAAGAGGTCGCTTTGAGCCATGAGGAAGTTCACACTGCTGCTGCTCCTGCTGCTCGGTCTGGCACACTTTGTTTCTGTCAGCAAGTGTGAGGAAGGTAAGCTGCTATTTACTGTGTCTGAGAAATCACAGATCAGGTTGATACAAGACTATAATCAGCAAGATAACCCCATGTTTTGTTTGTTAAATGCTACTAGCCGATAGATGTCGCTAACGTTGGCCAAGTGTCTGTATTAGTTATTAGCTAGCGAGCTAGCAGCCTGCACGAGAGCTAATGTCAACAATGAAGTTTCACTGTCTGTGTTCGCCTTTTCAAAAGGAAAACTCAACGCTTTATTTTTATTCCTCACGCTTCATGCAATGTAATTTTAATATGATGTTTGTTCCTAGTATAACCAGCAAAAGGAGTTTTGATGGTAAAAAGTAGTTCATTATTTCTTCAGATGATGCGGCAGCGTGGGAAACTGAGGAAGAGGACGATGAGACTGAAGATGATGAAGAGGATAATGACAATGGGGATGAAGACACCGAGGTGAAAGAGGAGAACGGAGTTATGGTCCTGGATGACACCAACTATGACTTCTTCGTAAAGGATAAAGATACAGTGTTGCTGGAGTTTTATGCCCCATGGTGAGTCATTTTGAAAATGTATCAAGTTCTGAGATATAAGTATTTGATTTGCATAATTTCCATGTGTTTGTCTTCATAGGTGTGGCCATTGTAAGCAGTTTGCCCCTGAGTATGAGAAAATTGCACAAACTTTGAAGGAGAATGATCCTCCCATTCCCGTGGCCAAAGTGGATGCCACGGTGGCCACTGTTTTGGCCGCCAGATTTGACGTGTCTGGCTATCCTACCATCAAGATCCTGAAGAAGGGAAGCCCTGTTGAGTACGATGGAGCCCGCACAGAGACTGGTATTGTGATCTTAATAATCTTGCGATCTACTTAAATGGCATTACACTCTGTACTAACAAAGCCCTTCTGTGTTGTAGCCATTGTTGAGCGTGTCAAAGAGGTCGCACAGCCAGGCTGGACACCTCCACCTGAGGCAACCCTTGTTCTGACCAAAGACAACTTTGACGACACTGTTAATAATGCAGACATCATCCTTGTGGAGTTTTATGCCCCGTGGTGAGTCGTTAGTCCTGATACACTCTTGGATTTGTACTATAGATAAACGGCTCTGAGAATATTACATTTTCTCCCAGGTGCGGACACTGTAAGCGCCTGGCTCCTGAGTATGAAAAGGCAGCTCAAGAACTGAGCAAACGCACTCCACCCATACCCCTCGCTAAAGTCGATGCCACTGTGGATGGTGAGCTGGCGTCTCGCTTTGGAGTTTCAGGATATCCTACACTTAAGATATTCAGAAAAGGCAAGGCTTTTGAGTACAACGGACCCAGAGAAAAATATGGTAGGTTGATTTCTGATTTAGGATTGTTTATATTGTTTAAGTTAAATCCTTTTTACATTTAAATTTCAAACGTTTCACTGCTTATTAGGTATTGTTGACTACATGAGTGAGCAGTCAGGGCCTCCGTCCAAGCAGGTGCAGGCTGTGAAACAGGTTCAGGAGCTGATTAAAGATGGTGATGACGCTGTGATTGTGGGCGTTTTTTCCAGCGAAGAAGACTCTGCATTTGACGTCTACAATGAGGCCTGTACGTTTCTGGTGGGCATCCAACCACAACTTTAAAATGTATATTTTAAGCCTTGAATGCTTCTGTTTAAGGTAATGCATTGAGGGAAGACTTCACTTTTAAACACACCTTTAGCTCGGAAGTGGCCAAAATGCTTAAAGCGTTACCTGGCCAGGTCGTCATTGTTCACCCTGAGAAATTTCGCTCAAAATATGAACCTGCCCAGCACACTTTAACAATGCAGGTACAATTCCACCTCTTGCTTTTCTTAAATTTTTCTACGTTTTTTTTAAACAACTCTTTTATAACCAACTATTGACAGGATTCAACATCAGTTTCTGAAGTGCAAGACTTCTTCAAGAAACACATTGTCCCTCTGGTGGGGCATAGGAAACCCAGCAATGATGCGAAGCGTTACACTAAAAGGCCACTGGTCGTTGTTTACTATGGAGTAGACTTCAGTTTTGACTACAGAAAGGGTAAGTGCACAAAAAACAAAACTGGTGCTTTTATACAGTATTCTCTAAATTTCATTATCTCTGTCATTATTAGCTACACAGTTCTGGAGGTCTAAAGTGCTGGAGGTGGCCAAGGACTTCCCAGAGTACACATTTGCAATTGCTGATGAGGAAGACTATGCTGATGAGCTGAAGAGTCTGGGTCTGAGTGATAGTGGAGAGGAGGTTAATGCTGCTATTTTGGGCGATGGAGGAAAGAAGTATTCAATGGAGCCAGAGGAGATGGACTCTGATGTGCTGAGTGACTTTGTCATGGCTTTCAAGAAGGGTGAGTGTTTAGTTTTAAGATAATACATAAACAAAAGCTTGTGTAGTATTCAAGTTTGTACATGGATATTTACTGCTGTAGAATTATTCTGCCATTTGAAAAACTTCCACTCTTGCTCAAAGAACTAGAAATCCAAGACACTACTGAAGAACCTCTAGGTGGCAGCAAACATGATGCAATGACACTAATCTAAATTTGTTTAATTTAATTATTCACTTGTTTTTAACAGGAAAGCTGAAGCCCATTGTGAAATCACAGCCAGTGCCAAAGAACAACAAAGGACCAGTGACAGTTGTGGTGGGGAAGACATTTGAAGAGATTGTTATGGACCCAAAGAAGGATGTCCTAATTGAATTTTATGCTCCGTGGTGTGGCCACTGCAAGAAGCTTGAGCCAGACTACCTGGCCCTGGGGAAGAAGTACAAAGGGGAAAAGAACCTGGTTATTGCCAAGATGGACAGCACAGCTAATGATGTGCCAAATGAAAACTACAAAGTCGAGGGTTTCCCGACGATATACTTTGCTCCGAGTAACAACAAGCAGAGTCCTGTGAAACTAGAAGGTGGAGACAGGACTGTGGATGGACTCAGCAAGTTCATAGAACAGCACAGCACTAAGTTGTTGAAAGATGAACTTTAAAAGTATCTATGAACTCTTGACTGTTCTGCAGTCACAAGGCCTGAAAAGGTTAAAGGAAAACAGGAGAGTTCTCGGTGTTACTGCGATGACCACTGTCATCATTAGTTTCTGTTCATTCCAAGAGATTCAGCTTTCCTTTGTTCATAAGGCATGTGTTCAAGTCTTTTTAATAAAATAGTGTGGCTGCCTCGAAAGCCTCCACTCATTTTCTTGTCTTGTTTTTCAGTTATTCAACTTTTATTTATCTTTGAATTAGTAAAACAGTTATGCATCGGCAAGCGCTACAGTCTACTGGATTCAGTTCATTGTTCGTGTTCTGATGTAAAATTGCACTTTAGAACAGCAGCTTAGCAATATTAAAAGTCTACAAAGACACCTGTATTAGATGCCTCAAATGTTCGATTAAAACAGTCTTTTCTTAAAAAGGAAACTGGTTGTCAAGAATACTTTGTTCAAAAGCACTGATTGTTGTGGCTTCAAAACTGCAGATGTGACTTTTAGACTCTGGATTACGAAAATTCCTTTGTGAACCGGAGATGATAATCCTTGATCTTCTGAAGCACAATCTTGAGTTTTTCAGCAGGAGGCAGAATGGTCATCCTGTGCACATGGGAGTCATTGTCAATTATTACTTTTATTGAGAAGCACAAAGTATTCACAGACCTGAAATGGTACGTTCCATCTCTTTGTCCAAAGCCGCTTCCCGGCACGAGGCAGATTCCCTCCTCCTCCAACAGCCTCATGCAGTAGTACATGTCCGGGACACAGCCCTCTTCCTATTGGACACAGACTTGGCATCAACATCTCTGCATTAAGAACATTTATTTTATTTTCTGACCTTGGCCTTGTCAATGGCCTTTTGGGGTAGTGAGACGCGGGGGAAGGTGTACATGGCGCCCTGGACTGGGTTACAGGTGATTCCTGGAATTGTGTTGAACATATCTTCTGTCATTCTTGCTTTCTCTGCCAGGGCTGCTAAGACCGCTGTCCGTTCCTGTAAAGGAAATAAATGTAGAGTGTTGAGCACATTCACAGACGTAAATGATGTTTAAAACAAGTCCAAAAAGGTCATTATTGACCTGAGGTCCTCTGTGATGTCAGTTATCAACACAAAGGCATGTGATACACTTTAGTTAAACCTGATATTGTACAACAGTGGTTTGTGCCAAATGTCTTGTTCATAGCAACAAGACAATTCTGACCTTTATGAAAGTGTTGTAAGAAGGTTCCTCAGGCCGTGGAGGGTTGACCACCATGTCCAGAAGAGCCTGGCCTGGGACCGGAGGACATAGTCGCACTGAGACTAGTTTTGTGAGCTGTGTTTTGACATCAGGGTCCATATTTAAAACCTCCATGTATCCGCCCCGAAACCCGCACCTGTTGAATTCAAAGGAGCATAATACCTACAGCTCTAAGAGAACAGGATTCCAGTTCTTCTTGTCCTTGAGACTTACTCGCCCATGTAGCATTTGGAGGTGGAATGAAACGAGGCCATCTCCACAGTACTCGAATATTCAGGTCCCATCTCAAATAATACTTTTTTAAAGGAGTGGAATTTGCATCCCTCTGCATACACATTGTCCTGGTAAACCTACAAAACACACACCATGAAAACAAACACAGAAGTTTAGGCAACCGTGACTAACTTTGTGGAAGCTGGATTGTATATCCCCCATTTTATTTCATTTTTATATGAATGAATTATCTCAGTCTTAACTCATGTAAAACTGGCTGCATGGCACTAATGCTGAACCATCTAATGTATGCAGATGATTGTGTCATTTTTAGTCCGAGCTCTGCTGGTCTGCAGCAACTTCTTAGTATATGTTCAGTGTTTGGGGAAAATCATGATGTAAAGTACAATGATTCCAAAAGTGCCATTATGATCTGCAGAACCACAGAGGACAGACATTTAATCTTTCCGGCTTTTCGACTAGCTGGAAAGGTTCTCAATATCTGTAGTGAAATTAAATATCTTGGCCATCTGATCGCAGATCGGCTGACAGATGATGAGGACATTATTCGGCAGTATTGTTTGTTGTATGTAAGGGCGAATGCTTTGGTGCATAAATTTGGTTGCTGCACTGTTGAAGTGAAGTTGACCTTATTTAAAGCTTACTGCTCTCCTTTATACTCTGCACATCTGTGGCTGAACTACAAAAAAGCTACTCTTCAGAAACTGCAGGTAGCGTTCAATGACGCTCTGAGGATGCTGTTAAAGAAGCCCAGATCGACTCATGCGAGGGAGTTGTTTGTGAGCAACAGAGTGAACACACTGAAGTTTGTCCTGAGAAATGCAATGTTTAGTTTTATTCGCCGATTGAACGAGTCTGAACCTGGTTGTTGTTGTTTTGGTGAATGTCAAGTTCAGTACAACACGCTGTATTTCTCAGTTCTGGGAACACTGGTACAAGTGTCTTTGTAAATGAGTCCTTAGACTTTGCTATTCTTTTTTTTTATGTTTCTGTTGTTTCTCTTGTATGGACCTTGAGTCCAGAATAAAGATTATTATTATTATTATATAAAAATCAAAACTATACTTTAGGACATTTTCCTAAGAATGTGGACTGTTAGACGAAAGGAGCAGTAGGATCGTGTAAGACAAGTCAGGTCAGGTTTGTGGAAATGTAAGCCTGCTCACAATGAGTTTGTAAACATTTTTCAGTGAAGTAAAAACACTCATAAGATTTTTTTTCAGAAGACTTTTTTTGACCGTACTGGGGCTTCAATGTGACGGGGATAATTCTCCTGTATCAATCTGTTATAAGCTCAAAATAAATTAATCAATGAGGAAAAAGGAAAAATAAAATGTTTCAGAAAATGTTTTTTTTGCTGGAGCAGAGGGAGAGATGTCTTTCCAGTGCTTGATAGTGCCTTACCTCATCGGCCATAAGGAAGAGCTTTTCCTCTTTGGCAAACCGGATCACCTCCTCAATGCACTCTCTGCTCTGCACTTGCCCTGTGACACACACATTACACTGGGTAACAAAAAAATATTTTTTTAAATAGTCCAGGGTTTTCCAGCTGAATTAGACTAATTTTGATGCTCTGAGTCCGAGAATGAGGATTTTTTGCTACAGAAATATATTTTTTAAATTGATTTTGCGTAAAAAAAACCAAATTTCTGACTTTTATTTCTCAAGAAATAAAAGTCAACGTATCCAAAGTCATTCAGTTTTTATTTACTCCATCAAATTTGATAAGCAGAATTCATAATAACGTAGACGTACATAATCCGTAACACTATGGCTGTATCTCAAAAAGTTGACCTGATAGAGCAAAATGCATGTGATATTCGGACTCAGAACACCAAAATTAGTCTAAATTAGTTGAGAAACACCTGACCATTTTTTGGCTGTCAGCTTGTGTTATCAGTGTCTTAAAGTGCGGACGACAGGTTGAACTACTCTAGAAAATGCCGTCAAGATTAAACTAAAATGATGCCAAGAATTGGGCAATTATTATTCCAGTTTGTTTACAATTCAACTCACAACCTGTTGACACTTTATTCTTAGCTTCTCTCAAGCAACATGGACGGACAAATTAGAACATGAAACGGCTTAAATAGAGAAAGAATCGTGTGTCAAATGTGATGTCACCGAACTTCTGTCTTAACTCCTAACAAGTTTCAACATATGGTAAAAATCAACTTTTTTTTAACACACTGCAGCTTGATAAATGTAACAAAAAGTACGTTAACAATAGGTATGGCTTCACAAAAACAGTTAAAACACTTTAAAGGGGCTGTACCAAATGTTCAAAGTGCAAAAAAGGAGAATTAGCAAAATAAAATTACTATTTGTAGCTCTCAAAATAGTTCAGAAAATCACTAGTTTCTGGCTTCCTCACATCTATGTATGAGCTTTTTCAGACAGAAAACTGAAGGAAGGACAACCACACACAGTACTTATGAGGCTATTAAATGACTGTAAAATAATAGCAATAAATAATCTGAGGAGACGAAGACAGCCCGACTACCCCACGAACCAAGTCTTTCTGTGGGGTACAAACATACCAGTGGGGTTCCCGGGGTTGATGATGCAGAGGACCCGTGGGTGACAGTGCTCCCTGGCCTCGGTCACGGCTCTCTTCAGCTCCTTCAAGTCCAGACTCCAGCATTTGTCCTCGTCCAGGTAGTAGTTGATCTGCACGGCGCCCAACTCTGCCAGAGCCGCGGAGTAGAGGGGATACTGGGGGATCGAGATCATCACCCCAGTGCGACTGTGACCCTCCCCACAAATCAACAACTTCAGGATGGTCTGTGAAGAGAAGAAGAGACCGAATCATTTATAAAGCAAAGTATTACAAAACAAGACGACAGCATATTTCACTCCGTCACACCCAGTAAGTAAATACTTCAACAGCTTTTATTATCGTCAGGTCTGGTACAAACCAAACAGATTCAGATCTGGTTCTCTTCAAGTGTTTGTCGTTCGCACTTACCATATCTAGACAATTGTTATATTTAGTGACATTTTCAAATTTTTGTCCCAATTATGATTACTAATTTACTTACTATTAGTACCTGGATAGATATAGAAACACATTTTTACGTTCGTGGGAGACATTCAAAAGCCACTTTGCATATTGAGTAAATAAGAAAAAAATGTGGTTATGACACATTACCAACGAAGTAACATTGGTTTGTCTTTCGGGGAAATTTGAACCAATAATCAGACATACAAGTGGGTGTTGGTGTTTAATCAAAGCAAACATGCAAGTTTATAAAATAAGTGGTCCAAGTCAATAGATATATTGGGCTTGTTTATGGTGTTATATTTGTGTATCTTTTTGTCGACCACAATCTTGTTTTTAATCCACCAGATGCAGAGAACCAGCCCTACCAGCCCATATCTATACAGACTGTGATTCATAATGACATTTGGATCCTAAACGCCCTCCTAAAAGAATAGACCCAAAAAGGTCAATCACAACTTTTACATAAGTTGATTGTTGTGTGTTCAACTCTGTAGCATGAGCTGAAGCAAGAGATACAGTAATTATGTCACAAAATATATAGATGGACTTAAAACACCAAAATTCCTGGTTCAGCCTCAGCGTGACATAGTAGCAAAGTTTTAAGCAGGCTGAAACATTGTTGAGGCCGATATTAACAATATAATATTAACTTAACATGAATAAAGAATGGATTAAATATTGAACAAAAGAGGAACGTATTTGTGACCATAACCACTCTTTACACAACCTTTGAAATGTCATGTTAATTACAATTCCTCTTTTATGTTTGTATTTATTCTACATTAGACTATTCTCTACATCCATTCTACACTTTAATACAACATTTACAATTGATTTTATTTCAAGTGTTGTGAATTTTTTTATAGAGATAATTACAGGTTAATCTAATTACAGGTTAATCTAATTGATTTAAATGGAAATGACAAAAACATTCAAAGTTGCATCAGCCATGGGGACATCAGTGTTTGCCCCAACATGTTTTACCATGTTGGAAATGGTAAAACATGGAAATGGTATTCTAGGAAGGTGAGCTGTACGTGCATCCGATCTACGGCCGCACCAGAAGCATTTACATAGAAAGGTTGTAAATGCTCAGAATGACAGGATTGGGGCGGATGAAAAAATATAAACTATAAATTGTGCGGAAATGAGATTACTTGTGTTGTAAAAAAATGATGTGTCACCCCTGATAAACAAACGTATCTGTCTACTATCCAAGTAAAAGAGGGGGAGGCAAAGCTGGGGTGGTCTCCAGGACTCGTACCACGATGGCGTCGCTGGCCCCTGTGGACAGGTAGATGTTGTCCGGGTTAGAGGGGATTCCTCCGTCTCTCTTCTCGATGTAACGGGACACATCCTGACGTATGCACTCGATGCCGGGGCTGGCACTGTACGCTCCTGCCACACACAGTGTACTTTGAGTCAGACAACAAAGAAATGTGTTCAAGCTCATTAATTATTAGTCACTGCACCAACAGCGAGGGATGGGCAGTGACCAGAGCCCAGTTGGTGGGATCAGGGGGCGTTGTCTGACCTAGGCTTTGGCCTCCACATGCACCGAGGATCCGCCTCGCTCGCTCTTTGGCATCTTCTGGGAATTTGTTGTCTTCTAGAAGAGGTGGGTACGCACACAGAGCTAGGACCTGGGAGAGGAAAGGAAGCAGCATTTTTAGGCATTTGTATTGCATTAATGCGAAAGTATAGTGAGTAAGTAGTCATATTTGTGCTGACACACTGGATGAAGTTTAAGTATTGCCCAACTTTAACTGTAATTACAAACTAGCCATGTGATACATTATGAAGCAGAAATAAAAATTAAACATAAAACACTAAAACATTTGACCATTTTAAGCTTTGTGTTAAAACATACAAAAAGTTCTACAAATGTGGATTATCTGAAGTAGGATCATTGGTCGGTCATATTAGGGATAAGAACATCTGTGTCTAGAGGTAAATACACATTTTATTCACATCGCATTCACAAGGTTGAGAAAACAAACATACTTGTCTTAGAAATGTTATCGGTTTCTGACCCATGGCGTGAGCATCTCCAATGTTGGCCCTGATGACTTCTGTGAAAGGCTTCTTGACACCCTACACAAAAAACACACGAAAAAACAAAATTTGAACTTTGACAAAACCACACAAATGTCCTTTCACGTGCTATTGGGTGCATTTTACCCATTTAGCTCCATCTTTCAAACGACATAACAGCTTAATTACACAATGTCAGATAATATAAAGCAGATCCTGGAGCATTCTGGTCACACACACGTCGTTTGTACCCTCACTCATTAGAGCCTTTGATGAAGCGCTGTGATGAGGCCCAGGGCAGGGCAGAGGACAGAGGGGCTGGGTGGAAGGCAGGTCCCACCTCCAGCTGGTATGAGAATTACGTAACAGGCTTTCATGTTCTGGATCAACCCTTTCTTCACAGGATTTTGAAGTGGTCTTTGTAGCTACTTGTAATAAGAATAGGTATGTTTTAAACAGACTCCAAAATTTTAGACTGAAGCGCCCACTGTGAAATGAATATACAAAAATTCTACACATGAATCATTCTTAGGACTTAGCATCACATTCATTGAGTAATAGATTTTTGAGCTTTTTAAGCCACTACTCCTTGACCCATTTCTTACCACATAAATCATATAGAAGTAAAAACGAATGTGTATATAGAAAACAACTTTAACACTACAACTTATAAAACTGCTTTTTCTCTGTATTGTTTGCTTCATCGAGTTTGCATAGAGCAATTTGAGAGGATTTGGGAGTAATTAGGGGCTGTTTTCTTCGTTTGCTTTTCGTTCTTGGCTCCTGCCTGGTTATCATACAACAAAGAGGCTGCTGTTTGGCGAAAGAGGGCAGTTTCAGATGGTTCTGCTCCGGCTTCAGACAGACAGCGGCAGGCACAGACTCTCCCTTAAAATTTACTCTTACAACGAAAAAAATATAAAAAATACATCACACAATGTTCTTTTGGGCGTCCAGTAGCATGCTGTGTCAAGTTCCCAACTATAAATGCAGAATTAGTCACCTTTTGGAGTGGCTAAAAATTGGACTTTGAAATGCGCTGGTTTAACATTTTGTAAAAGAAACATCAACATTATACTGTTAATGAATTACAAATATCTAAAAGTTAATTCTTTCTCATTGCAAATACTATCCATGCAAGCTCATAGGAGATCAACCAGGTTTTTGCTAGAATTATTGTTATATACAGAGTTGTCACTAAAGTAAAGAATTTAAGTCAGTCCAATTATTATACTTCTGCTCAATCCATATTTTTCCACACTTAGAATATGCAAACGGAAAACTATAAAAAAGAACAGTTTCAGTTTTGTTGGACCATAAAAGCAATGACAATCCATTCGAGCTGAGGTTTGGACTCATGTTACTTCTGGCTCAGATCAGACCACTGCATAGTTAAGACCTAAATACACCCACGAGACAAAACAATATGAAAAATGTGTGGCTTGAGCATTGAAATCACATGTAGTGGACTTTGTTGTGATGACCCCAGTCGGACAAATAAGTGGAAAAGAAGATCTTGGCGCCGTTAAAATGCTCTGGCTCTAATGTGCTGAGTGCTGCGGATAAGAGACAGGAAGTGGAGGCCAGATGACTGAAACACTGCAGCTTAATGCATCAGAGCTGACAAGACCACATTTGAAAAGATCAATACAACAAACCTATAGCTTTTCATACAAGCTGATATTTTGTTTTGTGGAAAAAAATTGCATCTTTAATGAAAGTGGTTAGAGCAGGGTTTTGTAAGCAAGGAGTGGCTTAAGTTCAGCAGATCAGTTCAATAAAACAGACAAAACAGACATGCTGGAGACACTGCTTGTGCAATAAAAGGACAAATACACACGCAATACCATTCCTGTGTGCCAAGTCCGGTCCAGGACAGATCCTTCTCACACTAGACTGATTACAACGGCAGCCCCTGGACATTACTACGCAATCCATTCTGACCTGCTCTTCCCCCGCCAAGAAATACCATTCAAACTGCTTTAAGGTCAATCTACTGCGGGCTGTTACTTTCACACTTTCTCAGTACATTTGAGGAGTAGAACTGAAGGAAAATATTGCACAAAAATATCAACTGTTTTAATTCAATGCAATGTAGCAGTAAAGTAAGAACACATGCAATCAATTAGGAGGCTTAAGGACTTTGTAAATCCCCCTGGGGTCTTTGGAATAGTTGTACAGCTTAAGAAGGGGAGAGTACAAAGGCTCATGGTGATTTATTGGGTCACAGATTTTAAACCGTGTGAATGAGTTATTTAGTGCAAAACTAGCTTAGTATAGATTATTATTCATTGTTGTACCATTCTAGTGATACATTAAAAGCTGGGGTTGTAAAAGTGAAATGTGAGACAAACCAATTATTTTGCAAACACGTAAGAGCGAGTCCTGCGCGTCACCGTTTAACTTTTGTGCCGACAGCTGATTGGCTGATAGAGAGCGATCCTCTTTTTCACTTTTGTCTGACATAACTCATCAAAAAATACATGCATGTGAAAACTTGTGATAGAAGTAAACTGTTTTAGAGTGAGGAACTAGTTAGGCATCAAGTTTTTGCGGTTGGAAAGTCAGGTACCGCAGCTTTAATGTAGGCTTATGTTTCCACAGCAATGGTCAGCTGATGGCGCGCCCCACTCACTGATGTGATGTCTACAACTTTTACATTCTTTGGACCAAGAAAAGTCAATCAAAGTCATTGTTAATCTGTCACAAAAGGTTTTGCTCCCATGCAGCATTCCTGTAGGGCGTAAAAAGCTGCTCCAAGTCTCTTTACGCACAACCACACTTTAAAAGCACACATCTATATGAGCGTCTACCTCTCGGAGCTCCTTCTCCAGCTGCACGGCTCTCTGCACGATCGGTCCGCGCACTGCGTACTCCACTTTCTTCACGTGTGGGTTCATGGTTTCCAGAGTCAACACTTTCCCCTTGGGCAAGACCCCGTTCACCGCGTGCTGCTGGGACATCTCGGCGTCTTCTTTTCGACCGCTGCAGAGAGGAGAAGAGTCTATCTGCAAACAGAGAGATAACTCAGAGCGCGTGGATACAAGTTTTTACGCACGCACGCACACGGTAAAGTCCACTTACGCGCGGGGAGCTGCAGTTTCGACTGTTGTCCCCGTCCACAGCTGCTCTCACTTGATATTTTACTTGTTCATATTCTCGCCAGTGCCACGCCTTCAGGCACTTTCTAAACTGGATTGGTTGAACTTTAGGGAGTCGGGTTTTTTTTACGCAACAGGGGAAGTGCACGAGGTGCTTTGGGGCGAGCGTCCTCACAGTCACAGCACGACGCAGAAGGATGAGTGACTTTACACAAGGGGGAGTCCAAGAGGGATTTAATGTCTCTTTACGCGTAATACAGTCCTCCAGATGTTACTTGTTACCGCTTCCAGGGGCTATTTCACTGCACTGAAATGTGTATCGGTGGTAAGTCAAGGAAAACGAATGGCATATGGATTGTATCAGACCTTGTCCACAGTACATTTATGCGCGCGTCCGGCTGCGATGCAAATAGCGGTCTTCGCCTACAATAGTGCGCAACATCCCTTTAAAAACATCAAATTAGTAGTGACAGGGTGTAACTTCCACGAAGCCCCATCAGTGTTTGTGGAAAGCGTTATTTGCATATCTTTTGTTTGGTCTGCTTGCACGAGCGTTTAGAAAGGACAGAGTGCGTGTTTGGAAATCACCCCAGATGTCTCAGGACTTTGGAAAGACATTTGATATCCCGAACTAAAAGGGACCAGAGTGGAGCATGTGACAGCCCCCTACATGAGGTAACGCACAGCAGTCAGGAGACACTTTGTCCCATTAGACCAATTCCTTGTAAACAATTTCTGACCACGCGTCTGTGGCCGCACAACAATATGGTGGGTTTTGGTTCAAAATACGAGTTCTCCATTTAGCAGGGGCTGTCCACAAGTGTTCATAAAGGTCTTCTATTTTTAACAGGCGGCAGTAACACAGACATTTACGTGGCAGGGCTACCAAGGATTTGGGAAGTGGCCATCAGGGTGAGCCATGTTTTAGTCACTGTATCTGCATTGCACTTTACTCCAGTTGTAATGTAACGAGAGGCCATTGTACATTGGTTTCTAGTATCTGTGCTGTCTGATGTTGTGTTTGGTGAATGCATGACATGCAAGCACACCGTTCTTCTGGAACAGTATTCTTTAACCTGGGTTGAGTGCAGTATGACATGTGGCTTCAGCACAGAGAAAGTGTGCTCAGCTAAACGTCATGTTTTCAGATCAAGAACAAACATCAAGGCTGCATAAGTCTGCAGTTGCACAGTTACGCCACAAGAGGGAGACATTTCAAGTCAAGTGAACGAGACGAGTTTACTCAGAAAACAACATTTTATCTTAAATAAATCTCTTCATCTGGACACAGTAAAAATATGAAATGCATCAAGAGTTTACAGAGTGAATCCCACTGCTCCTGGGACAGTGCAAGAATCGCAAACCAGTGAACGGGAAAAGGCACTAACCTTTGAAAAACGTTGCTGAACGGTTACAAAGCCCATGTTGCTTTATTTAGTTATCTATCTTACGGCATCTTATGGCCCTCTTATATTTGACATTATGATGTAACAGCTGCAAAAATAGAAATATTTAAGTGTAGATATCTGTTCATGGTAAGATCCATCATTTGTAAACAGTTCATCGCTTGATTTGCCAACACAGTGTTGCAAACATGAATTGCATTTTGGATCATTTCATAAACACAATTTACAGTTGAACATTATCGGTCATCACAGACAGACAAAAATCATATTTCTATTTTAAATATATAAATAAGACACTGATTGTGAAAATAAATATTTAGAAATGTGTGTATTACTGATTCAAAAGGGAATGTTTTTCATTTATTAAATACAGGTGCATCGCTAAAGCTTGGAAAGAATACTTATGTTTCAACAGTGTTTTTCTTAACCGTCATATAAATGACAAGAATAAAGATCTTTATATCAGATAGAGTTGTACATAATGTTGCGTGATTCAAATAAACTGTTTTAAACAAGCATTGAGCATTATCTTTGGCCATTAATCACTTTACTTGATTTTATGATGTATGGTGAAATAATATCTCAATGAGTAGAATAATAACATATACAGTGATCCAATCCCTGTACTACCACCAGAGGGAGGAGTTGAATAAATGTTTTTTCCAAATCTGAATATTTAAAATGGCTGTAAGAGCTTTATTTCACCTGAGAAATTGCCAAAAGTAATTTACAGGAAATAATTTCTCTGAGTGTGATGTCAGCGTGGTACATTGACATGGTAGATGGATCTAAGAACAACTACGTCTGTTTTTGATGAGGGAATAATGTTGAAACGTGGTTAACAGAGCAGATTTTCAAAATATCTCTCCTTCGATGTGGACTTGAAATGCACCTGTAGAGCATCAGTGATCCCATGTCGCTGTCCACTCATTTGCCACTTTGATCAGACGTCATCAGTCTACATGAGTCCACAACACGGCTCCTTGTTTTTCGCCTGCTCCACTTCTTCTGGGGCGCGCAGTTTCAGCAGCGGAGGGTCTCCACTGGCGGGAGTAAAGTACACTTGACTTGAGGGTGCTACCTGCTCGCCCGTGGGTTCTGGGGGCTCTTCTTGGGCCTGCGGAGTGGAGGCCTCCCCCGGTTGCTCTTCTTCCAGCGCGGGGGGCAGAGGGGGCTGCGGGGCCGGGTACTTGGCGAGCTTGGCGGCCGCTCTTTGGCGTTTCAGGTCGGCTAACGTGTGGTGGGAGCGCTCTCGGCTGATATTGTCCGTCCCGTCGCCGTCCGCAGACGCCGCCTCGGGGGCCGCGCTGAGCTGGTAGGAGGCACTGCGGTCCATGAGGCCTCCTCCGGTCCACAGCTCCCCGGGGACCGACGAGGACAAAGACACAGACGTCTCGCCGTTCTCCTGCCCGGGCATGATCTTGCGGTCTGCAGCCTCCAGCTCCTCCAATCGTGAGGTGGCTCCGCTGGCCATCTGCACAAAGACAAGAAATTATGTGCTGCCATTATAGACGCTTTTAGATCCTTTCTTATTTGGTAAAGGACTTTGAATTGACCTAAATATGCCTTAAACTGGATTTTCAAATTACTACAAAACATGGAGAACACATGTAAAATATACCATAATATTGTATAACCCTATATTTATACTTATAATAGATGTATAGATGTAATGGCTCAAAATTCAGGATCATGCGTTAAATTCTAAATACTTTGGCGAGCTACTGAAAGCGGCTGGCAAGATCCCTGTGGAGACCCCTGTGTTAAGAGGATTTTGAAAGAAACGAGATTATTGTGTCCCCAGATAGACGACAATCATGCGACTCTCAGATTCACCTCCAGCTAAACCCGGGGTGTCAAACCGGTTCCAGAAAGGCCCGCTGTGGCTGCATGTTTTAGCACCAGCCTGAGGAGGAGCACGCCAGGTGAGGAAATGGCTGGAGTGTGGTGTGCTTTGACACTACAGTTCCACATCCACAGCCGCTCAGAGAAGTTTGTACCATGGCTTGTAGATGCAGCTCGTTGTCAGTTTGTCGATCTTCGTCGTCGTCTTGAGGCTCGAGCTGTCGGCCGCGCTCCTGCCACACCACGGCCTCTTTGTGGTGCTCCCGTCTGTACAGGCTGGAGCGCTCGTTCACACTCACGCGCCGCACCACCTTCCTGCAGCAACGGGTAAAGAGTGAGCACAAATCCACCAGTTACAGCCTTCACCAAGTTAAAGTTGTTTTCCTTGTAAATAATAATAATAAATCTGTTTTATATTAGAGATTTTTTTGGACCCAAAGACGCTTTAAACGTCATTCTTTTTCTCCATTCAGAAGCAAAGCAAACAGTATCAGCCAACAGCCCCTCCGACCACCACCAACCATTCGCACACACACCAGACTCATTCTGGAAAATTTTGCACTTTACAGCCGCCCCACGGTGTCATCTGGTGGTCCCATAGGTCTCCCATCACAATAATAATCAAGCCCTGCCCTGCTTAGCTTCAGAGGTCTGAGCGGATCTGGCTTTCACATACAGGTATGGGCTGTTCGTAAAAATATTTCTCCTAAATGTCCCAATTCCGCTGTTTAATCTAATTTCAGGGTGCTGAGACAATGACCTGTCATTCTTAATTGTGCAAATATTTATTGTATGTTTTTAACAGCATATAACAGGGAATTATACAAATGTTTTGAGGGTTGTATTGTAAATGCCTCTTCGCCAGGACAGTCTTTGAAAGATCTCTGAATGTCATTGACTTTCCTGGTTGAATAAAACAAAATATGGAACTGAATACGGAAGTGCACAAACTTTTATAACATCATTAGTATTTAGATCTTTTAGAATTTTAAAAGTACAAGATACAATATAATGAGTCACGAGTGGTAGAATAATGCAGGTTGGGATAATAGGACCAAAGTGAATTAAATATCACTCTACATGCTTGCTACAATGAAATTACGCAGTGAAGGCTGATTAAAGACCTTATGACGGGTTTTTAAAAAAAAAAATAGTGGATATAAAAATTGCATGACAATATCAATTTGAAAGAGATTCCCGCAAAAAAAATCCTATATTTTATAAAAAGAACGTGTTTTTCATGAATTTAAGTTGTCTATGCTCTAACCTGTGTGTGACGTCATAGCGGGTTACGCCCATGCATTGAAAACCATGGATCTATGCCACAGGACTGTCTTTTCTCTCTTCTCTCCACTGATGCCCAACACAATACTGCCCTCTACAGGTGACAATTGCTCACTACACATAAATTGCCGTTTTGAGTGTGAAAAAGTGTCCGAGGTGGGATTTGAACCCCAGTATCTGGATTGGCAGTCCATCGACACAACCACTGGACTATCTCAGTGACAACGAAATGTGACATTCTAGTATTTATCAAGCACTCGCTGTACACGGCCTTGTCATCTTGAATATCCGCGAAAAAAGAACGAATACCAAATTGTAAACAACTTACAGCGTTGAAACGTACCCGTTCTGACGTCACCAAGGGCTGTGAAGTTTTTTCGTCTCTAAGGGCGTTGCTATGGGGTTATTTCGATTTGGGGGGATCAGACAAAAAAAACAACAACTGATTTTGAAACCTTTAGTAGTTCTCTTCTAATATAAAATGGTATTTAAACTGTATTTCTAAATAAATAAAACCCGTCATAAGGTCTTTAAGTTTTGAACAGATAACAACTCACCTAAAATCACGTGTTCAAGAGATTTAGTGCTTTATTATCAATGATTAAATGGCAACCACAACATAATGACACACAAATCCTGTGACTGCATTTCAGGCTCACCCTCGGCTGCCGGTGCTGGAGGCTCTCCGCTGCAGAGTGCCCTTCTGTCGGTCCTGGCTCTTCATAATGGCATCGTGTTGGTGTTTGAGCTCCATGAGTTTGGCTCGGACCTCCTCGTCCATACACACGTCTGCAACAAAGCATACGTCAGATTCAACATGGGCTACACGTTTGTACAAACCATGACACTGGAGATAAATATATAGTATTATGAAAGTTATTGTGGTTTTTATAGTCTATTGAAAATAACATTATGAATGATACAAATCTAGATAAGGACTTGCACAAGGAAGGTACCAAAGAAAGACTCTCACCCAAAGACGTTTCATCCAGCGCAGACTTGGCGTTCAAATCAGCCCCGTGAGCAACGAGCAGCTCCACCATTTGGATCTGAAAACCCAGTGCATTATCACAGTGTCCGTGTAAAAGTGGCTGTTATAATTGTTGTGCAGTACCCACTTGTCCCCAGCAGGAGGCAGCGTGCAGCGGGGTCCATCCATCAGAGTCCTTTGCTTCAATCTGAGCCTTTTTCTCCAGCAGCAGCTCAGCCACAGACACATAACCGTTGGCAGATGCGATGTGAAGCTACAGAGATCAGAGGCAGATCGCATTTTTCAGTTTCGAACTATCGACATGAGAGATTACAAACAGGTACCATAAACAAACTATGCAAATGTTTAAGGTCACAACTACTGACATTATAATCCAATCGCTCGATTTAGAGTAATATCTTTCCACATTCCTGCCCTCATTTTGACCCACTGATTTTATGTTTTGGGTCATACATTAGGTGGAACTTTAGTTTGAGTAAAATGCAACAAAACAGGGAATTAATATTGGTCTAGATTTCTATAGAAGAAACCATGGAACATGGAAACGCTGAGAAAAGAGAGGCCTGATCCACTGGAGACGTCATACTTCTTGTTATTTCATGTATACGTAATTTGAAGGACCAGAGTGATGATCTTGTATTGATCTTTCAAATGCCTCACACTGGCCCTGAACACAGACGGTCACAAAATATTACCAATGTTGTTCCGTTTTCATCCTGAGCGTTTAAATCTGCTCCATTTTGAACGGAGGCTTTAAGATCGGCCAACATGCTCTTCTCTTTAGCTCCTCTGCACTCGTCGATGCGGTCCTGAGTTACACCTGCAAGACACAACGGCATTCACAATACAAACAAGTTTTATTTATTTTGAGCAAGATAAACACAGTAGTACAACAGCGGTAAACAACTATGAGAAGGGTTAGGGTCGAAACAATCTTGATACATATATTACAATATTGAAACAACGTAAATCATAATTTTAACCTTACATAAACTTACACATGCTGAGAAGAGGTTTGACGACTCATAATTCTAAAATGACTGCAAAATGAAAATGTAAAAGTATTTTTAATCAAACAACCCAATGTGTAATAAGTGAGGCTGGTTTTGGTGAAATGTTTAAGAAAATCCCATGTTCCCAGTCCTTTCAGGGACCACACAACTAATCGAAAGAATAAATGGGTCAACTAATCTTTAATTAACATAATCCTTGATTACAGTCCTACTGGCAATAAACACGACAGAGCTATAATGAGTTCAGAGTCCACAAAAAAAAAAAAAAGCTGAAAGTCAACTGCTCATCAAGAATACACAATAACTTAATTTCCAGACAAAAAACATACTCGTCCTGCAGTTGTGTGGAGCTTGAATGGGGGAAAAAAAAGGAAACAAATAGGTCCCATTTTTCCTACATGTTTTGACCAACACATACGGAAATGCTGGCAATCATTTTTATGAAGAGATTTTTAAACAGATATATTTATATATATAAAGTATGGCACAGAAGGAAACACTGTAGATGAAAGGTTCAAATATTGTTCATAGACTGTACTAACCCTGCTCCGCCATAGCCACCTCCAGCAGCTCCAGAGTGGCCTCGTCTTCACACAAGTCATAAGGCATGTTCCCATCTGCATTCACGGCCAAAAGTTCTGCTCCACTGAAAAAACACAAAACACTGAGTAACTAAATCCATCATTGCAGCATTAAAATATCTACAACAAATATTCCATCTAATACTGAACCCAAGACAGCAGAGATTAGGACTGTGATTTTTAATAGTTGTCTCTTGCTCTCAGATAAATCTTAGTAGGCATTAATAGTTAAGAATGTTTTATGTATTGGATCTTCAGCCTAAAATAAAATCATTTAAAAGTCTAAAGTTTTCCAGACCTCTGCTAAACAGTGATGATTATTGTGACCAAAAGAATGTCACATAAATATATATCATGAAATATGCAACACAAACCAATAAAAGCAGTGAAAAGGCCTGAACTCACGCCTGAATGAGGATCTGCACCAGCCCCGTGTGGCCACAGGTGGCAGCAGCGTGCAGCGGCGTCCACAGCTCACTGTCACAGGCGTTTACACAGGCGCCGGCGTCCAGGAGGCAGCGCACGATCTCCACAAAGTCATCGATGCAGCACTGGGACACAACACAGGCAATTACGCTCGGAGAAAGCAGCAGAAATTAAGTGTTTAGTATTTTTCGCACCATGAGATGATCATTGTTACTGTTTAAATGCTATGATCTAATATCAGTGTGGCTGCCTGTTGTTGACCTCAGTGATCGGTCGAGTGAGTCAGAAGCCTTTTTAAAACTGTCATGGGTCAAATGCAGAGGAAAAAGTTTCCTGCAGGAATAGATACAATTTAGTGTCCATTTATTTATTTACAGTTATGCATATGGCCCATTTACAAGAAAACAGCACCGCTAAGAATCTCGACTTTGCAATAAACTAAACAAATGAGATTAATCAGATAATTAAAATCAATTACCATAAAATAACGAAGAGAATACCATAAACTGCCATAAAAATCATAATTAGGAAATAAAAGAAAGCACTTAAATTACTGGATATACTAAATAAGTTGATTAATCAAAATGAAATGTAATTTTTGATCATTGAAAAGTAACAGTATGGAGAGGCTGAGATCCAGAACTGGCTCCTGATTGGAATCTGTATGAAAATCTAGAATCCAAATGAGAAGTCAGAAGTGACTTTTGGATCTCGGACCGACTGCCCGTCTGCCACTACTCACCTTTAAGACAAATAAAGGGCAGTTTATCAAAATGTCCAAACTAAATGTGAAGCACGTCTTCCGTTTTGGAGGACTTACACGTGGTCCACGGACCTCATCTTGAGAATCACATAACACACAGAAGAGCCCCACCTGGTGTAAAGCCGTCAGTCCATCTTCATTGTACAGATCTGGGCTCACACCTTTATTGAGCAGCTCCCTTACTATGAAATAAAAATATTATTATCAAAAACTGATTTACATTTGGGCTCTGCATTGTTCTGCGTGTACAATGGGCCTGCAATTCTCTTTCATGATAAGCCTTGATCCAGCGGACAAAAAGCTATTGAAAACCAGGAGCCGAGCCTATTACAGTTATCATGTGACCTATTCAGAGTAAATTGTCCATGAATTACTCCTTTTGAAAGCGCTCCACATAGACCAGGAGGTTTCACAGTCCATTTTACAGGTTTATAAGCTCTGAATGTTGTACAATATCCACAAGTAATGAAAGTGTGAAGACCATACTTTTACGTTAGCTTAAGACAATGAAGCAAACTTAAACACAATACTTTAGATAAATGATATGGAGGACAGGGCTACGGTGGAATTTCATTAAATGTATCCATGAAAACACAAGTCAAACTCAATCACTACATATTTTCTCATTTGTGTTGCTCATAACATGAATAAAAATAATTTGTTGATCACAAAATGATTATAAATATAAACTCAGGAATTCTATAGATGATGTTTCGTACAATTAATATTTGGATTATTATTTGTGTGTATATTTTCATTGCAAAATAATGTGAGATGTATTGTTAAAACCATGACATATTTAGTGTTTACTTCCAATAAAGATTTACTTAACTCTTGTGAATGGTTACTTTGTCTTTTTTGATCAACCACTTGTTTATTGTAAGGTTTTCTTATTTACTAATGGAACATTGCAGGAAGTACTTCAAGATGTTGTGAATTTGTGAATACAAAAGCAAACAGATTTGATGGCCGATGACACGTACCTTCCTGCACATCGTTTCGTGCAGCTGCATCCAGCAGCGTCACTGCACTGGGAAAAGTCACTCTGATGGTCCGTGTTTTTTTCTTATCGGCTTTGGCCCTGGAGCCTCTGACCGCGTCCTTCTCCATCTGGGCCCAGGCCTTGAGCTGCTGCGCACGCCGCTTCTGTGCATGTTTGAGGCGCTCTGTGGCACTGAGCCGGCCGATCGTGGCCATCTCTGCCACCAGCTCCGTGTGATCCGTTGCCATGGCCACCACAGAAAGAATTTAATAACAATTTAAGATATCCAGTGCAGTTTTATTACTAGTACAAATGGACTGTGTTCGTCCTTAGAAGATCACTGGTTTGAAATTGTGTAATTTCCAAAATGTCTCAAATGGATCATGTGATGTACTTTGCATGTCCCATTTTTAAGGATTCATCTTTGCCTCAGAGAAATATTTGGGGGAGGTCTTGACTTGCACCACAGACACTGTGGTTTGAAGCAGTGCACCAGTCCTGCCGTCCATTTCAAAACATGGGTCAAGAGGCCACAGTCCACAGAGAGGCAGCATAGGTTTGATTATCCACAGCTGCGAGGGCCCATCTCCGCCTTCACGCTGCGCTCACATGCTCCAGAGAAAACACTCTCTGATTGGAACACACGCTGGTGGCAATGATGGGGACATGTTTTTGTAAATACTTGATAAATCCAGTGGACGTAAAGTATAGAGAGAGAAAATGGACAGGTGTTTTTACATTATTGTTCAGATAACACATTGGAAGACTCCAGCTCGACTGTGATCTGTAAATGCCCTCGTTTGGAGCTCCATCATCTGTGTCCGTCTGTAAGCAGAATGGGAGAGGGACAAATGTAAATTCAAAGTGCAAAGTCACTGCATAATGCACACACACGATGCTCTGCTCCGGTTATCTTTAACCTTATGTGTTCCTACCCCCGGCTCCCTCCGCTCACTCCTCCTCCAGGGAAATCCGAGACGCACCCAAGCTTTCCATTAATGATTGACGCACTGTAGCGCGCACACACACGGAAGGAGCATGCAGACAAAAATGCACTAAAGTACGATTGTCGACATACGTAGTGGATATTATCTCGTTTTCTGAAGTCTGCCGCGTTGTTCTTTTTACCTTCCGTAGCTTCCCAGGTGAATTCGGAGGCTCACACCCGACTCTTTCCAAGGTGCTCATTTATAATTTACGGCGAGTGCACAGAGGAAGGTCAACTAGAGGCACTCACCAAAATAGCAAGTGGATGACAAGAGTGGAGCCCCGATCACAGAAGCATTACTGCATTAAAACGCCACCAACTACTGCCAACGTGTAGATTGGAAAATAAAAGACAGATTTCACTATAGGTTCACGCTAAAGACTTCTATTTTTAGAACACATGACCTTTCCAGCTGATGAATGCAACAATGTCAGGATTTCCTTAGACTTTAGACTAATAGGCTCTTGGGCAAATAGGAATATTGTTTCAGTGTAATGAGCCATTAGTCAAAACGTTAATGGGGAAGCATGTTTATGTTTTAGATCCAAAAAATATTGCCTCATCACAAATCGATTTACACACACGTTCAAACACTAAAGCGAGCTGCTATCACTTCAATGATGGAAACACATTTGAGACTTATTACACCAACTTTATAAGTCAAGTGCAATATATAAGGAAATAAATTAAAGTTTATAAAAATTAAAAGGGGAAAGACAGATTTGGACATCATATGTGTATGTATAATATATATACACACATACATACACACACAATGAATGCAGACAAACGTGTTCCAAACTTGTAACGTCGTCAGTGGCCACAGAGACAACAGTGACCAGGGCCACACTCTGTGCCAAAGCCAATTAGTGAATGTCTCAGGGCAACAGACACGATGGTGTTTACTCCACACTGTAAACAGATAAAAGGGCTGCACAACAAATCCACAATCTGCAGATCATTCATAAGAGTTAAAGAAGCTCCTCTGATTTAAATCCTTGGTTTATGGATGAGATGTGACTCAGCAATAAATATAAGTTATTCAAACATTCAAGGATATGATGCACTGTATTGTAAAGCATGGACTTGTTTAGGTGTTTTCCTGATGCAAACGTCATTTCCTTGTGAGATCTGTGCAGAGTCCACACAGATCTGTCCCGACTGCAGTAAAGAAGATACAGAAAATACATTTCACTTGTTTAAAATAAGTGCAGTAAAGTTTATGCATTTGTAAAAGTCACATGCCCTGGGGGTGTAGACTTCCTGCAGGTTCACTTCTTCATGAATACTCCACTATGACCTCACCGTTTGGAGTTTACTTATGCATTCATAGGGGAGGGAGGGGCCTCAATCCAAACAGAGCTGCATTGACTAAACATTTGAGAAAATTATCTCCTCTGCAACATTTCAGTTTGTTGTGTTCACAATTTCACAGACTCTAAAACAAACGCAAACACATTTTTAAAATAAAATACAGGAGTGTATTACGCTACAAAAAATTTCATTTTTCAAAATTTTCATTAACATTTTTATATTATAACATTATTGACTCTGTATTTCTATTTCTATTTGTTTGACATATATTTCTCTGTATTTCCGTCTTATTCTTAAATATAATGTATAGATTATTCTACCAACAATAACCAATTAAATTGCTTTTACATCATAAACTGCTTTGTTTATGTATAATTTTGAGTGAAGATTTACATAAATACTAAAATCAGATTGTTTTTTTCAACAAAAGTCTGTGTCAAACCATTAAATTAGTTTTGTGCACTTGAATTGCAAATGACGTTGATGAATCGTGTCATTCCTAGAGCACAGCAACAATAGAACTATTGGAGTTGGGGTTTATGTAATAAGTTATACAGTATTGAGTGAATGTTCATCACGGAGCCGGTGGACCGAGCTGAAAACTGCTCTGAAAATAGTCAGTATTGCTTTTTGAGCTTCGACTCGTTGGTTATCAGCTCAAATGGTCAAAGCAAAGACAACTTCAAATAACTTTCATTATAGTTACGACAGTTCAGCCTCGTGACACTGCTGTGGTCAGAGCGACTCTGAATGTGGAGCTGCTGCCAGTGATTTGCCTGAAAACGATGCAAATACTGGACCAGAAACAGAGGCGTTTTTAAACGAGGAGGGTGGTGCTCATAAGTTGTGTCATGTGGGAGACTGTGAGCTGCTTGATAATTACGCAGATATCCCAGACGTTCACACTGGCAGCAATAAAAAGAGGAAAGGGGAAGTGGAAAGGTTTATTTCTAAAACGTGTTCCAACCACAGGAGTATTATGGGTTATGTGTCCAAGGGTCAAGAAATCAGAAACAGGAAAGCACAGGTTTGTAGGACAAATACATCAAGAATTCCACAAGAAATCCAATAGAAGATGAACTCTCTTTCATCAAAATGTACAAATAAGGTAAAAAACATGTTCAAGAGCTGAGCAGGAGAACTGTGTGTTTGGCCCTGGACACCTTCATGCTGAATTTCACACATGTTGCAATTTTTTACACTCCAAGGAAACAAACTACATTTAGGCCAGGCAACGAGGTAAAACGTTCTTGAGAAGACAAAAGAAACTACCACAAAAAACCTTACAAGGTGGGGTTTTAAGCACACTTAAGAGCAGTTTAGTGCCAGCAGGCCAATGGAAGATTATCATGTGAATATCACCTCTGGATGGTAGTTGAAACTAAACTACTTTTGAAACTTTCTCTTCAATGGATTATTCCTGAACACGAGGGATTATTACACTCATTTTTAATCCTACAAGTAGTGTTTATCAAACATTAGTAGCGATAAGATACTAAAAACACCCACTTACAAAAGAGATTTTTATTAAACTCCCAGGACCAGATGGCAACATGTGTAAAGGACTCCAGAGTAGGGAGAGTTTAGTGGGATCATCATTGAGCATTGTTTGGATTGAAATTGTGGTAGGTTTTTAATGTTATTTTTTCAGTGGGGGCGACAGCGGCTCAGTTGGTAGAGCACTGGCCTTAGAGCCCGAAGGTCATGGGTTCGAGTCGAGTCCACCACTTAACCCCACTTTGCCTGAAGCCCTCGCTGAATAATCAAGGCTCCTGTGGACTCACCACCTGCAGGAGGATCAGTGAGGGGCTGGTGCTCTGTGTAGCGGGTGCAGCTCTGACTGCCACCCCCGACCCAGAAATGGATTAAGGGGAAGATAATGGATGGAGGTTTTTAATGTGACAGCACCCTACGATTCAAATTATCCAGTCATTTATTAAGTCTACTAAGTATACGAATACTGTCACAAAATATAATACAATAAAAGGCTATTTATTATTTCATCATAGAACATAGTTGAAAACAATACAAGCCAAATTCAGCACAATTATGATGGATTACACCAATTATATTTCAACATCGTCATAGGGCTAATCCCAAAGACACGGGATTATGTTCGTAAATATATAATCTCCCACGATAACTATACAAACTAAAGACATTGGCCAGGCGAAAGACAACTAGGACTGTAAACGAGGGAATAGAGCAGATAAGACTTGCACTTTGACAGCCCAATAGAAGTCAATATTCATGAATAATCTAGTTTATAACGATATCCCTGTTCACTGAGGCTTGGTCCATCATGTCCTTGCAGCAGCAGCAGGTAACAGGTGAAACAGTGTTCACGACCCATCCACTTTTTATCATATTATCAACATTAATAACTCAAAAAGTAGCGTAAGAAGTTGTAAAAAGTACTTTTGGCGCTGGCATCGCTGCACACCTGCAGTTAGCACCGTGCCCAGGTTAGCTTCTCCTTCCTTCAGGCTCAGACACTTACACAAACCGAACAGTCATTCATAAAGATACACTTTTTCTTTTGCGCACGGTTTGAGAATATACTTTCACATATGATCCGTTTACAATGATTACGTCGCCTTGAGAAGTTCTTACCTCTTTATTTCAGCGTGTTTTCCCTCAAGTCAACGCGAATGATCCGCTGTCCCAGAGCTGCGTGCGCACGGGCTCCAGGAGAGCGCGCTTTCACACAGCGGCCACAAGAGGGCGCCAATCTGCAGAAACGAGAGGCGCGTTTTGCACTCAAAATACACATTAAAAGACTTTCAGTAAAATAATATAATAGAAACAAAGTAATAAATACAAATCTAATAATATATCATGTATATTGGCGGATTAGGTCAGGTTAATGAAAGCAGATAAATTAGCTAGCAATAAAACTGGGGATACATTTAGTATGATTGTTTTATGTTCCTGATGGCGAAAAGGAATCCCTAAAATCTATTTGTGTATGAATTGATGTATGTTTGCATCATGTACAGTATGTAAATACTGTAAATGACAATGATTGAGTCCTGTTTATAAGCTTGAAATAAATAAGTTCATGAAACTAGAAAAAAAAAACATGGACTGCTATATATAAATATAAATACATGTTTGTGAATGTGCATAACAATCTTCTTTTTTTTAAAGGTTTTTATATTGTTTTTAATTAGTTTTTTTTAAACTTATATTTATAGTTTTATACTCATATAGTGCTGGAGCTAACTTGTTTTTTATTTTTGTGTGTGACCTTGTTATTTAAAAGTGTGAAATAAATAAAGTGGCTTTGATTGGATACACAAATCAAAAATGTTTTTACTTTTTTATACAAGAAATTAATATGAGACAGACAAAGATGGAGCCCTGAAACTTCATGGTATAATGAATAGAAGTACTTAAACAAAAAAATATGTAAGAAAAATGTAGGGAGTCATGTCTTGTCAAGAAAGGGAACTTTAAAGGTCCTAAATGTAACTGTACACCATGATGTCAGTATATTTCCATCCAAGAAACAGCTGAAATGTGGACTCCTTTTGTTAGAGACCAGACCAAATGTATTATTTTATGTCTTAAACCGTTTTTATTGAATCAATGCGAGGTTACAAAATACATAGATGTGATTTAGGTCCCATTGTTTGAGACACTTCACAAGTGCAAACATGTAGATGATCCATTTGTGTCATTACGTTTTTGAGTGACTCAGTGACTGAACCGGTCTTTGATGTTTAATCCAGAACGCTCCTCACAGTTTTGTGGACCAGTGGATTAATATCCAAAAACAGACTTGCTCAGATGAGCCCAGGGATCAGCGGCCCCCTGCTGAGACAAGCACACAAGCCTTCAGCAAACAGGATCACAGAAAGACAAGATAACAACATGATTTATACTTTCCCCCTGTGTAATTATTACGACACCAGTCTGTAAGGGTGGAATATCTCTGTCCAAGTGCACATTATTTATTACTGACAGACTCTTCATTCAGTGAAGGCTTCAAACTGACACTGCATTCTTTTCCCTTATTTATTCAGACGTCTGTCATGTTTAACTCAATATCCCTAATTGAATACATAGATGTAAAAGAATACAAAATAAAAACGCTTTGTCAATAAGGCCTTTATGAAGTTTTAAAGTGTATAGTCTCTGTGTGTGGGTGAAGCGCAGCAGCTTAGAGAGGATTTGTCCACACACAATGTGAACAGTCTTGTTGTGGATCGTATCTTATTCATGTGGCCTATTCTTCTCATGGAGCCTCCTAATCCAGGAAAAAACCTATTAGCAGCTCTTCAGCAGGAAGAGATGGATTGACATTTCATATTCAAATGAACTCTGTCGTATGTTTGAAACATGTGTAGGGTTTCCATATAGACATAGGCCTACATTTAGAATGTTGTCCCTAACTCAGCCAATCAGCTCTCAGTTTAAACCTTCTGCTATAGGGTCAAAATAACCTGCCACAGATGAATAAAAGTAGAAGAAAAATATAATATCCTAAATACATTTGAAAAAAATGATTTAGGGTATTTTTTCAATCACTGCGGTGGGCCAATTTGTCTTGAGGATAGCACATGGGTTGTCAAACAGTGACTCAGACACTTTCTTGCGAATATTTGAAATACATAGCATGTGATTTCAATGTTACTCTTACATTATTTATTTATCAATAAAACACTAATTTAAAACCAGTTTTAAATGCATCTAAATTGTATATTTGTTATACTTTTCTCCTTGTATGAAGAAGCTTCTTGGTGTTTGTTGGAGCAGAAACCACTAGAGGGAGCCAATGAGCGGCTTCGTCCACAGAGAAAGCTGCTGCGGCGCAAATTGAAGCAGGTGTGTTTGTTCACGAACAGTGCAATGCTACCATACACATAGAGTCAATAGAAGCAAACGAAATAGAAATGTATTTTATGGTAAAGTATGACATGGGCTTTGGTCTAGTTGATCAATCAGAGCAGTTTCTTTCAAATTCTGTTCTTGGTTTGAGTGAAATGCTTGTTCTCGTGGTCGTTTGGGCCATGGAGGATTACACAAATGTTTCTAGATCTCGGGCTTTGAAAGATCTTTAATCTTGTATGTTGATGCTTTGATTCAAAGTGAATATAGTTTTATTGAAACCTTGTTCACGTGTTCCTCTGTGTAGAAGCCTGATGAGGTGTGAATGTTTTAAGTGGCTGAACTCACACCAGTCCTGCTGAATGGCCTTGTACATTTCCTCACATGCAAATTAGGACTGTTGGAAAGGAACATGCTCCAGCCAACGGGGATTCTCCTAATCCAACTTGTTTTCACTGTCTTGCTGAGAAGCAAGACTCTGCACATTAGCACTACATTAAATGAGACAAAAGAGACGGATTCCGAAACTTGGGGCTTTGTAGCGCGCAGTCTCAGTGCCCGCTGTGTGCGCTCACTCTCGGTGTGAAGCGAAAGAACTTTATTCCATATGCACTTTTTTGAGCCCCGCCCCTTTCTCGGAAAGCTTTGAGGGTTAACAAAAAAAATCCTGTTAATTGTTTTGTTTATTGCGTGGCAGTAATTGTTGATTACATTCTGTCGATATCACAGCGGAGGTTTAACTAATGTCACATTTTCATTATACAATATGTATTAAAAAAAAAAAAAAAAATGACACTCCTTGTGTGACAAGTGTAATATCCCCGGTATTTTAAGGCAAGACAAGAGAACAAGTATTGATCCTACAGCGTGACAACCTAGATTCTAGACCTAACCCAACATAGAGTTGTCACATATTCATAAAATAATTCTTCTACTTTTATACTATTTACACGTTCTTTTACTGAAGTATGAATAGAATAACTGAAGTAGGCTGCAAACTCGGTAGTTTATTGTCAAGCACAAAGTTAACTTACATGTAAATGTAATTTCAGTGCGTAAATCTCCAATAGTTGTGCATTGTGTGTTCCATAATAATTTGTATTTACAAGTGTATTGTTTTCCCCTCCCCAACCCCCCCGCGGTGATCACTCTTTCTGCTCCTGATAACGCGTCATTCTCCCCTCGATTACGCAGCGGGATTTACATGAAACTGTTAATTGTTTGCTGTTCAAATAGAGTCAGCCTGGAGCCACCAGTGTCCAGAAGTGAAGGACCGGCTCCGCAGCGCCGGCCCCCTCCACTGTCCTGCGCTGATCAACATGACAAAGCACTGGTCCGAGCACTGCCTCTTGGCACAACCTCTGTCCCACCTGGGAGACCACTGCGAGCCTCACCTTGACATCCACAGAAATGCACATCACAGCGGAGTAGCACGGAGCTGTCCTACCCCGCACTGGTCTGCGCCTCTCCTGGTCCCCGCGGGTCCCACTCCGCTGCAGGAGGCTCCATCTCGGCCCAAGCACCTGAGCTTAACTCCCATGGAGAACAGTGCGCCCCGGGAGTCAGCCTACCTCACCCCGGAGGATGGAGGCTTTAAGCCGGACACAATCGAGGCGGACGCGTGGAGCAACGATCAGGAGAATAAATCTAAACCGGCTGGAAAAAAGAAGAACTACCAAAGATACCCCAAACCCCCGTATTCTTATCTGGCGATGATTGCAATGGTCATTCAGAGGTCTCCAGAGAAGAAACTGACGCTGTCCGAGGTGGGCGACAAACGCTATACTTTAGTTTTATACACAGAGTGGTTATATATGTTACAAGTACTTTTACTGCTTTGTGTGAAGGAATGTCAGAGCTTATTTGTATAAAGTGGTCCTGTGCTGTGTACAGTTCCTCTGACACTAAACAGCCACATCGCTCTGACACTTGCATGCCATCATTATCAGCTTTGTTTTGATAACGATTATCTGTGGTAAAACCAGCCACTGATCCCAATCAGTGCTGATAAGTAATTACCTTCAATTATTATTTTATGCCCCTTTTAATGTATCCGGCACATTAATGCAACCCGTTTGATTTCATGACATATGTTGCGATTTCAATGTCACTATATTCTATTACCTCCCAGAACGATTTGGCTTTATCTCAGTTTTACATGCCTGTATTTTTGGCCCCTATCATGTTTTTTCAGTGAAAAGTGGACCACCTTCAAATCATGTCTCAGTATTTAAATGATATGGGGCTTTCTAGAAAGACAAAGATGGCTTGTTGTGTTGAGACAAAGAAAATAAATTTATGAATCAAACAAAAAGTTAGGTATTTTTCTTATTATTTATTTTTATTTTAATGTAGCCTAATGTTTAAGTACATGGTATTGTTTTCCCCTCTTAGATCTTAAAGGAGATCAGCACTCTCTTCCCATTCTTCAAAGGAAATTATAAAGGCTGGAGGGATTCTGTGCGACACAACTTGTCTTCATATGACTGCTTTGTCAAGGTTTGTACGATTATCTTTATGCAAAGAAATTATTTTAAATTTAGTTTATTATAGAGCTTCTTTCTAATGTTAATTATTAATTTATTATAGGTTCTGAAGGACCCCAATAAGCCTCAGGGTAAAGGAAACTTTTGGGCCGTGGAGTTGAGCCGGATTCCTCTGGAGCTGCTGAAGCGGCAGAACACAGCGGTCTCTCGACAGGATGAGACCATCTTTGCACAGGACCTGGCCCCATACATCCTCCAAGGCCACAAGATGGAGGCCGAGGCGCCAGCTCCAGAGCAGGTCACCTCTCTGCCCCCCATGCACCCAAGAACACTGACCCCACCTCAGGATGACCTCTTCCGGCCTAAACTGGACTCGTCCTTTGCCATAGATTCTCTTCTGCACAGCTTCCGTCCGTCCAGTGGCACAGGAGAGGTACAAGTGCCCAAAGACTGTTGGAGTGAGGTGGAGCGGCCCAGGGGCTCCCCTCCTCGCCCCCGTTATGCCTCCTCCACCCGCAGTGCGTCTGCCAGCTCCGCCAGCCCGGCCTCCACCTCCTCTGAAGAGGAGTGGAGAGGGGTCACTCTCTCTGGGAAACGTGCTCCTGATGAAGCAGAGTCCGACAGCTATGAGGACTACAAACCAGCGAACAAATCGGCCCGAAGAGAGACTGTGCCGGCCCCATGGGAGCTACCCACGTCCTACGCCAAATACACCCCTCCAAACGCTGTTGCCCCGCCTAGTATGCGTTTTAATGGAAGTCCACTGATGCCTCTTCATGGTGGACTTCCTCTTTACGGTTATGGCAGCTCTCCTGTTGCACCGGGACACTTCCTGGGCCACACATACTGGCCCATACTGCCCAGTGGACGGGTGTCTGTTCAAGCCCCTCCACTTATTATGGACCTGGACAATATGCTGCAGTCAGTGCCACCAAATAAAAGTGTGTTTGATGTTCTCGTGCCAACTAACCAGAACTCCCATCATCACCAACCTCCCACTCACTACACCTTGCAAAGTGGACCATCACTAAACCGATACCCACAGTATTAAGTATTACAGTTGTTAAAGCAGCTTTAAACTGACCTCTGAATGTATATGAAGGACAGCAGCACAAGTATGTTTTAACACAAAGATGCCTTCAGTGTTTTGCTGATATTTAAGAGTCTGCTCTGCACTGTTTGATGTTTGCCGTTTGTCACTGTATTGTTGGTCCTATGGATGTCAGCTGACTGGCACAATGTGCAGTTATTATTTATTTTTCTGTCAAATGTTGCCAAAATATCAAGTATACTACCTCACCTTTCATAAAGGATTTAGTCCTGCTGTGCTATTTGCACTATTTTTGACGTCTATGGATACCATAGCTTCAGCAGGTGAATGTAATGTTTTTGACTACTTCTTTATGTTGTTGAGCTCGTCTTCAGGTGTTTGTAATACGATTTTACGCAATATGAAATAAATGCTGTTTATTTTTAATATGTGTCAAATCTTCAGGTCTTCTATATTAAATACTACAAAGTAATGCAGGTGTCAATTGAGATCCCTGTTGTGAACCATGGACTAGATACTAGACAAAGATATTAATTTGACAAGTATGGGTCAGTGTTTTCTAAAGCTTATGCCAGTTCTAATTTAGAATCTAAAACATTGTACATAAACAGAGGGGACTACTCAATACTTTAGGATGCAAGAATTTTGGGTGGCAAAATAAACCTGAAAACAAGTCCTTCATTCCGTGCCTTTGTAATGAATGCACACACCCATCTGATTTACATGGACTATCTGCAGCCGTCAGCCTCCTGCTGCTTTCATGCATATCTCTCTATCAGCGCTCACGCATGCCTGCTCGGCCACTCCGGCCTTCCTCTGATCGCCCACAACTGTTCGGAGGAGGGGGCCGCATTAAGCAGCACTTCCCCCAAACAGGCGAAAGTCTCCAAGAACAAACTGATGAATCTTCATGTTGACCGACTGACAAGTCCGTTTTTCTTTGTGTAGATTCGTGTGCAACAAGATGCACAGAGACAATACAATGAGCCGAGTCGTCTTCCACCTAGAGCTGGGGTACCAAACTTTCAAAACCACAAAAAATAACTAAATCCTTATTTATTTGGTTCTTGTCATGTGATGCAAAGGATAACATGACTGCATGTTGTGGTCCAATTTTACAAGACTCTTTCTGTTGGGTCCAACAACAAATTAATAATTTAGGAGATAAAAGTAAGGTACCCCGGCTTTAAATAGGGGTGTCCAAACTTCTCCAAGATGAGGGTGAAAACGTGCTTATAAAGTCTGCACTGATAGAACTAAACTATTTGCATTTTCTTAAATTTGCCCTTCAGAGCATATTTTGCGCATCACTGCACTAAAAAAACAAAAATTACTATTGTACATTATTTATGACTATTTGTCTCTTTTGTTGTAAAGCATTGAGTACCAAAAAGCACCAAGTTGATAATTATTTGTTTATTATTACTTATTTAGAGGATTACAGCTGATAATTAGTGGTTGTTTGACTTAACCCTCTAAAATATTAGCAAACATGTAAATTGCACTGTTAAGAGTATATTTATTACAAAGTAGAATCTTGAAACTATGAAACGCCGTTCTTTCTTCACATTGTGTGGGTTTGTGATGATGAGACCTGATCTACTGCTGCCCTCTTCCCCGGTCACACTCCCTCCTGGGCCATCCTGTATTCAAACACGCTGCCTCTCTCTGGGAATGTTTCATTCAAGCGTCGCCGCTTCGTTTGAGGATTTCCGTTTGTTTCCTCCGCTCTTCCATAGCCCCCTCCTCCAGGTGTGTACAGGCAAAACATGTCCTGAAAACAAACCAGAGTGTGAATAGTGACAACTTCTGCCGTAGGAAACGATTCATTAAAGATGAAATCATAACATACCCCTGGTTCAAGAGTGACACTAGTCTTGCCTCCCAGGTTGAGCAGTCGGCCATCTTGTCTCTGAAGAAGGTTTAGTCCTGCAGCTCCATCCTCGCCACCTAAATTATCATTTTACACTATCAGTATTCCTTCAATAACCACAGAGTTTATGGTGTTTGTTTTTAAATCTTCGTTCACAGCCTCAATTCTTTTCCTAATTGTTTTTTGTATTAATGTTTTGGTCTATTCTGCACACTGGGTATTTTTGCACCAATATGTGTTTTTTAACTGCAATATGGCTGAATCTGAAGTTAAAATCCTTTTGATGCTAAAACATAATGTACTGCATTCTATAGACATTTATAGTTTTTCCAAGCGCAACAAAAATCAATTAAAAAAAAACAGTTGATTATCACTTGGACAAATTAAATGATATGAGCACTTTTTTATCATTAAAAAGATCATAAAATGTTCCCCTGAGTTAGCGTGACGATCCAACTGGCCACTGAAATATGTGAAAAGTTCTTATAAACTAAATTAAATGACTATTTAGGAAAGTATTCAAATATTAAAACAGCTACAAATTGACATAAAATGAATCAAAACCAGCAGATAACACTGGGTACAGGTCCTTATTTACCCTCGAGTCCATAGGGGCGGAAGCAGCGTCTTTCCGTCAGCACCGACAGAACCACCTTGTCTCTGAACAGAAGTTTCCGGACAACGCCATCGCCGCCCAAGTATTTCCCTCCTCCCCCTGAGTTCGCACGTAGGGAAAACTGCTCCAAAATCACTGGATACCTGGATAACGGGTAGTCAAAACAGAACATTTAAATGACTTAGCCGTGAGTTGAATGTGGTGGAAGTGTCACCTCTTTTCCAGTATTTCCGGGTCAGTGATGCGGGTATTGGTCATGTGACTGTGGACGCCGCTCCGCCCGTTCCAGCCCGGTCCTGCTCCTGCTCCTCCAGCCACGGTCTCATAGTATCCAACCTTCTCACTGCCAAACGAGATGTTATTCATACAACCCTGCAATAAAAATAAATAAATAAAAGGTGTTATTATCATGACAGTAAAGTAATTAATTAAAAATATAGATTCCCTGGCTCAATTTTGGTCAAGTTAAACTGAAACTGGCTGTATGTAGTATCCACAAGTATTGGTCTAATAAAAGACATTATAATTATAATTCTAACTTTTGATGCCAGAATCTTATTGCCGGAGATACATTGATTATACATGTTTTTGTATTTGCTTTCATACAAAACAAATTTGTGGTGCTATTTTTTTGTTTGTGAATGTTGTTATTATATTAAAAAAGCAGCAACCTTTCCCCCAAAATGAGACACATTCAGCCCTTTCTTTTTATTCCTCTATAAACCACAAAATTCACGTAAAATACTGATTGTCAAAATACTGTTGGTTGCAGTGACCATGGCTTCTTTATGTTTTACAATTAAATGGCTTATGCTAAATAATAAGTGATTTATACTAAGTTTCAATGAATCAAGCACTATTTTTGTCTCTGTTCTTACCTGTGACGCAGCACAAACTTCAAACGCTTTAAAAATGACATCGACGACTCTTTGGGACGTGAGCACATTTCCACCGACGACAGCGGCGTTCTTTGACGGCTGCAGGATGGAGCCTGGAGGGATGATGACTTTGATGGGGGCCAGACATCCCTGGACACAAGGAGAACAACTTAACAACATAAGAGTCTAACAACATAAGAGTCTAACATCTACAACTTGTCATAAAAGTTTGTTCTCAAAACTTGACCTGGTTCAGTGGGATGTCCTGTCCCACCATGCAGCGCAGGCAGTAGATTAGCGCCGAGAGGGTAATGGCCCGCGGCGCATTGCAGTTTCCCCAAACTTCGGTCCCTGTCCCAGTGAAGTCAAACACAGCACTGCCCTGGAGGAAAGAACATATAATATAAAGTTATAATAATGAATTAACTACCATCCTTTGAATTAAAATTGTTTGATGCTATTTTTTACAACAGAATAGTCAGAATAGTTCGTAGTTAGCCAATTTAAGATCAATTTTACAGAATAGACTAAAATAAGCTTTGATTACCAAGAGCAGTGAATAAAACATTTCATTCAGGCCAATTTTTTTATAACCAGTAAATTGGCATCACAGTAAGCAAGTTATTTACATAAAATGAAAATCAGATTGACTGAAAATTAAATCCCAAAGAATAAGTCAAGTATTCAACTTGAACATGCAGTGGAAATTGTAATGATCTTCCTACCATCGAATCTACCAAATTTCAGATCAATCCGTCAAGCTGACAAACAAGACAGACAAACACACACGATTACAATACCCCGCCGCCTTCTGTTGGCGGGGTACAAATTGGTTAGACAAAGAAAATCATTTCCCTATTGATTGATTCAGAGAATAAAGAGAATAAAAATAACAGCAGTAATTTGAAGAAATATTAACATCAGTCTTTGTATTTTTGAACTTTCTTCCAAATCCAGTGATATTGGCAAATATAGTTACCACATACCTCTTCTTCATTAATTTGGACTCGTAGTCTGATTGACGAGCCGTCATCCATGAAATCCTCAGACTCCACTTCCAGAGAACCGGTCTGCTCCCGTCTGCGACGTGCAAAGTCTCTGAGCATGTCTCTGACGGCCAGCTCAGCATTACTCTGAACCAACAGAAAAAGTCCCTTCAGTATTTTATAAGTTTATGTCATTGTCAGTGAGTGAATCTATTCATTAGTGGAAGAAAAATCTGATCAAAGTCAAAATGATAATACGTATGAACTAGTGGTCTTAGTTTTGATCACTCCTACACCAACTTATCATTCACTCTTTATTTGACGATACAATATATTTTACTGCTCAATATTTGTCATTTGTAAAAAGTGATTTCACGAGTAGGAAGTCTTTGCCATTTCCTTTTTCATTGGGAAAATATTGTTGCTGTACATGGTTAAATACTGTATGTCTTCAAAAACTAAAAATTAGGGATGTAAAAATATTTAGTTAATTGATAATCAAAATTATTCAGGTTACAATATAACATTTACAAAACGGAACCATAGTCATCCAAAGATGTTCTTATACTTGCCAATAGATCCAGTGTATATTTTTTCATGATTTTCTCTAAGAGTGAAATTGCTTTCTTGTTTTATGCTTATATTTTACCTTCAAACAAGCAAATACGTATTTGAATGAATTGTTTTATTTTTGGAAACTTATTATTTTTTCACAAAGGTCGAGCTGCAAAAACTTTGCCATCACTGTAATTAAAAAGACGGGTTTGAAAGTAAGACATGAGTTCTTCTACAATTTTGTAGCATGTTCAAGTTAGACAAAAAAAAGTCAAGAATGTTCTTTTTCTCACAATAACCGTAACCATAATCACCTGAATGTATCCCATGTACGCTTGCACAACGGCCAAACCGTAGCAGTCGATCAACTCTCCGACCAGCTGGCTCCCTCTCCGATTGGCTGCCACCTGAGCGCGCAGATCCGACAGGTTGTCATGGAGATTACGAGTCCCGGAGCATCCTGGGTACTGCGCTGGGGCCATGAGCGCCTCAGTTACCGCTAAAGCCAAAAGAAAAGCTGCATTAGATTGTGCACTAATATACTGTAGCAAAGATGTTAGCTGTGTTCTTTTCACCTTCCTCTTGAAAGATCCCAGCAGTCACCAGTTTAAAAGAGGTGAAAACAGCGCCCTCTTGCTGCAGTGATGTGGAGTGTGGCGGCATCGACCCTGGAGTAATCCCTCCTATGTCAGCGTGGTGCCCTCTACTGGCCACAAAGAAAACAGGCGCACTAATGCCCTTTCTGAACACCTGTATAGATGTATAGACAAGTGTTATAGAATAAATCATTATTCATACAGACAGACATTAGTGATCTACTGACTGGGGTGATGACGGTGAGATCCGGGAGGTGGCTGCCCCCTGCACTCGGGTGGTTACTCAGAATAACATCGCCTTCTTTTATGTTACTACCCAGGGCTTTGATCTGTGGGAAAAACATGTGATTTCACCATACGAAAAGACAAAACACCATATTTGAAATTTCCAGTGATATATTTTTCCCTTTTCTGTCTGAATAAGCTGATCTAAGCGAAGAGGAAAAACATACAAGTGATAGAACAAAAATAGTTTTAGACTATTACACAGTTACATTTGTTGTCCTTTGAAAATTAGGTTATGATTAAAAATAGGGAAAAAGATGAAATCCAAGTGTTAAAGCACCGGTGCCTCCACAAAAAAGGTGAACAGATACATCCTTTCAGTAAGTGGTCCTGTTATAAGTGAATTATAGAACTTTAGAACTATAACTTTTTACACACTACGGTGGGATAAGATAAGAAGATAAGAATTCCTTTATTCGTCCCACAGTGGGGAAATTTCGATGTTGATTATAAATACGCACTTGATACTGGACAGTCTCCTGCATGGCCCCCAGGTGGACAGGAATGTGGGGAGCGTTGGACACCAAGCCTCCGTCGGGCCCAAACACGGCACAGGAGAAGTCCAGGCGCTCTTTGATGTTAGTGGAGATGGACGTTCTTTGGAGCACCCTGCCCATTTGTTCTTTGGGAAAATAATCAAACACAGCTGTTATTTTGGATTTCTTTGATGCTGCGTAGGAGGTATCCTTCTACCTGCGATGCTCATGAAGCGATGAGAGAAGATGGAGAGTTGTACGCTGTTCAACTCAGTGCCAAGCTGACAGTGGGGGTCTGAGCCAACGTCAATGCACACGTCGCCCCCTTCTGTCAGCTTGGCCACACTGCAGGGCTCCACCAGGATAGTGCTGATAAATAGAACAGCAGAGTTATCAAGGTTACCCAACTTTCAGACCACCAATCCATTTAATTTCTGCCCCCATGGATCAAGTCCTGCACACCTGCTGTTGTGATAAAGGGCAATTCAAATATACATTAAAATTTGTATTTTATTAACTAAAATAAATAGCATTAATAAGCATAAAATCTATAAAACTAGTTATTTGCTCTAAGACAGTTCGGTTCTGGTAGTTTTCACGTGCATGTATTGAATCTGGCCTATGACTGCTGTCATATCTTTGAATCAGCTTTTCAGACAGAAAGAGTGGACTACTCTATTTCAAAGCGTCAGATAGTGACTCAAAGGGGTTCTTTCTTACAAGTATGTATGTAAAAAATAACATATTTTATAATAAAAGGAGACTCATGTTGTGATCTGATTGGATGACCAAATTTGACTTTGACAAGACTGTGCTATTTATGAAACAAAAAACTCAGGTACCTCAGCTTTAATGTAATTTCAACTTTTTAAATGTTTTTCTGTATACCTGTTTTTGTCAATGATGATCGCTGGTCCCTGTATGTTGTGGCCACACGGCAGCTCTTCCCACAGATAAACATTTGTGTCAAGGTAACCGCCCTCAAAGTAGCACTTTGTGATCTATAAAAAAGTATAGTAACTCTATAATCATAAATCGACAATTTCTTCTGATGGGAGTCTTCCTGTTGATATACGCACTGTGACAGGTTTTGCAGTTCTCTGGTTTTCTGATTTCTTAAAAAAGGATTTGATGCCAGATTTCCCACATCCCCGGACTCGAATGTCATCCACCACAATGGGTCTGCCGGCAATCGTGAAGCCAAACTCCTTCAAGTAACTGCCAAAGAATAGATTTGACAAACGGTGAATCATTTTTTAAATCTTTTTGAAAAATTCTTAGACAATATAACCATGTACCGTTTGGTGAAGGCACTGCGGAAGTCCCCGGCTTTGCATGACTGAGAACTGGGAGGAAATTCAGCTGCTGTGACCATAAGTGCACAGTCAGTCCCCTCGTAACGGAGATGGAGAAACACTTCAGTTGTGATCTGTCCACTGGGAAGAATAATGAGTTAACATAATGTAGTTTAGCCTGTGTTCACACCTCAAATCATCTCACCAACATGGGGCTATAAAAAGCTGGGGTTAAACATGTTTTAACTACAGTATGTACATAATAAAAGTCCATTTAACTAGTTCCTTACTTTAAATATGTAACTAGTTTTTATATGCATGTATTTCTCAGCCCAAAGTGTGAAATAGTGACTTACAGGGATCTTTTTAAGTATAGCCAGAATTAGATTTTTTTTACATTTTAATACAGTTTTGTGGTTCAAAAGTTTAGGTAGCTGTGCAGATGTTTTACCCCGGCTTTAATAACAAGAGCTCTGGTTAATAATGAATGGCTTCCAGACCTGGTAAAGCCCCGTGCACAGAGCGTGTCGATGCAGCGTTTTGAGAGATGGTCCACTCTTCGGTCCAGCTCTGAATAACACTCCTCCTCATACTTGAGTGAACTTGGCTCCTGGACTTCTTCAACCACATCGGCCAGAGCTAAACCATACGCCGACAACACACCACTATATCTGAAATAAACAAAACAAAACAGGCTTTAATTGTATTTCGTGGTAATATGAATAGAGCTGTTTTAGTGATTCCCAAGTACTTATGAATGAAGACGCTTTTCATCCCCAGGGCTCTTGCAATCGCACAGGCATGTTGCCCACCCGCACCTCCGAAACAGGCCAGCACATGTTGAGATGTGTCATGCCCTTTAGCCTAAAAATGTATAGATTTTCAAACTTGTGCGGTTAAGTTACAATTTACATTTTTAGCCGATTGTACCTGTGTCAAAGCTCTGATTGGTCGACACATGGCTTCATTTGCGACACGTATAAAGCCCATCGCAACTTCCTCCACACTCATTTCTGAACTGCTGCTGTTGACGTCGTTTGACTCATTCAGTGAAGACTAACAAGTAAATTGAATTAAAAAACATTGTGACAAATTTAACAAAAAATGATAAATGGCATTGCTGCTTTACTTGTGCCTGGTTAGAAGTCAGGAACACGTTGATATCTTGAGTAAGTTGATTAAAGTGCTTCATTGTCTCCTCTAAAGACAGGGGTTCATTTTCTCCAGGTCCAAAGATTTTTGGAAAGAAGGGTGGAAGGAGGCGCCCAAGAGCCAAGTTAGCATCGGTGACAGTAAGGGGACCACCTGAAATTGCAATTTTATATTAATATTTATTTATTATTTTCACTAAAGCTAAAAACCCATGGCAACAGAGCAAAAGGTTTTCAGAAATGTCCAAAATATATAACAGAAAAAATACATTTGCCTTTACTACTTATTACATAAAGCAGAATATCTTGGAGCAGACTTTTACTGCTGTTACTGTTACATGATGTTGATCCACAGCTTAGTTTGAGCAATGTCCGGCTAGACTAGTTGATCCCTGGAAACAAGCCCAAATTAACAGTAAAAGTAAAGTCCCACCTTTTCTGTAACAAGCCGGCCCTGGATGAGCTCCTGCCGACTCTGGTCCAACCACAAACATCCCAGATCTGAAAGCACATCATTAAAAGTGAAGTATAACATAAGGCTGTATTGAAATGTGTTTCTGTGACTGACCGAAAGAAGAGTCTCGACCCTCCACCCGCTGCCACTGTGTTGATGTCCAGTTGTGGAGCCTGCAGAGTGACCCCAGCTGTGGTCGCCTCAAAGACATGCTCGTACTGTCCGGCATATCGGCTCACATCAGTCGAAGTCCCTGCGGTGATGAAAGACTTGGTAAAAAGTTGCATTCAATATGTAAAAATTGTAATAAACCTAAACAAATCCTAAAAAAAATGAAAGCAATGTGTCCTGTTTAACACAATTTATGTTTCGAAAACAAAAACCCACTTTGTGTGAGTGAATATTGTGTTAATGGCACAATGTCTCCCTTTACTCTTAATGAGTAAATATAATTGTACTTACCTCCCATGTCAAAGCCAATCACTGGCTTCTTCTCCATTTGACTGTATGAGGTGATGGCATAGCCCACAACTCCCCCTGCTGGCCCAGAGAGAACAGCACGTGACCCACAGAACTGCCCCATGGGAGTGAGGCCACCATCGGACTGCATGAACAGTACGTCCACACTCTGCAACATAAACAACAGAAATAGGGATTATTGTTCACTATTCAATTCGAAATGTTTTACTCAGACCTTGAGAGCATCCTTAAAGCCAGCGGTGAAGCCTTTTAAATACTGCCGGATCTTGGGTGTGAGATAGGCGTCTGCACACACAGTGTAGCCCCGAGGAACTGCTCTGACCATGGGCATGACTTCACTGGACAGAGACACTTGAGTGAAGCCGAGGCGCCGTGCCAGGGAGCCCACTGCCTTCTCATGATCAGACCATCTACAGCAAAAAGCAGAACAGTTAGTTGACTTTATTATGTGACTTAATAAAAAAAAAAAAAAAAAAAGCTTTATGTGAAACAAACAAAAGGTGAAACCTTCATTTTTTTAAGATAAAGAGATAGAGGTCTGCTACAGAAATATATAAAAAATATCTGATAAAAAAGTAGGGAACAGTTTGTGGGATGCCAGGTCACTGTATAGAAAGTGTCCTGGATTGAGGAGCTCATGTGGAAATTCAGCTACTTTGGTGCTTGCAGGGCTATAAAGCCCATATTAATTTTCATTAAGCATTGTTGAAATAAAGTATTTACTTGGCATACAGTCCATTTCCAAGCGTGAAAGTGAAAGAGTGAAAAGAGTCAAATAATGACCATATCCAATGTGGGTGTGGGTTAAATATACAGTCGTCCTTTATGAATCAAACTGTGACACAATTGAGTGGATCAAAAAGGACCTTATCCACAACTAAAAGACACATAAGACTGCAAGCTGTGAAGGAGCAATACATGCTATTAAGAACTGGGAGAGGGAAACTTCTAATCAGATTCTGTTCTCATGAATAAATATATCAACATAAGATTTGAAAATATAAAACACATGTTTAATAGGTTTTAACAACAAGTGAATTTTTTTTTACATTATCATTCACATTCTCCAATATATTCCTGCCTGGGGGTGTAAACTGTAGGTCAAGTCACCACATGTCTTTAAGCAAATACATTATGTAAATCCCAATGACAAGATGAACCAGAAAAACACCAGTAATGCTAGTTTTTGGTTAATTCTGTTTGGTGCAGTAGCAGTACTGACGTGTAGGAGTGCAGCAGCAGCACAGCTAAACAGGTGATCCCCCGAGACAAGACTCCTGTCAGGTCTTTCTCCACTTGCTTCAGATCCAGTTCCTTCCACACTTCCAAAGAATCTCCAGTGCTGCCTGATGGAACAGTAGTTTAAATTATCATGAACAGAAGAAATAAAGGAGTTTTTTTTTTACTATGTTGGAAAACGTTGAAAACAGAGATAAGGATAAGTGTTTCCATCAGTCACCTGTGACGCAGCGTTTGGCCTCTCGTCTGGGCAGATGACATTCATCTTGTTTGAGAACCACTCGCTCGTCCACCTCAATCACCTCCTCATAAAGCACTTCTGGTACAGCCACCTCCTTTTTGAACACGGAGAAAAGACCAGAAGAATAAGTGGACGGCAAGTGGAGGTCATTTTTGCTCCTGTAATGTTGTTGATAACGATAGTGCCTACACCTTCAGAGATAAGTGACCACTAACTAACTAAGCCACAAATGTAAAACCAGTCAGGGGCAAACTCCAACAATACACAAAAACAATACGATGTAATATCAAAATTACCCCCGAAACAATCTAGTCTCGAAAAGCCTGCAAGGATCTGATAAATATTTAATTGATGTGGATTGAATATGGAGTATTAGGTATTAGAACAATAACGTGTGTAATTTTCTGAGGCAATTACCTGTTTGGTAACTCATTGCAATGAGATAGTAAACATTAACGTGACAAACCAAATCAAACAGCTTGGGTCGGGCCTGTGTGCCGATATGGAGAAGGTCTTTGAAGCCCTTCGTGACAAGCAGAGCCGTCCTCTCTCCTTCCCGCTCCAAAAGTGCATTGGTGGCGACAGTCGTTCCCATTCGGATCCAACCGATCAGCGAAGTGTCCACAGGCCGGTCACGGGGAAACGGCCTCCCAGTTTCCTGTCCAAAAAACACATCTAAATTCAAGGCAACACAAGGGCTGGAGTGAGACATCAGCTCAATGAGACAAATACATGAACTGCAGACTTTCTCCCAGAAGAGAAGGAGGTTTATGTTGAACACTGAAGAAACACACAAGTAACTCTATGGAATACAATGCAACATGCACACAAACATGTTTAGAAGCATGTCTCAACAAAAAGTTACATCTTAATAATAATCTATGAAACCAGGACCAATATATTTAGTTCCTCTGATGGCTTCTACAGAGATGTTATTACTTTGGAGATTCTCTATCGATAGTGGTTTGTGAAGAACTTTGGGTTGCACCGTATGAAATGTGCTTTACAAACATTTGATTGATTGATAATAATTATATTAAAATAGTTGAATATAAATGATTTTGTGTTATGCATTTTACCCTTAAACTTACAAAAAGTTTATTTTGTAAACAAATCAGATCCTGACATTTTTATTCTAATAGATGCTTATTTATCTTTCGCAAACTATACTGAATTTGTAAGAAAGAGCTCTGTGAGTCACTATTTTACTCTATTTGGGCTGAGAGCTGATGAGGTAGTCCTCTCCTTTCACGTTTGTTTGAAAAAGCTGATCTAAAGAGGCAACAACTAGTGATAGAACCAAACGTGATTCCACTTGTGTAAGGTAAAAACATTGACAATTTTTTTCAATAAAATCGATTCACTTTTTTACAGAGATTTTTCACAATAACAAAAATGGCTAGCCTAAAATGGGATAAGCGTAATGTAGGATGTTAGACTTTAAACTTTATTGATCCACAAGAGAAATAACCAGGACACAGTCGCACACATACAAATATAAATATATAAAGAAACAAGTTGAATCAGTAGTCGGAGTTGAAAGTGGCTGTATAAATAATACGTATACATCATAATTTTTAACAGTATCACTGACAATAGAACCTGCATATAGGAAAATGGAATCTGATGAATATCTCTGACAGGGGAGAGTTGTTGTAAGCAAAGAATATCCCTGGAAGCCTCTCACCTCCTCTAGCACACGCCGGATGCCCTCTGTGGGGGCATCTTTGTAGTTCTGGGGGTCCCAGGAGAGCAGCTTCAGGACCCTCTCACGCCCATCAGGGAGGCGGGCAAACACATCAGTGAAGGTGCCTCCTCTGTCAATGGCAAAGTCGTACTTCCCTTTGGTCTCTGCCATCGTGAAGCAGACACACTTCTACTGTGAAGGCAGCAGAACACAGAGCGAATATGAGACGGTCTCAAAGGGGCGGGGAGGACTCTGTGATGCAAACATGGCATAGGTTAATGCACGGACAGAAAAACATTAATTCCAGAGACAATGTTTAACACCATATTGCACCGTCTGAAAGAGGGGGGCAACTGGATGAATAATTAAATACTTACCCCGGACTAGGAGGCAAACTCTCCAAAACTTGCAGCGCTACGGGACATTTCTAACAGCACTCCAGATCGTTAATCTTTGATAAACCACTATTTTCCCATCGACAAAAACCTTACACGACACACCCTCCTTAGAAACTCAAGCCTCCAGAGAGCCCTCAGCAGCCCACACGCTCCACGTTATACTCTGTGTCCGTCGCTCACAATCAAGTAAAAAAAACTATGGCCTGTTTTGTGAAATAAAAGCGTTTCTTCGGACACGCTGGCGCCGCATCATTTGTCCCCCGCAGGCTTCTGTAGTACACCGTGTTCTTAGCTCAATATTTACACTCTATGGTTTTTCTCAGCTGCTAAAGTCGATTTACAAACTTACATATCATTTGCAGCTGAAGTTCTGGTTGGGTCAGTATGTAATGAGACAGGGGCAGGACCACATGTCGTGAACACCTGCTCAGACTGTAATGTGCCTGTGCTGTGGAAGATAATTTATAGATTATTATATATTTCTTTATTCAAAGTCACGTCACTGTTAAAAAACAGAACACGCAGACAGACTCCTAAAAACAAGACTCGGGAAACAAAAAACCCAGACAGACTTATAAAAGAGCTGTTCCAGTATTCCCAGAGTAAACTGGTGAGACCTGCGTTTCCTCAGCGCCACCACCAAACATTTGAGTCTGGCAGAACAGCAGACAAACCCAACCTGGGCTTTTAATCCAATTTTTCAAACAAACAAAACAATGTTGTGAGTATCAGGTTTATTTAGGTCTGTGCCTCACATTCAAACAGTGTCTGCTCTCGTGTGTAACAAAGTAAATAAAAAGACCACATTGGCATGGCTATTTACACATAAATACATATTTATGACAATGACACAGTTTAGCCATAATGAGCTGCTCATGGATTAATGCCATAGTTGTGAAACATAACTCAGAAATGTGTGTGGAGAGCTTTATCATAAAGGCACAAAAAGTAAGTCACATTGTAACTAATGTCTACGCTCATCTGTGCAGTGAAGGCATTTCTGTCATTTTCAGATATTTAACCAGTCAAAGCAAATAGCGTGTGTGTGCTAGCTAAGGGCACTTGAGGTTCATGTGGTATTGTGCAAATCAAATGTACAAACCAGGTTTGTTAAATCAAATGACATTCAAAATTAAAATTTTCTTTTACACCCAGTAGCCTGATAGTATGTGAAGTGGTAACATTTGTCCAGTGTCAAAAAGGCTAACTGTGAAGGAGTGACATGTTTTAAGGTTAGTGATAAGTGGCTGTAATCTCAGTTTAATTTATTCAGGTAGTGGCAGTACCATATTTTCTCTTAAAGAATCAATAAACTGAATCTCAGTGGCAGTTCTGGCATCTTGGATGACATTTCTGGTTATTAATATTGCAAAGACATCCTCCACTGGTGTCTCCTGGACCCTTAAAAAAAAAAAAGAATACATGAGAGGATTTACCACTGATGACATGCATGCATGCTTGCACAGTACAAGAGCTCAAAGAGAGGGACAATAAGTTACCTTTGGCCCCCAGCGCGGCCCTCGGGTCACCCAGCAGATCTCTGTGTGGCAGACAGTGCAGCGTAACCAATCACACCCGTCCCTCTTTTGGACTATGATTCCACATTGTGGACAGTGCATCGCCTCACCAGACTGTACCAGCGTCTGGAACGTGTCAATTTTGATCAAAATCAAACATTTATAATAATATATAATATAATTGATCTGCATAAAGTTATTTTACTGCGTGTAACTCACCTTTAAGAGATGAGTGGTTCTCCTGGCGGCAGAGTCGTTGATTGCACGAGCAGCGAGGTCATCCTGGTATTGCTTGCAGTTCATTCCTTCATGAATTGCCTAAAACAGAAACACACTCAGTCAAGATGCGATTATATCAACCACGTTAACCAGAGCACAACGCATGAATGCAGAGTTTACCTTACATATGAGGCAGTTCTGTTTCTTGCATACGGGGCAGTGAAACACATTAACACTGTCCTCGTACACACACCAGCCGCGGCAGTCTGCCGTGGCACAGTGGTAGCTTCCCTCACACCGAGACTCGGCCACAGCAAGGCCTCTCTGCAGCCAGCGCTGGTATTCCTCTGCCGATACCAACTGAAGGGAAAAGTAAACATACAATACAAGTTTCAATGTAGAACTAAAAGCACAACATCATAGATTTGAAAACTGTAGGTAGGCTCCTCATCATCCCTGAACGAGAAGAAGTGTAATAGAAGTTGATGAACTCACAGCTCTGATCTCTCTCTCCTGCAGTGAAGAGGCACAAGCGTATGTGTCGTCTCTGTAGGGACAGGACACCTCCGGCTCCTCGCTCAGCATGATGACCGAGCGCAGGCAGGATCTGAGAACCACAGCAGGCTAGATATAACACTTCACATATAGTGTTACATTACATAAACTAAATGAACCCAGATGTTACATGAGGCAGACAAACATTTGTACCTGCAAAAGCAGTGCAGACACTCCCTAAGCAGAACGCCCTCTGCAGGCTGCAGCTCGCCATAGCAGATCCTACAGTCCACAGGCCCAGGGTTGGGCACCAGGTCCTGACCGTCCAGCATCACTAGACGGGCAAAGTTCTCCTTGCGCTCCTCTTCTCTGGCCTGGGACCAGGAATCATTTTAAGTCTCAAAAAACTACAGAGCCTATCTTGCCATTACGGGTCTTAAATTTGACACAACATTCCCCTTGAAATGGGGTTTGACTGTTATTGGGTATTTGCATGACCTTGATTGTCAAAGATGCAGAGCAACAAATGCCTGTATTTTGTGCTCTAGCCTCTTTAGCACTCTGCCTTTTCCGTTTTGTAATAGCATCTTTCCAATAAAATCTCAATCTCAAACTTAAGTCTAAAGCAAACAACACACATTCAACATAATTTAAATCTTGTTTTAATATTTGAGTAAATGTGCTTTCTTATTCCAGAATCCATTCTGTGCCATTTCAATGATACATTAAATAATAAATAAATCAAAAAACTCAGTGAAGTGTTCCAAATGATTCATGTCATATGCTTTAAGTTGCATTTTGATAAAAGAGATATGCATAAATGTGAACATATGTGTAGTGTAAGCTCAGTCCAGGTCCAAGTTTAAGAGAAGCGAGTTGTTTTGAGCTCCAGTGCTCCTCAGAACCTCTTTTCTCCCTTTCTCCTTTAAAAAACAGAGACAAAAGAGAAGAGAGTGAGTCTAAGAGGAGCCTGCTATTTTTTTTTTTTTTTAACTATGCCTTTCCAAAAACGGTTCTGTTTTCTGTCTGCTTCCACTTATTAATCTATTAATGTAATGTGTAATGTATGTAAACAAACATGTACAAAGATGATTTGTAATTTCCCCACCTGCTGGTATTGTCTTATGGCCTCTTTCTCTTGTTGGATCCTCTTCAGTTCCAGTGGGTCAGGCCGGTACCCTCCTGGGACCACATAGCTCTCTGGACGATTTGTGCTGCAGATTTCACATCCAGGGCGGGTCGGTTTGTTAATGTAAGTGCAAGAAGGACAAGACCATCCCGGCTACAATCACATGTTAAATGTTAAAAAAGGAACAATTGACACAAGACAATACAAAATGTTTTATACCTGGTTAGCGGCTACAGTCGTGTTCAATGCTTCCTTCAGTTGAGACATCTCCAAGTTGATAAGATCTTTAATATCATTTACACGCCCTGATCCATCTGCAAAATATATTAGGAAACATATGTAAGGGAAAAGGTGAATAGATTAGCAATAACACTCAAACATCACTTTTCCAATAGAATCCTGTTTTCAAGGCATTTTTTTCTGATTCTTGGACATTCTTGGAGTGATATCTTACTAATGCTGCAGCTTTTATCCAGTCGTGAAGGCAATGTGTTGTAAGCTCGCTGGTGCAGAGACGAAGAGCCATTGGTAGAGGAAGACTGGGGGCTCAGCAGTAGGATACTCTCCTGGTCCCGCTGCAGGACTTGTGGTGTGAGGCGAGCGTGGCGTGCAGACAGGAGGTAGAGGAAAGCAGTGTCACCATTTTGTCGAACCCCATACGAGGCCAAAGAGCGCTGGTCTGAACACAAACACTGTCCAATCACCCAGCGCTGGACCTTAGGGTGAAAGCCATACTCAAGAAACATCTGGAGGAAGACAAAACTATAAATAATTCAATCAAGAACTTGTGGGATTTTAGGGATTTGTGCAATTTTAAAACTGGAGTTCCTAAATGTGTGTAATAAAATCCATAAATCTAGTTCCTAGCTCTCAAAACTGGTTCAATCAATAGCTTTCACTTACCAGTACATGTATTTTTGGACTACCAGCTCTGCCATTTTGCACTCATTTTATAAAAGACACTGTGTTGTGGTCTTATTTATTCAAAGAATGTTACTTAAACAAGACTTTTTCTGTTGGGTGAAACTTATAAAACAAAATGCATTTATGACACTAAAAATGTTAGGTACTCCAGCTTTAAAGAGCCAATATAAGATCTTAAAATATGAAACCTGTTGTTTGAGTGCTGCTGTTGGCATATGGGGCAAAACTCTCACAGTCACGCAGCAGGACGAGGCACTGTCTTCCACCACCACAGCCAAACTGTAAAGAGATATATAAGAATAATATAAAAAAACACATAGGCTTGGACTAGACACACAGACAAACCACTACCACTATGCCTAATTTTATGTATTTAGACCCTAAAACATATGACCCTACTTTATTTCACTGTCCTCCGTGTCTCGGGCAGATGGCTGAATCTTGAGAGTGGCATGTTGTCGTGCAAGAGTAGCAGCAAATGTTGAAGCAGCCTGCGGATCACCTGCTTCAATGGCTCTGGTCAGCTGAATGCATGCGTCCTCTGATGAAGGATGGATCATACACAAAGTGAAAATGAGTGACAAACTAAAGCCAAAAGACCACCAGGGGGGGCAAACAGAACGCCTATGCAGGTGAGAGTCATGAAAAATAATGAATGAACACATGTATGCTGAAGAAATCAACAATCCACAATACTTGTCTGTACACCTGTTTGCTGCAGGACGGCTGTGTGCGAGGCCTGGAGATCTCCTGCACCGTTAGAAGGCGCCACTGAAAAGTGATAAAAGTGTTTTACTTTTTGACATTAAGTTCAAATGTTTGTTTAGACACATAAGCAGAGTCCCTTTTCTCAAACACCAAACCTTTAAAAAGGTAAAGAAGTAAAAAGTATGTTTTAAAGAGTATATGGAGTCCTGCGACACAAGGAAACACAAGACCTCTGTGTCTCTTCTTGTCTATTTTAGGCGGACTGGCTCTGATCCTGCCCAGGGACATTCCCAACTATTAACATCGGCTACTTAAATTGCACTGAGTGCAAAGTTTAAAAAGGAGCCAAGAAGTTCTTGGCAATTTTGAAAAGGTAAATGAAACACAGGTTACATTATTGAGTGATCAGGTTTATAGTGACAGATGTAAATGACAGAATGACTTAATGAGACAGTATGTTTTCATGACACTGACCCCTGTGGGCTTCTTTTAAAGATGACAGCAGCACAGTGGCCCATTTCTGCGCTTCCTGCTCACAGCGGAAGTTGAAGCTGATACGATCATGAGGCGGTGCTCTCAAACTCAGCTCGTGACACTTTGGAGACTTTACTTCATAGTTTACAGTTCTCAGGTCAAATATGGCGATGGTCTGAAAAGGGAAGAGAAGTGGAAAAAATGTAATTATAAAATGCATTCATTGTTGTCATTATGACAAGGCAAAGAACAGATTAGATATATCCTCAAAGATGCAAACGTTTATTGTTTATTATTAAAGATACAAGCAGGTATCAGTATTTAAATGTTGAAGATCATGTAAAAATAAAAATACAATTTGGCTTAGTGATGCCCTCTTGTATTTTATCAAAATCTATAGTCTTCTTAAGTACAGGTATGCTTGGATACTTTCCACAATATTGACATTATTATCAAAGAGCTGCCCTCATATGGCAGATGAAGCTACCCTTTAAAACTAATCAAATGTAGAGTTTGCCTCTCTTGGCCGTAGCTCAGTATTTAGGATGCCTATGAAATAAGTGTCTTCTTTGACTTGGTTTTTTTTAATAGCCTCTATAAAACAAAACATGACACATATTTGTTCTGACCATTACAATGTTGTTCCAACTTCCTATACTATCCCACACATTGTTTATATGTTAACAGCAAATATTCCGTAGTATGTAAGAGTAATATGCAGGTGACGTTCCACTAAAGAGAGATAGATAAGGCCACTTTTTCCTGTATGCTGAAAATAATATTTTTTCTGAAGTGGATGATAATATCAGACAATCCAATCAAATTACAATACAACAGTATGTTATCTACGGGCCTCAGTAGTAACACTGGGGTTTGGCTCACCAGACTCCTGCCTGTCTCACTGCTGCTCTCTTGAAGCGAGAGGCGGAATTCCCCAAACTTCCCCGGATCCATACTGAGCTGTAGGCGGAGGGACTCGTCTCCTGCCCCGGGCAAACACAGCGGGCGGATCCCCGAGTGGCAGACAGACACCCGTACCGACATGAGCACATTCTGACAGCCGAAAAGACCCTCCGATTCCCCCGCATACAGACTGGCCCCAGCAGCGGGAGCACCAGTGTCCAGTGTGCGCACAGTCCAGCCGTCTGAACTTAGGGCCATCTTAAAATAGACTCATGATGTAGCAGAAGTACAAGTAGCAATAACACTCGCCAGGAAGTAGTAGAGCTGTTTAAATCCTGCTTCCATCTCTTTGTTTGCCCCCATTAAAACATCATGTTGTGGGCTCTGCGGGTTTGACGCAACGGCGATGAAAACAGGAAGATGCCAAGGTGAAATAAGTCCGTAAATGGCTCACAGACTTCAATAAACTGCTGGAGTTCAGATTCACATCGGGCCAATGCCTGGCAGCTCTCCCAATGTGTGAGTAAAAATCTTCGCACTAGTAAAACAGTGTTTTAGCAGTCGCTGCAGCTGATGTTGATGTGTAGATCCATGGCTGGGTTTCGCTTCTGGTCGCGCACGCGCACTTCATACAATGACGTATGTTTTATGTTTTTCTGTTTTAAGACAGAAAGAAATGTAAAATTAAGTAAACATGTGTAGGGGCACTATAATTCTAACAAATACTTGTTACATTGTTTTAACTGTGACGGTTTAATATTTTACTTTTGAACATTTAGATCCGATGCACCGTATTTAACCACCAGAGGGCAGCAAAGTACGATTATTTCCGCTTCAATTTCTAGCCTTTTTGAAACTTTGATGTATTTAGAAACATCTCTTCTCGCATCACATCTCCCATTTATTCAAGACTTCACTAGTTCATTACATCATATTATATCATTAAAGCTAGCAAGTTGCTAGTTAAGCTTAAAAGACCCTGTACAAGATAAATACTATAATAAATTATGTAAATCTGCAACAAAGAATACAAATAAAAAATACAAAAATGGTTTGAACAGTTCCAAGTACACATAGTCCACACAAGTCATCACCCATTGACAGTGGGACAGTGAGTGACATTGTTGCAACCATCTGGCTGTAAGCCCCGCCAAGAGAAACTTTAGAATTTTTTTGCATCTATGCTTCTGCCTTCTTCTGCTTTATCCGTTGCCGGGTCACGGAGGCAGCAGTTGGAGCATCTCTACTCCAACTGCTGCCTATCCACACTCCACTCATCCGAGGGATGTTGGCCAGAGACATAGTGACTCCAGTATGCCATGGAGGTACCTCCTTGGGGCCACTTGTCGGTGGGACATGCCGTAACATCTCCTCAAGAGGTGCACCTCACACTATCTTTGAGCGAGCGCCCAGGTACTCTCTGGAGGACACTAATTTGAATCGCTTGTATGCGTCCTTTCAGCCATTACCCAAAGCCCATAACCATAGGTGAGTGTGAGAAAGTTGACTGAGCAGTAATCAACCACAATCTTCACCACAACAGCATCACTGCAGATGCTGCACTGATCCATCAATCTGATCTCCATCATTCACTCACCTGAGAAACTTTGTTTTATTAGTACCGGATTACATTGAACAAAGGATTGTCTGTGGTCACTGGAGATACCACCTACACACTGATCACTGCACAAATGATGAGGTCATTAACAGAATATAGTATACTGTAGCTGCAGCATGTCAGCTAACTGATTTAAAGAGGAACTGCTAATCATGGTGAATAAAGATCAATACGGCCACAAAGCAGAGACACGATCATTCTGGTCCAGCTGCAACTGTACTAGCTGCAAATAGAGCAGTGTTAGTCATCAAAAGTGTTCAGAATGAAAAGGTGTGTTGCCTTTTCCAGTCTCCTGTCGCGCTGGGTCATCACTGAAATGCTGCACAGAATTCAGATTCTCTATTTCATTCAGAGGAGGATTGTAGAATCAGATGACTCAGTTCAGATTAATGAGACTCGTGCAGAGGCTGTAAGGGGGGTCATGTCACGCTTTTTCACTCCCATCCACAGCCACCCAATGCTCCTGACCTCTGTATGTCATCTGTAGTAAGGGAACAGGTTTGTAAAAAGGAGAAACTAAAGATCATTTAAAAAGTCTATTTTTGCTCCATTAATCTCTGACACAAATTTTGCAGAGCTTTGAGGCTTTTCAAAACGATTAAGTTGATTATTAAAGGTTGTGAGATTACAGCTCCTGAGGTTGTTGTTTTCTCATTTCCAACGCCAAGCCCTCAGCCTTCTCAGCTTTGTACCATCTGATCACTATCCAAAAAACTAAATTACAACCCACACACACTAGAGCAACAAAGTGTTCCCCAAGGTCCAATACCCACAACCTGCTCCATGATGACGCTTTTCCAGAACAAACATCTTGTGGTCTATCATCCACCTGTGACATATCTCCTTTGAAGACACTGCCTGAGAAAAGCAAGAACTGAGATTTCTTCATCTCAGGTTGTTCTTCTGTCAGTGGTAATTGCCCTTTTTTTGCTTTTCCTTTGTTCACCAGAAAAAAACAGTTATATTTATGGTGAAACGCAGCTTACATTAGGTGTTTTTTATGGTTTAAGTGTTTAACAAAGAGCTAGAATTGAATAAGCTTTGGCTTCTTCCTACTCCTTTTGAACATACGTTTGTGTTAAGTCTCGATGTTGACCTTTTATTTATTTTTCTTCTCTTCTATTTATTTGTCTTTTGTTTGTTTATGCCGTTGTTTTTATTTCATGTTCAAATAAACGTTAAATTCTTTCAATAATTCATTTATAATAGATTCTCGCTGCAGGAATCTGCCGATGAGACAGTTTAAAGTTAGTTTTCTGTGCCGTAAACATGGACTGATTGATGAAGAGGTCGGAAACACCCACCTCTCTCTGGGTCAGTGTCTGTGGTTCCCCTGTCACTAATTTAAAGTTGTATTGGCGTCAGTGAGCGGTGATGGACGGCCGTGGTGCGTGTGTGTGCGCTCAGGAGGAGGGCTGGACCTGTGTGTGACTGACTGTGTGGCTCTTGATTCATCATCTCCACTGATGCGACGCATGAACACAGGTATAAAAGCCCCATTCACCTGCTGCTCACAACGACTTCAGAACAGACCCTGACCTCCCCCCGCAACAAGTCAACGGTAAGAAAACTATGTGCTATGTACTCTATATTTAATGAATATGTACTCTATATTTGACAGGTTAATAGGACTTTAGAGATTTTTTGTGTAGCTCTGTATTCAATTCACAACCTGCCTAATGCATTTTGCAGATTAAATTAACAGTTGCAGTAAAACAGCCAAAATACACACATTCTCTTGCAAAAAAAATGGAATTGAATTATTTGGTTATAAATGCAGATCAGAATTTGTACAGTTTGTATAAATGAATAAATGTGTTTTAATCTCATTGTTTAAACCTAAGAAGAAAAAAAACCATAACAGACATTATTATTTACTAAAAAGGATGGAAAGTCTTTACATCATATCTAGGTGAATCAAAGAGTTTTCAATATTTTCCTTATGTTTTCTCGAACCTGATTCAGTCACACATTAAACAGGGAGTACTTGGATATTAATTGCAGAATTAATATTGATTGTATACAATTATTAGAGAATTGTAATTTCACAAAAGTGGGGATAATAATGGCGAGGTGCAGAGAGGACTGGGCAGCGGTCGAAGGCGGAGACCTCGACGACCCAGTCCACACACCCAACATCTGGCTCTTGGGACGTGGAACGTCACCTCACTGGGGGGGAAGGAGCCCGAGCTTGTGGGGGAGGTTGAGCGATACCGACTAGAGATAGTCGGCCTCACCTCCACACACAGCTTGGGCTCTGGAACCCAACTCCTTGAGAGGGGTTGGACGCTCCACTTTTCTGGTGTTTCCCGCGGGGAGAGGCGGCGAGCTGGGGTGGCCATACTCATTGCCCCCCATCTCAGCCGCCACGTGTTGGAGTTCTCCCCGGTGAATGAGAGGGTCGCGTCCCTCCGTCTCCGGGTGGGGGACAAGTCTCTCACTGTTGTGACGGCCTACGGGCCTAACGGTAGTGCAGAGTACCCGGCCTTCTTGGAGTCCTTGGGAGGGGTACTGGACAGTGCACCGCCCGGGGACTCCGTTATTCTCCTGGGGGACTTCAACGCCCATGTGGGAAATGCCAGTGACACTTGGAGAGGGGTGATCGGGAAGAGCGGCCCCCCTGATCTGAACCCGAGCGGTGTTCAGTTGTTGGACTTCTGTGCCAGGCACGGCCTGTCCATCACGAACACCATGTTCGAGCACAAGGGTGTCCATCAGTGCACGTGGCACCAGGACACCCTAGGCCGGAGGTCGATGATCGACTTTGTAGTCGTATCATCTGACCTTCGACCGCGTGTCTCGGACACTCGGGTGAAGAGAGGGGCGGAGCTGTCAACCGATCATCACCTGGTCGTGAGTTGGATCCGCTGGCAGGGCAGGAGGCCGGTCAGACCTGGCAGGCCCAAGCGTGTAGTGAGGGTTTGCTGGGAACGTCTTGGTGAGCCCCCTGTCAGACGGACTTTCAACTCACACCTCCGGGAGAGCTTCTCCCAGGTCCCGGCAGAGGAGGGGGACATCGAGTCTGAGTGGACCATGTTCTCTTCCTCTATCGCCAATGCGGCGGCTCGTAGCTGTGGTCGCAAGGTCTCTGGTGCTGGTCCCGGCGGCAATCCCCGAACCCGGTGGTGGACACCGGCAGTAAGGGATGCCGTCAGGCTGAAGAAGGAGTCCTATCGAGCAATGATGGTTCGTGGGACTCCTGAGGCAGCTGTCCAGTACCGGCAGGCCAAACGTGCCGCGGCCCGGGCTGTTGCAGAGGCAAAAACCCGGGACTGGGAGGAGTTCGGAGAGTCCATGGAGCATGACTATCGGTCGGCCTCGAAGAGGTTCTGGCAAACTGTCCGGCGCCTCAGGAGGGGGAAGCAGTTCTTTGCCAACACCGTGTATGGTGCGGGTGGAGGGCTGCTGACCTCGACTGGGGATATTGTCGGGCGGTGGAAGGAATACTTCGAGGTTCTCCTCAATCCCCCCGTCACGTCCTCCGTCCAGGAGGCAGAGGCTGAGGATGTTGGGGCGGATACTTCCATCTCCCTGGCCGAGGTCACCAAGGTGGTTGGCAGCCTCCATGGTGGCAAGGCGCCGGGAGTGGATGAGATCCGTCCTGACTATCTAAAGTCTCTGGATGTTGTAGGACTGTCTTGGCTGACACGTCTCTGCAACATCGCGTGGCGATCGGGGGCGGTGCCAATGGAGTGGCAGACCGGGGTGGTGGTCCCTCTCTACAAGAAGGGGGACCGGAGGGTGTGTTCCAATTATCGTGGGATCACACTCCTCAGCCTCCCCGGTAAGGTCTACTCCAAGGTACTGGAGAGGAGGCTACGTCCGATGGTCGAATCTCGGATTCAGGAGGAGCAGTGTGGTTTTCGTCCCGGTCGCGGAACACTGGACCAGCTCTATACTCTCCATCGGATACTCGAGGGTTCATGGGAGTTCGCCCAACCTGTCCACATGTGCTTTGTGGATTTGGAGAAGGCGTTCGACCGTGTTCCCCGGGGTGTCCTTTGGGGGGTCCTCCGGGAGTACGGGGTCCGGGGTCCTCTGCTGAGGGCTGTTCGGTCCCTGTATGACCGGAGCCAGAGCTGTGTTCGCATTGCCGGCAGTAAGTCAGACCTGTTCCCGGTGCATGTTGGCCTCCGCCAAGGCTGCCCTTTGTCACCGGTTCTGTTCACTGTATTTATGGACAGAATCTCTAGGCGCAGCCAGGGGCCGGAGGGGGTCCGGTTCGGGAACCACAGGATTTCATCACTACTTTTTGCGGATGATGTCGTCCTGCTGGCTCCAACGAACCAGGACCTGCAACATGCACTGGGACGGTTTGCAGCCGAGTGTGAAGCGGCTGGGATGAGAATCAGCACCTCCAAATCCGAGGCCATGATGCTCGACCGGAAAAAGGTGCCTTGCCCTCTCCAGGTGGGTGGAGAGGTCCTTCCTCAAGTGGAGGAGTTCAAGTATCTCGGGGTCTTGTTCACGAGTGAGGGGAGGATGGAGCGTGAGATTGACAGGCGGATCGGTGCAGCGTGCGCAGTGATGCGGTCTCTGTATCGGACCGTTGTGGTAAAGAGGGAGCTGAGCCGAAAGGCAAAGCTCTCAATTTACCGGTCAATCTTCGTTCCCTCCCTCACCTATGGTCATGAGCTGTGGGTAATGACCGAAAGAACGAGATCGCGGATACAAGCGGTCGAAATGAGCTTCCTCCGCAGAGTGGCTGGGCGCTCCCTTAGAGATAGGGTGAGGAGCTCGGTCACACGGGAGGAGCTCGGAGTAGAGCCGCTGCTTCTCCACGTCGAGAGGAACCAGTTGAGGTGGCTCGGGCATCTGTTCAGGATGCCTCCTGGACGCCTTCCTGGGGAGGTGTTCCGGGCACGTCCCACCGGGAGGAGGCCCCGGGGAAGACCCAGGACACGCTGGAGAGACTATGTCTCTCAGCTGGCCTGGGAACGCCTAGGGGTCCCCCCGGACGAGCTGGAGGAGGTGTGTGTGGATAGGGAAGTCTGGGCGTCTCTGCTTAGACTGCTGCCCCCGCGACCCGGCAACGGATGAAGCGGAGGAAAATGGATGGATGGATGGATGGGGATAATAATGGAATCATTCCTTCATGAGAATATAACAAAATATTAGGTTATTGTTAATACTGAGATTACACATTTGACAATCAAGGCTATGTTTTAGGCACAATTAGGTAAGACATTTAACTCAACAATTGTTTTAACAATTTCTTTTTAAATAATAATTTAGGTGGCTATACTATACTATGCATGTTGTTGGAGAGTAATTACATTTTTACCATATGTTTCAAGAACATATGTTTATTCAGGATGTTATTTTTTCAGACTACAAAAATATAAAGGAATATATTGTAGTAATTCAGCAGGATTAGGCAGGATATTACAAAATTAATCTGTTGCTTTCAGTGGCGTGTATTATTTCTAATCATTAATGCATTTAAACATTATCATACAAAAGAAGACAGCATAAATATTCTGTTGGACAAAGTAACAGAAGTAACTGATCCAGACAAGGATCATCAGTATTCTGTAACCAAATATTAATCCTAATACACAGGTGTGTAATAACTTTGCTGTCCTCAGTGCCTGGTCACACATGCTGCTGCTGCTGCTGCAGTCCGGCCTCAGGCGCCGCTGGAGTCTCCTGATGACGCTGCTGCTGCTGCTGTCCGCGTGCACACGCCTCTGCCGCGCGCACTCCACCACCGTGGAGCACGACTTCCATATAGTGCACAACGTCGACAACAGGAGTAAGAGACAACACTTTTACAGTAAACATAGTCATCTATATCTTTGTTACTAGGCTGTTTAACAAACAGTTATGAACATGGCTTTCATAACCAATATCTAAAACTGTAAATAAACTACATATATTTGTGCATCCTTCAATATACACATCAGTCTAAACTTTCAGAAGATGCAAGAAGTAGATACCGTCATTGACATTTTCAAGCCAGTATAAAGATAATGTGTAAAAATGTGATCATATTATTTATAATAATGTTCATAGACTCTTTTCTCTCATGTTTCTGTTCAATAGAGTTTAGTTAAATCTCGTCTGCTCCTCAGGTCCAGAGATCGACCCGTTCTGGTACGTGGGGCGTGGGGTCAGACCGATCGGCCGCTTTGGGAAGAGGCACAGTGTGGAGGAGGACATGCAGCCTGTGCTCCGGACTCTACTGCTGCTCCTCAACAACCTCAAGTCCAGGAGACAAATGGACCAGGTCCCAATGGACACAGAACAGGACTGGCTGCCATGACGACACCCTTTTCTTCCATTTACACCGATCTTTGAGTATTTTGTACAGTCGCTTTGGCTTTAAAACATTGTTGCTTGAAATGTATATAAAATCTATCTATATATTGATTATTAAACTACAAAGCTGATCGGACGTGTATTTTTACTCATATGCACAACAGACGCTCATTTAGGCTTGCAAATTTTATTAATTTTCGGTGGCACATTTTTTGCTTGTTAATTTTCCCGTGTCCAACAGGATCCAACAATTGCACATAAAAGCGAATGGCTCTCCATTCTCAAGTCCTCAAAAACATGGACTTAAACAGGATGCTTGGATTCCTGTTTGAACCCAGACATATCAAGACAATATATATGACATTCTCTTGCTCACAACACTGTAAGATTAGTCAAATATGATTGGCATACACACACTATATATCATTGTATCCATCTTTTTCCACACATATACATATACTAACAAACATATTATATCTTTTCTCTTATAAAAATACTGGACACTGATGATTGGACCCTTGTGCCGCTCATATGACACAATTTTGAAACATGCTAACTTTTATACATCAATACTTTAAAAACAGGAAAGACAAGGCAGTCCAAACCAGACCGCCCTGCTCCCACACTGGAATCATCATAATGATTGAAGTGGTCACACTAGCCCAGAAATGAAACAAAGTGTATTTTTAAATTAGGAACTCTAAGTAGTATAATAAATGTATGTTCTACTTCATGGCCTTCAGAAAACCATTGGGTCATTGGACACGTCACGTATAGATGGCTGCTTTGAGGAATACAAAGAAGAATTGGCAATAAGTAATTACTTCAATTGTCTTGCATAAAAACAGCTTTTAAAATACAAAAATAAAGTACTCGTAACAAAAATCATATTAGTAATATGGCATTTGATAAAAAGATTTCAGATGCATTTTTTTACACAATGAAAATATGTGAAAATATACTCTTTTTCTCAAACAAAAGGCCGCAATGTTGAAATGAAAAACAGAGGATGCAACGATACTGGCTGCCTCAATCTACAGCATCAACACGATTCTGATAAATCTGCGATGCAAAATCACGCAATCTCTGTCCACTCTGTGCTTTTCTTTACAATTTCAATGCAAATATGAATCATAACTGTAATCAATTTTCTGTAATGTTTAAATGGCTCAAATAAAATTGACCCTCTTCATATGGCTGTGAAGGTTTTGTGGAAAAAAACTGTATAAAATATGAAGGGGCTCTTTGGGGATACGGGTCTCCATATTTTTGTTGAACATTGAATTACAATACTCTTGTAAACAGATAAAAAAGGGAAATGCTTGTGGGTCTGTACAGTTTTTGATTTTAAGGCAGACACCAATCGTCCATTCTTATCTGCGCGAGGAGCAGGAGGAGGAGGCTGGAGTGGGGGAAGTATGATGACGGAGGTTTAGTCAAGGCACTGGTGGAGCCCCGGTCTGTGGGCTGTGCTTTCACTGTGGATCGAACACTTCCTGCTCCGACTCAGATTTATCTGGAGGACGAAACGAAACATCAAATTAACAGAGGGAAGAGAAGAGAACCTGAGAGGACATGATGCAGATTATTAATAACAATAATAATGTTACTGTGAAAAACACACAAAGTAAATACAAATCTTGTATGGTTACATTCTTTTAAGTAAAAGAAATAGTACAGTAGAAATATGAAATAGAGGTTAGCAGTAGTAATGGTTAGTCAGTCCAGCATAAAAAAGTTATCCATAACTCTGTGTCTCACGTTTTGACACAGACATGGCATCTATTCTAAGAGATGTCCAGGCCTAGATTTACTCTAAAATACTTATGCCTGTTTTTAAATTCTTCCTCAGTCTGACAGTCCCTTGGTTCACAACCTTCTCGCTCTTTCCCGTGAGAGACTGGGATAAACAGCTTTCTCCCATTATGCTCCTTGTAAATGCAACACATCAAGAGTAAACTAAAGACCCACTTGCAGATTCAGATTCAGTTTATTTGCAATTTGCAGTAAAAAAACCCTCATTGGAATACATTAGCAAAAAGTCACCAGTGTGCACAGACAAATACAGACATAAAACAACATTAAAAAGACAGAAATAAAACAAATAAAACAGTAAACAAATGTCACTGTGAAATCAATCGACTAAAACAGTTTCAAAACAAGTGCAAATCATTAAAGTGCTCTGTTCACACTGATAACAGCTTGTGGATAAAAACTGTTAGCGTGACGAGATGTCCTGCATCTCAGAGAGCGATATCTTCTGCCAGAGGGAAGAAGCTGGAACATGGCTTTTCCAGGGTGGCCAGAAGAGTAATTGACAATCCTAAGAGCTTTGTTTAAAAGTCTGGATTTATAAAGAACCTCCAGAACAGGAAGCTCACAGCCCACGGTCCTCTTTGCAGAGCGGAGCACCTTGTTTAGGGCTCTCTTTTCTTTATCTGTGATGTTTCCAAACCACACAGACAAAGAACCAACAAGTAAACTTGTTGCTCTTTGTCTTAGGACCGTGTGACGTATTTAACGACACAATTCCTTGTTCTTGTAAAGTGCATTGAATTGAGTTTTTTGTGTAAAATGTGCAATATGCTGTTATATGTGTATTATTTACAATAATGACCATGTTTTTCAGGGCAATAAATGGAGTAATTAGCAAATAGTATCATTATAATCACATTACAACTTCAGAGTTTGTCACTACAGCAGGACAGTGAGTATTCGTGAACAGCAAGAACCGTAAATACATTCACTATTTTCCATGAGTAAAAGACTTCCCTAACAGAAATACTCTTGTTCAGGGGTAAATGGGGATAAATTTGAAGTAATGACAACTTTGCAAATCTCAAAGTAGAGAATATATGAATAATGATAAGGATATTACTATCATCTTTTCAAGTATCATACCTACATCTATTCCACAAGGACATAGATGTAGCACGCTTCTTGCAGTTTTAGAAAGATTCATCTGTATCAAAATTGTTATATCACGTTTTTTGTATCATAAAATGTATGATTATTTGGTTCATAGTACATTCAATAATGTGTCAAAATTGAATGAAAATTTAGCACGGCATCATGACAACACAATTTTACAATCTACCGGACAAAATAATCTGGACAAAGTCCTTGTAAGTCATGTGTTCACGCAGCAGCCGTGATCGGGAGCTGCTGTTTTTGCCTGAGAATAATAAATAATAATAGGTTTTTTCTCACACCTCAAACATGTCAGGTGAGAAATGATCAGAGGAAAACTCATTTTCTTCAATACCATTAAATCTAACCTTTCCTTTGTATGGATGTCTTTTAAATCTCCAAAGCCGTACTTATCTTATATTCCGGACAGTTTAATATAGATGTAAACTCTGTAAACTTATACATCGATGGTCCTCGTTGTGATTACTCGTCTGGGTCACTGATTTGGAGCCTTTGTCCTGTTCGGCATCTGTCTTTAGAGCTGCTGTAAAAAGCCACCTGGAATCAGGGACATTGTGTCGGACGTGGCTCCAAGATAAAGATAGAAAAAGAAAATAAAGGAGGCCCCAACAGAAAAAGACTATTCATGTCGATGAAAAGATGAGACTTCTTGTTGATTGATGAAGCGTTACCTTTCAGTGCTCTGTCCATTTAGCTGCTTTACATCTCATGGAGCTTTTTAGTCTATTTTTCTCAGATGTATTCGCTTTCATCATCTATTCACCATCTTATTTTAGAAAAAAGACTTAATGTTATTTACTAAAAGGTGAATAAAACAACCTTTCAGCTCCTCCTGTGTTAAACTGAGACCCCAATACACATTTAGTAATTATAAAGTTACAACATGGACCCGAGTTAAATAAATACAGTGTTGTGTATGTGTCTAATCAATTTACTATTTTACCTTTGAGTGGAGGGGCAGGAAGTTTTCTTCTCTGATGACGTGACATATCGAGAGTTTGAGGCTAAAATGAAAACATAGATTAACTTATTGTTTACAATTATAAATTACTTTTATATCAGTCTAAATAAGTATCTCTTTTTCATCGTTTAAACAACTTGAAAATGATACCTTAGGTTTTGGCTTGAATTTGGAGAAGCGATTGCAGACAGTGACATTCAACCCAGCTGTTTTCAGGGCTGATATTCTAGCTTCAATATTTGAGATCTGAAAATAAAACAATGTGTGTAAACAATGAAAGCGGGAAACGCAGATCTTTCTTCTAGAGGATTTCACCTGTAGCTCAGACTGTTGGACCTGAGCGGCTGCTGTTGCCACCTGATCCTCCAGAAAAGCCAGAGCTGTGTCTGAGGTTCCAGAGCTAATGTCACGTGCACACTGCTCCAGGTCACCCAGCGCCCCCTCCAGGCTGTACACTGCACCTGCAGCCAGATACACCTGAACACAACATGTGGCATAAATGAGATTATTGAAACGGAGGCAACTGTGTTGTAATGAGCGGTTGGCTACATTTCTCAAAGTACCAGGAGCCTCATTTATCACACACAGCTAGAAGATGTATTTATTTCTTTGGATGGGACAGTGCATATTCATGACCAGCAGGAGCTGTGAATACACCAGCTAATTTGAATCTGTAGTCCCAGTCAACTCTCAGCTATTGTACATGTTTTTAGTGGTAGGGAAAACCGGAGGAAACCTATAAAAACACAGAGAGAACATGCAACATCCACACAGGTCCTGGAGTTGGAATCAAACCGAGGACCTTCTTACTGTGAAGCATAAGTGCTATATGCACTGAGCCAATGTGCTGCCCAGGTGCATACTGGTGCTGTCACACAGCCAACTCTGATCTATTTAAGAAATAGTTGATGTGGCAGAGAGTTTGAAGATGTGTTTGTGAACATTTGAAACATATTGTAAGCCTACTTAAGGATAATTTCCACTTTATTGTCACCTTAGAGAATCTCGCCCTCTGCATTGGACCCATCCATCAAATTCACGAGGGAATTCTGTCAGAGCCAAATTCCACTTCTTGTGCTCCGCAGTATTAATATTTTCTGTTGCGCCTACTACTGAGCAGGTCAAGTCCCACTCTTCAGATTGCTCCAAACAGTAAAAACAATATCCTCATTTACAAAGTAAAATCAGTCTTTACTGTATATTGATCAGATGACTTCCATCGGGTAGTTATAATCCCTGCTGCTTTGATTCTCAGGCGCAGTGTGCCGTGAACTAGACCCATCATAAATGAGGCACTAGAACTCTCATGGTTCTTACTAATCTATAAACGTTTGTTGTAGATGTTTGACCTTTAGACCGCAAATCTGTCTTAGTATCAGAATGGTAAAATGCTCCTTACGTTCTCCTCCATCTTTGTGAGTGTGTGGTCCAGAAGCCCAGTGTGGCAGCTGTTGGAGATGGGGGGCCGCGGCTCTGTAGGGGTGAAGCTCTCGCCTCCTGCTTCTCCGATCAGCTCCTCTGTGGCATTCAACACCTTCAGCACCTCTGTGGTGATGCTGCACAGGGAGGCGGCCGAGTACTTCTGCAATTACATCACAGAAACTTCACCAATTGGAGGGACTTGTAACAATACTTCTTCAAATCAAGCATAGGAAACAAATAGATAAGAACCTTTTTTTAAAGTGTGCAACAAAGAAAGGAAAAAAAACATGAAAAGGATTCAGATAGAAGGACTTTGCTTTGATAGAAAGCACAGATAGAGGCACATTCACCATGTCACCTGAACTAGAACCCTATATACATTTAAAAATCTATACTGAAGAAGTATTTAACTGAAATGTGCAGATGTTGCTAACAAGAACAGGAAGACAGGGGCACAAAAGGGCAATGGCAAACGCAATAACCATCTCATAGACTGGAAGAACACAAGATTTATCAAGTAGCGCCCCCAATAAATACAAGGACTGGATCAAAGAAGTAACAGAATTCAGGGAAGGAGGCGCAGAAGACTATGAATCGAGACGAGGGTGCATTCCAACTCTCCCGAACATGGGACGGTCTTGGTATCGGTTTTTGACATCCTAGCTTGTAACACACATAGTACCATAACAGTCTCACATATTATGGTAAAAGCAGAAGTGCTCTGATCAGTCCACTCTTAAATAAAACTAAACACCAAACTCTACATGTCACCTTAAATGACTACAGACTAGACTAGACACAGGGGTGTACATGGAGCCAACAGTCTACTCTATGATTAAAGGCATCGACGCTGCATTGATTGCTTTGTGTAAAGGTAGATGATGTGTGACATGAATCAGGGCTGAGGAGGAGGGGCCGAGCGGTTGTAGAGATAAGTAAGAGCAAAACAAAATCCCCTGCTTGTTGAAGTAATAGTCCTAATGGCAAAAGGGCTGGATATGAGACAGAAAGGCTTCCTCTGATACAGACGGGTCGATAGGTTTGAGAGCTTATTACACTCTGCCACACAAAAAACCTATCAGGGTTCAGATCAAACAGTTCCACACCACTATTTAATCTGACAAATAGGAAGTGAATGAATGAGATGGTAAAGAAGCTCGATGTTCCCGAGTTCCATTATGCATGTGTTATGATGTTTTGAACACCAATATGTATAATTACAAGAAGAAAAGGGGATATATAGAGTGGAGTGAACTGGAACATACAAGGATGGGGGATTAATCATTGACACTATCAACGTGATTGCAGGGGTTCTGAGTTGGGGTTATTTTTACCCCTCCACAAAGAGGGAACCTGTGAGTTACAGTAAGTGACCAGATGGGAAACGTATGATAATTCTGTCCACCCCGCTGTCTCGCCGCCTCCCTGAACTCTTGTTATAATATCCAAACAACTTACGTCTGCTTCTTAAAAAACTCAAAAATCAGAATATAGTTCTTATCAGAATTGATCATTGACAATATGCCATATGTGTAACTAATGGTACAGATGGTCAAAAATACACTATATTTATTGATTCATACTATTGCAATCTATGTTCACTATAAATGAGAGTGAGATCCTAAAACAAACTCAATTCATAATATAAAACTTTTCACGGGCCACATTTAATACTAAAATGTACATGTTTTTTATGCACAGCAGAGAAAGGGCACAGTCCATTGAGAGACCGCTGCTTTAGACAGAAAATAAAAGTATAAATGTGTCAAAAAAGGACAATGGTGCTCTTTTAGAAGTATTAAAAACAAGTTGCTATGGAAACCTGTTAGGTACAATAAGGTTGTATTCTCGTCTTGCCCTTTGTGTCAGAATTGAAGGCAGATCATTTGTTAGTGATGAAGCCAGACATCTCACCTTAAACTCATACAAGCAGTAAACCTTCTCAGAAACTGAACTATCATCGATTACAGCGTATCATGCAGTTAAAAATAACTTCCCGGAATGCATCCTTGTTATTTCTCCTCACCTGATGTAAGATAGAGTTGAGCAACCGAAGCCTCTGTTGAGTTTCCAAGTCACACTGTTCTTCCTGAGCGATGCCCACACAAACACACACACATACATACAAACACACACACAAACACACGTGTACGCACACACATCGCAGCCAGAAAGAAAAGAAGGACAGAGAAACACATGAGCGACACAAAATAAAAGCGAAGTGTGAACGTGGCCGGCATCGATGGGTAGTACTTTTACTTTAACTGCTAAACTTGTACTTCACAATAGCTAAGAACTATATGCAATACTATATACTACATAAATACTATATACAGTATCAGGTCTCTGTGTAACCTCTACACTCGCACTCACTATATTTCATAGATAACATTTTGATAACTTTTCTGTCTGAACCTTACTTTCACCACATCTGTCTAGACACCGCTGTGACTCCATCTACATTATGTGCATTTCAAAAGCTCACATAGTTTGCCTGAAAACCTAATGTTGCATATATACAGTACACATATCCAATGAAAGGTGTTTTCCTATTCAGTGCCGAGCTGCTGTCTGCTGCTGGAGTGACCCTCATAACCAATCAGGACAAAGACATCCACCTTCACACATGCACAAACCAATTCAATTCAGTTCAATGAATTTTTGTATAAAGTCCTAAATCACAAAAGTAGTCGTCTCGGAGGACTTTTGACAGATGCTGATTCGCAAACAGTTCAAACACAGGAAGAGCAATAATAACAAACACATAGGAGCCATCGGTCCATAAGGAGCAGAGTCCATAAATGTCCTGGATCGTCATCACTGATCCTCATAAACCATAACCCTAATGGCACACTCCAGAAAGACTTGGATTGGTGCGCCCTGGCTCTTTTGACAATTTCAACAACTGCAGACAAAAGTGCAAACTTCATGACAATAATTACTGATTCCTTTTAGTATTTTGTGATCTATACTTTCAAAACAGCAGATTAAAATTAGATTTGCCTGAAATTAACAATCCGATGTTGGCTGTTACATTCATACAATTCAATTACTCAACGCTACATTCTCCAGTTTCTCCTTTTCAATCATTTGGATCACTTCTATGTTCTATTTTTTCTATTATACCCACTTCTGTCAGACCAGCAATGGAATAATTATTCAAGTCAGAAAAAACAAAGAAGCAACAGAAGCAGTGGCAGATAAAGAGCCAGGACAGATACACGCAGAATGAAGAGAAGCAGCTCACTTGACTACCAGACAGCGCTCCCTCCTGGGCAGAAGGCGTCACAGCAGCTGAACTCGCACTCGAGGATCCGCTTCTTCTGGCACCGGCTGCTCTGTATTCCTCCTCCTTATCCACGTCGCGTTTATGTTGCTTTTTACTTTGCCTACTTCCTTTTGTTCTTTCTTGAATCCTAAGATCCTCAAAACTCTTTCCTTTGTCCAATGGCAGGTCTACTTCCACCTCCTCTCCAAACGACATGCTTTGTAACACGCTTTCCTTCGTTTGCACATCTTGTCCATTGACTAACTCCCAAATGTCACTTGCCAACTTCGTACTACCAGCTCTGTCCCATTGGTTTTCTTTTTCAATCACTTTCTCATAGGAAATCTTGGAGCTCTCCTCCTCAGATGCATTGCTCTCTTTACTATTTGCACGTTTGACCATTTGGCTAAGCCTGAATCTCAACTCTTCCTCGATTGGGTCTACGGCAGCCATCTTGGGGGACAGAGGGGGTCCTGATGTGATGAATGTGGGAGGGGGGCTTGGGATGGCTGAGTTTGGGGCCACAGTGTCCAGGTCTTCCTGCTCTGGGGTGATAGGGTCTGATCTGAAAACGTCCGGCGCAGTAGTAAAGACCGGTGAAAATTCAGGCGAAGGATGCTCCTCACTTAAACCACGTTTCAGCAGAGCATCGAGTAGAAATCCACTGTTCTCCTGTAAAATAAAGTTAAATATTAAATTTCCACAGAACAATTTATAAGACAGAGAGGTCATACATGATATTCTAGGGTTATCTTTGAAGACTTTTTACTACAATATTTCAATTTGTTATTTTTCTGTTATATTTTTTAGGCATATTTCTCATCCTTGACAACACAATATACTGTGTAACACAAATCACAGTTAAAATGAACTTCAGGACAACCTTAAAGATAGTGATGTTACATACTTTACAACAATAATGAGTGCCGTAGTAATTCCGGGTACCTGTGCTAGTGGGTAGATGGACTGTACGTGGCTTTGAACTCCAGCTCTCAGCTCAGAGGAAGACTCTTTTTTGCTTCTTCTCCGTCGTCGCGATCTTTTAATGGGATCATTCTGCCTTTCATCTGCTTCACTGCTGTCCCCCATCACCTAACAAACAAGTTTACTTAATATAACATTTATATTTGACAAATCAATATGGTGTGTTGTTATTAGAAGAAAAAAAAGATGGTAAGGTTTTGATCACAGCTGGGCTAGCTAACTTTTTGTTAGTCCTACATCTATGCAGCTCATGTGGATTTATCAATATAAATGTGATTTTTTTCAAATCAGGAAGAGAGGATGTGCATAGTATGTAAAAGAGATTTTCTACTAAGACATGTTTTCTGGTCTGATTTGTTCACAAGATGTTACGCAAAAAATATGTTATCTGTAATTAAGTTTTATTACAACACACACAGTGAAGTGAATAGACAGAAAGTCCCACCATTAGCTGCACTTAACAGACCTTAGGGTTGAAGTTGACGTCGAGGGCCTCTGGGTGCAGTGTGTACGGGTTGTGCGTCACGTGCTGGTGGTAGACAGACGGGTGGTGCGGGTGTAGGTGGGTGTCCGCGGGGCCTCTCTTCTTCATCACGTTGTGCGGTGGTTTCCGTGGACAGGCAGGCTGCACAGAAGACGCCTCTGAGTCAGAGTTCAGGGTCTCGGTGTTGGTGTACTGCCCTGAGGATGGGGATGTGATGGGGTGGTGGTGCGTGTAGGTCCACTCCGGGTCGTGCTGAGAGTCCGTGTAGTACGTTTCGTCGGAGAGTTTCCTCCGGAACTGTTGCAGCGCCGCACCCCAGCCTCCCTCGTCCTCCACCTCAGAATCGGAGCCCATTCCGTCGTAAGCAGAGACGACGCCCGATTCTTTCTCCAGAACACTGAACACGAGGCTCTTTCTTTTGGTGAGCAGACTGGGCCGGGACAGTTGAGAGCTGTGCAGTGCCAGCCAGTTACCGTCCGGGCTTTGGAGCACTGACGATGCACCTGGAAAAAACACAGCAAAAAGACCATGTGAAAAAAGACATCTTAATGAATTGAGTGCTTTATAATGACTATCAAGAGTTTACTTTTCAGGATGCAAAGATATAGAGGTGTGGTCGGTGGTCATGGAGGGGAGATAAAACCTCATATCTGAGCATGAAGCCTCACATGCAAGTCTCTGCAGTTATCAAACTTGTGGGAATCACTTCAAAAACAACTTTGAGTGAGCTCATGATTAGGTAACAACATTACAAAAGCTCATGAAATTCAACTTTATAATAATTAAATCTCCTTTAAGTTAAACTATATCAAATTGACCAGGCCATTTTCCAACTAACTTTCCATGACTGGTAAGTAAGTCATTTTTAATTATGTAGCACTGACATAATCCCAAAGACTCTTAAAAAAAAGATTAGATAAATATAAGTTACACAGGTTTTATAGGATAATGTAGGCCTCGTTTACAGAGAAGTAACTACAGTCCTGTTTCCAAAAGTGTGGAAAGAACATATTTGAAATAGACTGTTGAGAATAATTTGAATGAATCCTGAGGACTTACTGGAGTTGTCCAGTCGGTCAACGCTCTTCCAGGTGGGTAGTGAGGTGGCCTTGCCCTCCCTCTTCAGAGATGAATACTCTTGTAGTCCGGCCTCGACTCCGGCTCCCTCCTCCTCTGGGCCCTTATCCGGAGAGTCGTCACTGGTGAGAGAGAACGCCGACCGCGAACGCTGAATGGATCAAACAAATTAATCTAGTATGATTCAGTTGGCATAAGGCAGTGGTAGAAGAACGTTAAAGTACAAAAGACAGGAGCACAAATCCAACATATGTTTTGCCTTTCACACCTTTTGAAATATATCAAAGTGCAAGACTGCATTCAGCAAGTTTAGTATTAGTATTTCAACAGTTTTACAAAATCATGTGTTTATTTTTGTATACCCAAAAGTCAATCGATCTACTGTGGATGTGTTGCAATATCCCTTAAACTATTTAGAAAGAAATATGTACTCGAAATGTAGTGGAGTAGAATTTCTACATTCCACCACTGGCAAATGTTAAAATATGTTAATGTTTTTGTGTTTGTAAAATGTGCCATCTAAACCAAAGACCTTGGATTGGATCGTTTCCCTGCGTTGTCAGGTATCTACCAGGCAGGCCCGTCCCAAGGGGGGTGCGAGGCCCTGTGCGAACTCGAAACGCGAGGCCCTGCCCTGACACTTTTTTCCCAGATCTGAGGAAAGTTTTTCCTGTTATAATCTTTGACATGAATTCAGCACCACCTCGCGCGGTGCTTGACGAGATCAGCACGCGTGTAACCGAGTGTCTTCGCTCCTATGCAGCGTTTGGCGCGCGCACGTACACACGCACACACACTCTACGTGCAATATTGGTCGCGGTCTTTTTAGCTGACATGTCTCTTTCGTCCTGTGGCAAAATGGCAGAGCAACTCAAAAGATTGAACCAAAAGGAGTCTTTTTCTTCTAATAGTTAGATTTGGGCAAAATGCGCCAAAATGGCTATGAGGCGGAGTCAATATTATTATTTTCTCATCAAATAACGTTTTTGCCATGCCTCCACACACTCTGACAACATACACTCCTCCTCCTCCACACTGACAACAACAAAATACTCTTCACCTCCTCCTCCACACACTCTGACCACAACAAAAACACTCCAGCTAGCTAAAGCTAGACATACAGTGTGTTTGCTAATGCTTTTAAAAATATGTTTTTGATGTGGATATTCGGACTAAACATTGGCAATAGCAGCGCTCACACACCTGTCACACCGCTGATCCTCCTCCTCCTCCTCTGCTCACACAAAGGGGTCTGCTCCTCTGCTCACACCTGTATCACTGCTCCTCCTCCTCCTCCTCCTCCTCCTCCTCCTCCTCTGCTCACACAAAGGGGTCTGCTCCTCTGCTCACACTTGTCTCACTGCTCCTCCTCCGCGAGTATCCATCTCTCCTACACTGCGATCATTCCCGTTACTTTCTTTGTATCTCACTCAGACACTGCTAAAGTTATCTGACAGTTTTTTCGGAGGACCCGTTGCATACATAGCTGCCCGCGCGCCTGCCTGTTTACAAATCGCTTTTGGTGAAAATTTGACTTTACTTGTAAAAATGTTCTTTTGATCAAACGAAATCAAAGAGGTCCAGAGAAAGGGGTTTAGGGTTCCAAATTTGGAGTGCAGTCTGCCCTTTGGGGACCCTTGAACTAGTGTATTTATAAAATAAAATAAAAGGAAGGAAGATTGCGAGGCCCCTGTGTGGTGCGAGGCCCTGTGCGACGGCACAGGTCGCACAGCCCTTAGGACGGGCCTGCTACCAGGAGGTGGTGCTATACAACAACATAAGTAAGAGTCTCTCACAGTCGGTCAAGTTCAGCCTTTTCTCATCACATGTGGTTTGACTAAAATATAAAATGAAAAACAAACAAATACATTCTGAGTCTAAATACATTCCATATTAACGACAACAAACATCGGAAGTAGATCATTGAGTTGCAAAAACAAGACACACAAACATTGTACGTATTCTCATGTTTTTGCAGCAGCAGTAATCTCCTTCTCCAGCGTGAGCATGGGGTCCTGCCTGGCGTTTGCACAGAGCCGATAACACGCGTCTGTCCCAAAGCCGCGGAAGGGATCCCAGTGTTTTTCACGGCACTTTGATCTGCACTGAGCAGCGCATTGGGGCATTTATGGAGAAGCCCAAATGAACAGCTTTGATGCGACTCTCACGTTGGGATGATGACAAAGCTGTAGGACCCCCCGCTGAGCCCCCGCAGAGAGAGCGAGTGCCAGGTGAAGAACACTGTGATACCCTATTACGGGCAGAGGGCTTGTGTTAGCCAAGCCCTGATTATAGTGGGAATTATTAAAAGGAGTCATTTTCAATACAATGCAACAACGAGAAATAAATCAATCTTAAACCTAAATCTAGGGTACCTAACTTTCAAAATACGATACAATAGAACTATGTAATTTAATCACATAATACCCTTATTCTTTTAACCCTATCACAGCAGCTCTTTCAGACAAAACCCTCAACCTCACTCAGCCAATCAGCTCTCAGCCCTGAACGTCAAAAAATGACCCATCCATGTGATAAAGATAAATTTAAACTGATGTCAAATAAGACAGCGTGTAGTTGTATGCCATCCATCCATCCATTTTCTTCCCCTTAATCCATTTCTGGGTCGGGGGGGTGGCAGTCAGAGCTGCACCCAGTACACAGAGCACCAGCCCCTCACTGATCCTCCTGCAGGTGGTGAGTCCACAAGAGCTGAGATCTTTCAGTGGGGGCTTCAGGCAAAGTGGGGTTAAGTGTCTCGCCCAAGGACACAACGACAGCAGTCATCAGTGGGAGTCGTGAAGTAGGTCTTATGGGGGGCTCGAACCCAGGATCTTCAGGCTCAAAAGCCAATGTTCTACCAACTGAGCCACTGTTGCATGCAGTTGTGTGACTTTTTCTGTTTATATAAATAAAAAGCATTAATTATAAAGAAAAAAGGTAGGTACCCCAGCTTTAACCTATGGATGAATGGTACTAGAATATACAGCAACGGTAATAGAATATTTCCACTTCATTCACAAATACTGTTTCTAAGTAGAAGGCATAGATTTTTTTTTGTCTAATTATGCTTTTTAAACATAGGACTTAGTGACTGTATTTCTAAATAAAATTTGCAACAATTTGTGATTTAAAACACTAGTCACAGCTGTTCCACTGTGTAACTGTATTACTGCTGTCTCTGCTCAGTTTTAAAGCAAACAAAGATAAAGGTCAAGCATGACCTGCTTCGATTAGCGGATTACAATTGAAAACAACGTAATCCATTTCATTGCGGACCCGCAGAACAGACTGATCTACAATGCTACCAAAATGACAAAAATGAACAAAAACATAACTAGTACTAACTCTAAACCTAACCCTAACCGAAAAATCATTGTTGTTGGGAAAATCTTTACAACTGCTCATTTCTGTCTGCAATATAAAAAGACCACCAAGTAAAATAGCCAGTGTTTTGACTTGTGCCCTTTACTCTGCTGGGAAGAGATTTGAGGCCAAGGACAACATGACTGTGGTTTTCAAAGAGCGGCATACCACAGACAGACAGAAAATAATAGCCACTGTTATGACAGAGGAAGTGAATCGGTAACCTATTCAAAAAAATACTCAAACTAATTATACCTACTATTCATTTAAGTTTGTAAATTACCTTTAAGTAGGCCTCGGTGATAGTGCAAGAAAGTAACATGTTAAATTAAAATGCCCCCTTTGGACGTTTAGTGAAAAGAAGCTCATAAAAGGCTGGGTGATTCTGCCTTTAAAGAAAACATTTTGAGTTTTGAATCCATTTCCCCCCAAAACTGCTCATACAAGTATTATCCAGACGCTGACGCTGCGAGATGTGCCTTTTCTGCTAACACGCTGTTCTCTGTGACTACTGTTGTTTACACTTGTGTTGCAGAACTCTGGCAAACTACAGAAGGCCCAAGAAGCAGAGTCTGAACCATGGATGTATTATATTAACTGGATAGGGTATTACTAGCTTGTAGCTGAATAACTCACGTGCTCAGGGGATTCTCGCGGTACTGCAGACTGAACCAGACTAAATTCACGTGGGCTACCCAGAAATTTTCCCCATAGAACTCAATGCATATTAAAACAGCTCAACCTCAGCTGACAGAGAACGTACAGCTTTCATGAAGATCGGATTTTGTGGGGATTTTAGTGTCCCTTGTCATCCTGAACTTTTTTTCTTCTTAAATCCTTCGGTTTTGTTTAAATCCACACTTTAGTGCCACAAACTCTGCTCCTCTGGCTCTCGCTCTAACTCCCGCTCTGATGAACTGCTCTGATTGGTCAGAGCGCGGCCGAGCCCCTCTGTGCACGTGCGTGAGACCCGGTGTGAGACCCACACACGCGTGTTTGGCGCAACGCATTATGGGAGATCATCCACTGCGCAGAACCGGGAGGACCAGACGATGCCCAAATACAGGCGAGTTTCCCATAGATCTTTGCGAGTTTCAGGCAACTTCCGCTAATCTTTCAGCCCCCATGCTGTCACAAAGCGCCACTGAGCACAACCATTCATTTGAATAGGGCGCCATCTTGGATCGCCGGGGCTTGGTCTGAACCAGAGAAGAAACTCGCAAGTTAGCCTGCCCCCTATCTCACCATTTTTAGATTTTTCACTGTGTTGATTTTTCATAAATGCTGATTAGTCAAATGAATGAATTGCCCAGTCCTACCGTTAAGCACTCCCATGTTTCATTAATATTACACACCAGTATTGTACAGTATGAGGGATGGGCTGCATGTTCCTCTCCCCATTATTTTTAGCACTGGTAAATAAAAACGCAACTGTACAATTACTTTTAGGGCTGAGTACGTTCAATTCATTACAACACGGTTCCATAATAAATGTAGCCTTTCGACCCATTATCTAACACTGTATTGATTGATGCAATTGATGTACTTTAATAATTGAGGATTAATTGATGAAGTCAATACATATATCTATCCATATTTTTCAAGAATCGATATAATTTAAGATAAAAAAAACAGTTACCTTTCAATAATAAAAAGTGACATGTCCCTTCTCTTCACAAAATAACCTCGAGACATTTCTGTCTGTCTAATGTTGGGCGACCTCTGGACAGAGCAGTCGCATTCTCTTGCTGCTCCTCCCTCGCTTGCTGCTTTTTTATCTCCTTT